GTCTTACTCTTGACCTTACCGAATGTTGACTGGCGAACAATGCCAACATTGTAAATATCTACGCTAAACGTACAGACTAGGCAAATAGTGTCAGCTACTTTTTAAAATGTCTTTCCTAAATTATCAAGTATTGCAGTCCGTATTACAGCGGACCTGCCACCATCCATTTCAGCACTAACTTATTCAAGAAAACTGAATTAAAACTCAGGACTGTCATGCGACCTGGTGGCCAGTATTAGCAAGGAACTGGATGAGTCGTCTGTTACCCGAATTGTTTGTTTCGTACAGAGTTGATTATAACAGTGTCAAGAAAACCGTCCACGCAGTCAGCGTATGAACGCAACGGGCAGAAAAATGTTGAATAACCTTGATATTGTTACTCATTAATGGACTTGGTCCTCCTGTTCCTTGTATCAAAACCAGCATGGCGAAGAGTGTTCATCAACGGGTTTCTCGGATACTTACTGCTGCTGACGCCATGCTGGGCTTGGTACGTGCCTGGCGCTGACACCGATCTACGCGTGTACAATCTCAACCCCCCAATTACCGCCAGTCCCGAAGAATTAGCAAGCAGACCCATGCGACAACCGAAGACAACAACCGGTACGTTTCTAGCAAGCAATAATGTCGAGTACAATTTATCCTTACCTGCAATTTATCCTTACTGCACACAACGCGCCATGTCAGCCTTCGCTCTTTCTCGTTGATCGGTCGGCTTTATGCAGTAAGTTTTCCTCATGCTCGAATTCCGTTATCGCTTTCGTGCGCAAAATAATAAGGCTACTTAAATTCTGTGCCACAGAGATGGTGACATGGTGTGCTCAGGAAGCAAGAAAAACAAAGAAAAAAGCAATCACAAACTATTTGCCAATGTTAATATTATTTTAATTTTTTTAGTGTTCGTATAGTTTATGAAGTATTCATTTCGTGGTATTTAGTATGATGTGCTTGTACGTGCCGTGCCAGCAGTAAACTCGTCGCTGCGTAGTGCGTAGCAGAGCTTCAGTACGTTATTAGTTTTAAATGCGCTCGCTCCATTACGTATTACTAAAATCATATTACTAAAATACAGATTTCATGTAATTGATTTGCCTATCTGTACAGTACTCACAAAATAGTGAAGGTAGTGCGAAAATATTCATTAAATATTGGTATTTACGGTGGTTATTAATCGCATCACTGCACGAGCACGCACCCTCGGGAACGGCAGGATATAAAAGGTGGACTGACACCTGCCACTGGTAGTGGCAGTGGCATTGGCATTGGATTTGTGAAACTGGAAAAGTTTGCCATGGCGCTCTTGGAGGGGTCAGTTTTTGTGGCGCCGTCAGACAGATTTCAGCTTCTAGAGGGCGGCAATTCGCTGCACTTGATGCAATCTACTATAGCAAGAAACCGGCAAACTAACTCAACCAATCTAGTGTGTAAGAACCCACACTAATTATGTCGACCTGTCACTTGTGAGTTGTGACTGTCGTAGTACTCGTACTTTCTTGAATCTACACGCCGCAACGTAACGGTGCAATCTAAACTGCATCACGGTAACGCCGGGGCTTGCAAACTGATTAAACGCTGGGCGATATATCCGATAAAGTCGTTTGCGAAACTGGATTGGTCCGACGTTAAGTCACCTGGGAAGTCCATTGCACATTTGTACCATTTAGGTCACATGTGGCACGTTTCGTACCAATGAAAAAAAACGACCGTTTTTTCACTTTTTGTAGTCACAGTATCTGTAGACATCTGTATACAGGCTGTAGACACCCTGTAGACCTATCGGCAGTCACCTGGTTTTTTGGGATGTATACAGTGTGTCTACAACGGTGTCTACACTCTACAGATTGTCTACAAGTACTACAGATGTCTACCGCTGTATACAGGCAGCCCTTCTTAGAGCTCGATAATCTGCCTGTATAGTGTATACACGTAGACAGCCCGCGGACACCACCGTAGAAGTACTGTAGTCTGTAGTTACCTGGTTTCTTAGGTTTTCTTAGGATGTATACAGGTCGTATACAGGTTGTCTACAGATGACTACACTGACTACAAGAAGGAAAAAAAACGTTCCAGTTTTTTTCTTTGGTACGAAACGTTCCATTTATAATTTATACTTCATACGAGTAGCACGGATGATCTTGAAGTCCTTGACCGTACAATAATGCATATGAAGTGATCTTGGCAAAGCGGTAAATTTGCCAGCACATCGGCGACAAGAACCAAAGCCGAGCTATCGTTAACTCTGGAATACAAACTTATTGTTTGATACTTTTGCTGTCGTTATATGCATGATGCAGCGCCTAGTTCCACCAAGAAAGTGACAGTGACCGCTGCGGCTGTTCCCCAATAATTACGTTAGCACGGGCGGCACTGACGCAAGCGGTAATCACATAGAACGAAACATACGAATTTCCCCAGGGGGTTTGTAAGTGCATCCAACCTTGTTCACAGGAGCAGGAGGAGGAGGAGGAGGAGGAGGAGGAGGAGGTGGTGGTGGCGGCGGAGGGGCCGGCGGAGATGGTGGAGCCCGTGATGGTTCTGGAGGTGGAGCCGGTGGGGATGGGACGGGAGGAGGTCAGGGTGACGGGAGCAGCAGCGGCAGTCTGAAAGGTGCTGGTGCGGGTGGGGCTGCTGGGTCCGGACAGAAAACGGGAGCGGGAGAAGCCGGCAATGGGACCTCCGATGGGGACGATGCAGCTGGTGAGGATACGTACAAGCTCCGTTTACAGGGAATTGTGAGCCTGCTGTTACTGCTTCGAATCGTTTCACAGGGTTACCTTTTTAACAGGCTTTGTACAGTTTGCCGTTAGTTGATTGGTAGGCTGTAGCCGTATTGGTAGCCGGTCACCATTGTGTGAGTCGTATTTTGCTGATCTGTCTTTTAGAACTGCTGTACAACGGTTTCAGTAGTCACGCCGACATTTTATTGTTGCAGGCGGCGGCGACAGTACGATGATGTACGTCGGCATAATTGCAGGCGTTACGGTGAGCGGTAACAGCCGATTAAGGAGTGTTTCGCTGCCGCAAGCAACTGTGGAAAACGAAATACTTTTCGTTGCAGGCCGTAGCAGGCGCTGCAGGCGGTGGATGGTGGTATTGGAAGCAGCAGCAAGCCAAAAAGAAGAAAAAGCTGGAGGAAGAGGGCGAAGAGGAGTCTGAAGATTAAAACCTGCAAAATTTCGTAAAAACATTTCCCTCGTCTGTCCCGCTGTTTGTCGTTTTGATTCTTACGGTTAGTTGGAGTCCTTTAGGTAGCTGTTAAGTAAACCGATAATGCTGACTGTTCGATACGACCGACTACAGAGCTGGGCGCGACCAATTCCACACCGCGGACTATTCACGCGACAAATAGCCTGTCACTGAATTTTAAACAACTTAATAGAAAATATATTTTTTGACTTTTATTTGTGGTTTTGTAGAGATTTATCGTACACCAGTCAATCTTGGCCCGGTAACCATGTTTCTTTCGCGATTTTTTGGAAACGGATTTTTGATGGCTTTAGTCTTACAGGCGCTTCAACATTTTATCGAAAGCACCATCTAATTATCATATTACTCTTATTATTATTCCCTATAGCAGCCAAATTCCGTTAACAGAGACTTTTTAACCTCAGGTAAAAACCTCTGGGGCTTTAGGCTATTAGAATTTTTTTTAATTTCGAAAATGTTTTAATGTTTTGGTTTTTTTATGAGATAAAACGTGCTAAGCATATAGCAAATGAGACTGAAATACGTATGCTAACGACAGCAATATTTAGTAAGTATTACAAAAAACTTAGATAGCGTACTGAAGAAAAGCGCACAAATCACTTCAAGATTATAACCGACAGTGGTAACTCGATTTTAATCAGAACAGGGTGGGTGTACTCGATAACCCTGACCTTAAAGTGCACACTGCACAGCGACAACGAAGATTTTTATTTTACATGCCAAGGAATTTCTCTTAAATACCGCTATATTTTGAACTCCTAACATTCAGTAAACAGTAACATCAGTATGACATTTTGGAATTTAAATGAAGAAGTTATAAATCCCGCCTTCAAATTCAATGCACAATTATTGGGTTCCTTTTTTTTGTTTCATTGCCAGGCATGCGTCTGAAACTGCTAAAGGAAGAAGTCTAATAAAAAGCGAGCAGCATACCATGGTCGACGACGCGACCGGGAACCGTCCTGACAAGTAGGTATGCTAAGCGGTTCATTTGTTTGGCGAACCACTTCGCCTTACATACTTACATACATGCAGGTGCCGACAGTCACCTCGGATGCTTCAATCTAATTTTATGCGACTGTTTACAGATCCATTCAGATAGGTGGTCGCCTGTCCGACGACATCTATCAAGGCGACACCAAGCCACTGTCCTGCGAAGTCCTGACCAACCCGGTGCACACCTCCGTGTGGACCTTCGTCAACAAATACTCGTACCACGTCGAGTACGCTGCAGCAGTACCGTTGCGCTGGCATCGGGCATCGTATTGTGCTGCTTGCGTGACCTGTCGCTGTACTTGACTGGGCCAACAAATCCGCGCCGAGCACCACCCGCGCCCGGCCACGAGCTCTGGGGGACCGGGAGGAAAAGCAGTGCTCCTGAGTGACAGGACAGGCGTCAGTTACATAATTATATGTACCAGACAGAAGGAGATTTTTCAAAAAGCACGGTGATGAAATGTTAACACGGGTTTGTTCAATTTTATGTGCTCTTTTGACAGCATTCGCATTTATTCATTGCTGTTGGCTCGTCAAAGGGTCTGGTTGCCACCCGCCGGTAGTGTTTGGTTGGGCGCCGTTTTGGTTTTGTTGTTTTGTTGTCTTGTTGCTATTTGTAGACATGACCTTTTGCTATGCGTTTTCTGCTGTGCTCTTTCTGATGTTTTAGGTTATGTGGTCATTGTGTTGATTCGAGCGAAGGCGCATTGAACGCACGGCAACAGCAAGCCTAACTCGAAGATGCAGTAGTACGTTACTACTGTGTCTGTACCGGTATGACGTAGAGTGAACTGTCAACTCCTTTACAGCGTAGTGCATACGGCCCATATTACAGCATGCATCACACAACCAAACGTGCAACATGTAACGCAGACCTAAAGAGTTCTGCTGACAACCGATAACACAAACTTTCAGCCTTACTGCCCCGATACGCTCACAGTACTTAAAATTATGCAGCCCGCAGCCATATCAATATGTGCACAGTGCACCATACCAACGGCTAATAATAATTCTCCTAAAGCCACGCTGCATGTGTTATGTGCACTATTCGATCCGAATCGATTGCATTACATATTGCCATTACTGCCTAGTGCCTACTAGTAAGAGTTTGCCTCGGTCTCGCAGTCTCCTTAACTGCTACTGATACGTTTCTCCCCAGAACATTTTGCCCCCTTTATTCTCCGTGTACACCTGGGTTTCTGATTTGTCTGATTTCTCCGGCAGTGGTTTAGGTTTGTGTCTGTCTGTGTTGTCTCTTCCATCCGGCGGCGACAAGGTTGCCGTTTTCTCAGAAGACGCCGTCTTTTTTTCAGATGACGTTTTCTTCACAGCGCTGTTTCCGGCAGTACCTATAAAATTAATGCGATTCAGATCACTGCATTTCAAACAGAGGCCGATAGCTACGCAACGAGGGTATTAGACAGTTTGTGTCGGATGAAAGCGAAAATCTTCTCTTCTAACATCGATATGACCGGCTGGTTTCGGGTTAAATCCTTCTTTAATATCAACCCGTCCGGAGCTATTTAGACAGATGTAAATAGGGAATTTCGGAATGTCAGACCAGGGCCGAATTCGGAATTTGACCGTTAGTGATCGAGCTCGTAGCCGTCAGTGATTTTACCGTTAGTGATTTTAGCTGCTTTGAGCTTTTACAGTCTAGTCAATTTCGGATGGGTTTATTTTAATAATTAGAATTAATTTTTCTTATCGCTTCACTGGAAGTGCATGCGAGTGAGGTGCCAAGCTGGAAGATTAGTAAGTAGTATACTAGTATGTACTGACTACTGTTGTTTACCGGCAGCATTTACTGATGTACGTGAGGAGTGACTTCCCACGGCATCTTCCTCATTCTCCTCCATTGGCACTGGTTTCTTCTTTTTATGATATCGCCGGTATGCATAAATCGCAGCTGCCACAAGTAAGCAGAGGAATGCCAGCTACAAAAAAAACGTTTTAGGTTTGGGATATAAGGTAGTGGCAACACGTAATGAGTTGACAGGGTCGGGTGCACTTGTACTGTGTAGAACATGAAAATGGCGTTTGCCTACGGCGTAAATTGCGAGCTTTACGTATGCCGTTACTGAAGCGGGAATAAATCACTCTGTCTTTTGTAGCTTTATAGCCTTCACTGTAACTATGCATGAAGGCGTTTCCGTACTTTGCCAAGAATATTCTGCATGCGACCTAATTATTGAGTTGCTGAGCCGGCAAATCGGACCGTTTTAGATTTAACTACTGTCCGATCGGAAATTTTTAGCTCAAACTTACTGTAGGAGTAGTGAATGCGGTTGTATGCGCGCTGTACGTTCTGTACTACCGGTACGCACTGATTCTAAATTTGTATGCGAATGCGCAGAGCCGCAGCAGTTTCATTCTCTGTAAGGCTGCGTACATGCCACACACCTTATTTTACCTTTGCGCTAAAAATTTCCGATCGCACTGTAGCTAAATAAAGTAGTAGTTGCAACGGCAGTGTTTTTCTTGCGACAGTAGTACTTATATTGCTATGTAATATGCGTAACCAACGCGTACGGACCGGTGTTCTGCACACTGGGATGGTTAATTACTTGTTTTTTGAGCCCTTAAAGAAAATCTGATTACTTTAAAAGCTGTCCAAAAGAAAGGCCAATCATAATCAACTTACCGAGCCGATAACAATTCCTATAATCGCTCCCACTGACAAACCTAGAACATACAGAATAGTGAACCTTTCATGCTTTGTATCTACAAATACCGTATGTCTTCAATTAGTAATCTTTTCGGTTTCCCAACCCTTTTCGAAATGAAGATCCCATGCTGTACCGTAATGAATTTTTGTGACCCATCCGAAATAATTATGCGGAATGAGTACGTATGAATTGTAGTTCATATACTGTAATTCTGCAACTATGCATTAGTTTTGTACTCTGTCTACGAATCAGGGATGTCCGGCACGAGGTCGTAGACTGACATGAAAGAAAAGCCTCTCATGCTATCAGCGCATCAGCGAAAGCCTTACGCCTTACATATAAAGTGTACGCAGTACGAGTGAAATATAAAACAGTGAAGCAGCACCATAGTCAAATGCTTTGCTCTCAGATTTCCCGGGTTACTGGTGCAGCAATGCAGAGTTCAAATTACGAAACCGGGAGAACAGAGAGACATTACCTTTTGAATCGGAAGCTGCAGTGTCCGAATCCGAACCTGTGCGAGTACCATTAGCAGCATCATTCGTAGTGGGCGGCTTCGATGTGGTGAAGTCGAAATAGTTTCGATACGAATTGTTTCCCAGTGTTGGAACTCTTGGGCTGTCCGCATCACTGTAACCGTTCTAGGATAAGAAAATGAAAGCAGTGTCATGCCAAAACGTCATTCACGAAGGAAGGTTTGACGTTTATTATGTTTGGTAATAATTTAAGGGTTGCACTTACTCAGTAAGTAAGTAAGTCAGACTTACTTGCTTGCACTGCACAGGATATGATATTAGTATTGCAGTACGGTTTGACATATTTTGTTGTTGCGTCAGAGTAAAAACATTAATACGATGAGTAACTATGGAGCATCATGATAATTCTGATCATTGCATTTAAATCTCGAATCATTTACATATATCTTAATATTAAATCATTCGAGATTTCAAATCTATTGCACCCACTCCGCCACCAAGACAGCAGGCAACCTGTAACCATAATGAACTTAACGCACCGGTAGTAATGGCTGCACCATGGCCTCATCCCAAGAGAGAGTATTGCACAAGGGTGTGTTGCAGATGCAGATTCGATCGGGACGGTTGTTTGCAGCCGGAAAAATGTTTTCGCAAATATATTTTGCTCCTGGCGGTAGCCTGCTCCACAACTTTATGTCGTCCTCATCGTTAACATTGGTAGCGCAATCTCGGTTCATTAACCCTGTAAAGGATTATGGGGGTACTCTTACATTTTGCTTTCGCTTATGCCTGCGGGCTGTGATGAATTATGCTAGGCTGATGTTTTTCTCATTTGGGGTCGGACGGGTGGGTTTTCATTGGAGCGATTTTCGGTGTGTGACCAGCACAGCAGCCACAGCCGATAAAACTTTTTATGCACACTTCTGCGAACATAATATACCATATAAGGACAGGATCTCCAATACTTAAAACAAATTCTCTAAGACCTGGTTTAAGCAAGTAGTGCTAACGTTTTCCTTCGAACACCAATTATTCGCATGCATGCGATGAGGGCATGCCGCATGCCCACACAGGCTGACAGCGGAAGGTCAAAAATTCAGCTATGTGCAAAGTGCCTGCGAGGGAGTTTGGTTCAGGTTTGGGATCATTTTTCACACTGGCACCGAGGGTTGCCCATGGACTGTTCTGACACTAGCAATATCTAGTATCTGCATTCCTATTGCAAAGTGAGCTGTATTTCAGAGCTGAGTAACGAAAAACATCTCCAAATTTTGTATGCATTTCTTACAGTACAACCAATCCACGCGCTACATGCGGTTTCGTTAGAAATGTTCCCCAAGGAGTTTTTGCAAATCGACTTTCGTAAAGGGTTTTAGCAGGTCAGTGCTCGAAGTTGTCATACCAATGCCATTCTTGCAAACTGTACGCACTTACGTAAATAAATGTTATTGCAGCTGATTGTTGTACCAAACTTCTAAGTTACTAACCATTGCGACCGTCTGCTTTTAACTGCGCTCCCATCTGACAGAAATTTATTCCAGTTGTGCATGTCGTATTTATTCCCATATCTTCGACGCACAGATTGGTGGAACGATCAAATTGACACTGATAGCACTGCAGCAGATTACCCACGATCATCCTTGCTAATGCTGGATCGTACATTCCTGATGCTGCAAACAATAACACATGGCTACTTAATCGTAGTTTGCACAAATAACGCAGCAGAAAGTTCTAGTATTAATAATCCACGTATGCAGAGTTCCGTAGCTACGATTTGGGAAGCTGTGTAGCGGATGACCGCCGTCCGCAAGTACTGGCATTTGATTACGCTGAGATCCGGACAAGTACTGACCTTGTTGCAGCAGAAGACAGCAGATGATCCAGATCATTCTTACAAGACAATGAGCACGACCTGTCCTCTCCATTGCTTAACGGATCTTCTTGTGTTATTTTTGCAGTGCAACATTAATACAACTATACAATCGTAAAGCAGATGACGACACCTTTGATCCCCATTGATTACGAGTTTTTTGTCATTTAACCGCGAAAGAGGTATGGCCTATGGGATCACAACAGCACGGCGCTGATTGTGCCAGAAAGTAAGGTTTTTTTTCTGACAACTGACAAGCAATACACGATCAAAATAATGACAACTTATAAATACATTTACACACAGAACTTAATCACCGTCTCAATTTGGCACCGAATTGAAGCGTAGGAAGATCACAACTGATAACTCCATTAAATGTTACTCTGTACCCATTACATCCATTACCCGAGCCAAAGAAATCGGAACGAATTAACAACAACGGCCCAAAAATTCAGGATGATGATAGTCTAATGTTTATCTCAAAATTATAAAATAATTACTATAACAGCAACTCGATTAATCTTCTGCTGACAATTTTTTTAATTCACCAATGACAAAAAACAACTTATTCTTTCTCATACGCACATGTTACAGAAGTCAGAACTTCACTGTTGAGAAACTTGAGCTAAACGTTAAAAGGGTCATTGGTACTGTACTTAAATTAAACGCTACGTATAATAACGTACAGTAAAAGTACTTATTGAAAGACTTACCAGTACTTATTGTACTTACTCACTTAGTCTTACTTATTGTACAGTAAAAGTACTTTAAGTACTGTAATTGTAAGTCGTTAGTTTTGAGGTAACATGCATACTTTATTGTTATTGTTGTAGATGTCGCGCTAGAACTGGACAAATGTTTGCAGTTCTGTTACTCTGTACGTTCTTGCGATACGTATACAAGTGAAGACCAATACGTGTTATTTCTGTTGTGGTACCTAGTGTAAATGGAAGAAGTTAGAAGAACGTAAAATTAATGACAGCAGACTAAGTCTTGTGCAGCCAGGCAACAAAGTTGTCCGCAATATTCATACCGTACGAGCACGTGTACATTGTTAAATTAATTAAGTTTTGCTTTAAAATTAAGTAACGAAATGCGGTACAAAGTAATTGGGAAGTGGCAGCCTTGAAACCCGTCAGTAAAGTGGTCATCAGTTTTGTCCTTATCCTTCAAATCAAGTATGCACAGTTAGAGCAGCAGATAAAGGCTTTCAAGGCACCGACAATTTGCTGACCAGTGACCATTATCTTGCTGAATGACACAGTTAAATACCGTAGCTGTTCGTCTAAATTAGCAAAAAAATTGAGTACCAGACCGATAATTCGTCTGGCCGGTCACCAAATAGTGTGTAAGTCGCCCATGTTTCGGCTAACAATGTCGAGAAGTTAAAGAGTCAAAACCCTGGCGTGCTACCAGTGCGAGTCATCAACTGCAAGTACAGAGTACGACCAATCTATTAGGACACCAAGCGGCGAACTCATGTTACGTTGTATGTTATTTTTATTTTTTGAAGGCAACCGGACTGCAGGCACGGCTAAACAGAAAACATAGCTCTACAACTTGTAGTACCCTTAAACAAATAAAAGTCACTCGCTTCCACAGAGCCGACGAACAGTTTGATTACAGTAATTCCGATTTCGAAGTTGCCAGTTTCTTGTAGAAACTGTACGATAGTAAGTTGCTAGTATGTTGTTTTAACTAAGGTGATTCTTTATCAAAGCACTGGGAAAGCGACTCGAGCAACACACAGGCGAGGCCCGTTCTCATGAATTTCTACGTCAAAGATTGTCACTGGAGGTACAGCGTGGTCACGCGGCATCGGTTTTGAGAACGATGGAAGGAGCAGAAAAGTTTAATGAAATTCTGATGCTATAAAAAATGTTGATATTTTCAAATATTGTAACAATTACGTTGTACCACAGGAGAAATAAAGTATCTGTACCGAGGTGAAGCCGTCAAGAGGATGTAAAAATAATGTCGTTCGTGGCTCGTGTAGGTAATTAAAATGCCGATCAGTATCATGTAAACAAAATTCTTCGATTGCAAGTAAATGAAAGTCTCTAACCTTGTTTTAAAACGTTCTCTTCAAACCTTCTCTCCGCACTGTGCGATGCGAAGAAATGCTCCGAACTGTGCGAAGGAATAAAGATCGAAGATTTTGACTTCGCACTTGAAGTGTGGCACTCGCTCGTACACGGCGACTACGACAAGTTGGTAGCTTGATCTGCAGTACATCCATGCAGTCTGACATTTTATTGGCATACAGTAAAACTGTAAAAGGTACAAAATTCAACATTTAAAAAGCCATTCACATGACACACACCTGCACATCCTGGCTAATTCACAAAAGCAAACAATACTAGTAAATAAAAAAGCGTACAAAAATTCAAAACTTTAGCGCTACGACTCCAACGGCCAGTGTTGGTCACAACGGTCCCGGTGGCTGATGAGGTTCCCTTTTCAACTCTACAACATAACAAACAGTCATTCCACTGAATTATCTCGTTCCCTTGCAGCCTATGCAAACCCACCGTGACTGCGAGCAATGGGCGCATGGTTGCTGAAAGCGAACTCCGCCATGGAATTCCCGTTGGACGCCAGCCGGCACTGCTGCTTGGCATGCCAGGGAAAGCGCCGCGCGTCGACCTGTGCATCCGCCTCCTCGTTCTCCTCCTCCGACGAGACCGTCTTCCGGCCGTCCCCTCGCAGCCCGTGACGTCCACTTCAGCCAGCGGCGACTGCTCGTCCGACGAGCCCTGCCACCCTGGATCTTCCTGGGCATCCATGCCGTTCTCCAGCAGTACCAGCGCGTTGAGTGCCGAGGCGGTGGTGGTGGTCGGTGTCAGGACGTTCAGCGGCGCACTGCTTTGACTGTGAGCGCTCGCCTGCGCGTCCGAGTCGGAGCGGCTGCTGGAGCGGCGTTTCCAGCAGTTGGGGTTCTTCTCCTTGTACGTCACGGCCAGCTGCTTGGCCTGCTCCGTGTACTGCTGGCGCTCCTCGTGGCTCAGCTTCTTCCAGTGCTCGCCCAACATACAACTGATCGCTCTGCAAAACATTCCGTAAAAATAAAATTATTTCAACAGCAACATATTAAAAATTAAAATTAAAACAGGAGAGTAATATTGAAATTATAAATTTTGTTGCCGGTTAAAGGCTAACCGGTTGTCGCGGCCGGGGAACTGCTGCGTGTAGACGACGCGGTAGCGCTGCGCGAAGAGCATGAAGGCGTTCATCGGCCGCTTGGTCTTGTCGTCGCCGGCGCCCGCGCGCTCCTTCTCGCGCTTCTTGTCCTTGTGGCGGATGCGCGGCTGCCGGTTCCCCGGCAGCAACTGGTTCTCGATCAGTCCGCCGTTCCCCATGGTCGGCGACGTCATCTGCCAGTGACCGTTCGGCGTCGGCCCTGTTCCCTCCATCGGTCCTCTCGTCAGACGAGTCTGTTCGGTCAAATCAAAATTACCCAATTTGTTCGCAAGCAACGACAACTAAACGATAAATAAATTTTTTTATTTTCATTACTTGTTCAGTCGGATAGCTGGACGGATCGACTCCCATCCCGGCGTGCGGCCAGCCCATCCCGAACGGCATATTGCCGACGCCGGCCAGCAAGACCGCACTGGTGAGATCCGGCGGATGCGCGCTGATGACGTCCGAGACGGAGAGTTGTTGGCAGCTGAGCCCGAGGACGCCGAGCGTGGCCAGCGGATCCAGCGACAACCAGCCGCGCTCGTGATTGTAGAAGGGGTGGAAGGTGGGACACAACGCCCGGAGGCACAGGGCGCCGCGGCTCGAGTGCCGGTGGGACGGGGCCCGGGTGTTGCCTAGAGGACTGCCCTGCGCCGCTTCGCCAGAGTGACCGACGGGCTTCAGGTTCAGCTCCACCTGCTCGTCGCTTTTTACGTAGTCCATCAACCGGAAATTAGCGCCCACGCTACGCAGACCAAAATGAAATTATTATATTAAAAAATAATAAATTTAATTTTATTGAATATTCCGCAAATTTCGCACCGAAACTAAAATGACCAACAAAATAATTCTAATAAAAATAATAAATCAATATTTATTCCGTAACTAGCACCGGAATTAAACAGACAAATGAAATAATTCCAATGATAATAAAAATATTAAATTCACTCCTGAATATTATTTAGAGAACTAGCACTCAGTACGTACCGACGCTAACTAGATGAAAGTACAGCTCAAATAAAAATATTAATAAATTTAATAATGAATATTTACTTAAAAATCGATATTAATTTAACGAAATGGATATTTTATTGGTAGAACTGAATTAAATGATCCGTGACTTACTCGAAATCAACGTTATTGAGCTGGTACGCTTCGACGCGCTGGTACTCGACGGCCGCCGGTACATCGTCGCCCATGAGGATCTTGAGCGATGTGCCTGTGGAACCATCCCAAATGTTTGAATATTTTTTTCAGTGGACAAAATTTTTTTTGGACAAAACTGTTTCTCAATTTTTTTACCTGGAAAAAAACAGAGAAACACAAAAGCCCCGCTGCCATTCTGCGGTCCCTTGGGAAACGGGTAGCTGGCTTGCTGAGCGGCCGCCAGGGAATGAAAATAGCCGGCGGACAACGGCAGCGGCCGCGATGGACCGTGGGCAGAGTGCGATGGCTGCAGGGTGTCCAATGACCCCGATCCGAAGCCCGAGCTGGACGTCGACCCCGATCCGGAGCCGGGCGCCGAGACGTATGCCCGGGATCAGCTGCTCCGCCTTCACGCCCATCCCGAGGTCCCCCATCGGCATCCCAAAGCCCGGGAAGCTGTACGGGACATGCCCGCCGTACACCGGGCTGAAGGGCGCGGCCAGGGGCGTGGCGCAGTAGGGCGGGTAGTATGCGGCGTACTCTGCAAGGAAACACGTTAATAATAACTTTGCTGAGGTTAGCATTTTTATGAAAAAGTACCTGATCCGAATAATTTGTAGGGAAAGGCACCAGTCATGAAGGGACTAGCCAGCGGCGAATACAGCGCCCCGGCGCCCGGGGACGCCGTCTCCCGTTTGGTGGGGAGCGAGGGGATGGGCGGGGCCGAGCGCGGCGCCAAGGCCGAGGCGGCCAGGGACTGGCGCTGCGAGTGGGAGAAGTTGGAGATGGAGGAGTCGATGCGGATGGGCGGCGGTTTGCGTTTGCGCCGGGAGGAGCTGCTGCTCTGGGACCCGGTGGGGGCGGTGGTCGGGGTGCCGCCGGGGGTGGCGGTCATGCTGGGGGGACCGGTGGACTGGCGGCTGCGCGGCCGACTCTGCTTGGCGGACATCTCCACGTCGCTGCCGTCCGAGTGGTGCAGCGCGGCCCGCAGCCGTTCGTAACTGCCCGGCGGAACCGGCGCAGGGTGCGCTTTTTCGCGGTTACTGCAAAATGTAATCAGCAATTATTTTCATTAATTTTTTTTCACTTCAAGAAGCAACGTAATTATTAAATCTGCAATCGATACCCTCGTTCGTAGTTCATGCAAGGTGTGCGGCCGTATGTAACGACTACTGTTTTTTCGAATTTTCTTAAATTATTTTTGTTGTACAAAAATAATTATTTTATTTTAAATTACTGTACCCTAACCCTGCACTTGAAGGAAATTTGTACGCTATGAGCGACGCGGTGCTGTATAGCCGGATAAACATTCAACCAATTCACGTTTAAACACGCACTAGCTGCAAGCCGCGTATGTGAATGGTGAATGGCTCGTACAAGTGCGTGCGGCTGCACTGTACAAATTTCCTTCAAGTGCAGGGTTAGGGTACAGTAATGTAATTCCTGATTCAAAATTTTTTAACGTGTAACAAGTGTTTTCCTAACAGACAAAAAGATATTCGGAGACTCTCTTCTGCGCTGGTTTAATTAATTTTAATTTTGTGGAGCACGATGATTCATGTAACCGGTTAATTCGATCGCGAAAAAGCCTTCTAGCCCTTTCTGACGCTTACGGCACATCTGCCCTGCCACTGTTAAATGCAAGTGCATTTTACAAAATTAGTAGTCAGCGGTCAGGCTTCTTAGCGCACTCTGCATGGAGTCGGTGCAGAGCGTAAACTGATGCCTGCATGTCCGAGCAGTGACGCCTCCGTCGGCGCGGCGGCGCTGCAAATGCAAGCACAAGTAATCCACAGGCTGGCTAATCAGTAATCGGCCGGGAAAAAGCGACAAGTGCAGGTCGGAGATAGATAGCAGGATGGGAGGAGATGCATCTGCCTCGATCTGTCTGAGGAGGTCTGTGCTGCATCATGCGTGACTTGAAGTCTACTTGTCGCGCTGACCAGTGGCTGCGACGCCAGCGGAACAAGTGCAGCAGTATTTGCACCTGCGCCTTTACAGATATTGTGCCATAACTGCCATTTACAGGCTGGCAAAGCTGAAAGGGGTCACCCGGGCCTGACTGCGCTTTAAAGTAGCCGGGTGGAACAAGATGCGGACAAACGATAGCCGAGATTAGGTTGCGCTCTCTCTCAAATTTTCCATTTTCCCTTTCTCTCCTTCGCGTTCTCTTCTTCTCTCCTTCGCGCCACAAAGCGCTCGAGCAAATCTGCGACAAGTGCCGTGCAGTTAATATAACACAGATGTGCATGTAAGAATACACGTCCAGTCTTTCGGGCGGCGGGGGGCGGGGCCAGCAGATCAGACAATAATTGCTGTTGTGAGCTTAAACTGCGTTTTAAGGTCAGCGCGTTATGAAACAGAGGAAAGTTCAGATATCATCAACGTATTTTTCCGCTCTAGTCGTTGTAGCCAGTTATGACGGTTTGCAAAACAAATGCCGCAGTTAATCAATTGGGGAACTAACAACACAATTCATAAACAACAGACCGGCAAATTCGAAACCGGCAGTGATCAAAAGCCGCACATAAAGGCTGGCCGCCGCAATTCAAAACCAACCGGCCGCATAATCGCAAAGAACACAGCATATTAGTGCAATATTTTGTAGATTATCAACGTTTTCTTTAGATGAAACGCAAAAAGATAATTAAGTTTAACAAATTAATTGGCAAAATAAATATAAATAATTCAAAGGAAATACATTTAGATTTATACGTTTTTATACATTTAGAAAATTACAAGAATGGTTTCAAAAAATTTTTAAAAGTGCTGTAAGCGCAAAAAAAAAACATAAACAAAAACAGAAATAAATAATAGATACTATCGCAATAAAAGATTGGTTAATAACAAATAATGCACAATCATCTTAAATGTTTTATTAAATACTGAAAACAACATTGCCCGGACTCACCCCGAACTGGGAAGCGCCGCATTCAGGGATCTCGCGGAGGGAAAACGGCACCGACTCTCCCGCTCGCGCGCTTTTCTGCTCATACTCGGCGAAGACGCTGTGGGACTGGGGCGTCTTCGTAAAGGCCCCCGGCGACGCCTCCGGGGAGGCGGCGAAGGGGAAGGCCGTGGCGTGGCCCGCCGAGAGGTCGGAGCGCGGCGTGGAGGAGGAGCTGGCGGGGGAGAGGCCCGCGTGGGGCGGGTAGAAGGCCGCCGGGAAGGGCGCGTAGCCGGGGACCATTCCCGGGAGGTAGGGGCTGTTCAGAGGCACCGGAGGGCCCAGGTGGGCCGGGGAGAAGCCGCAGGCGGGCGCGTAGAGGTGCGCCGTGTTGGCCAGGTTGTGCTTGCCGGCGGAGGAGGCCGGCACCCCCGGCGCGGCCGGGGCGGAGCGCGGCGAGGCTGCAGCGAGGGGACGGCCGCCGGGGTCGCTGGCGGAGAGCTGCGGGGATTCCGGGAGGCTCTCCCACGGCCGGTGCAGCGGACCGGACTGGGAGGTGCCCAGCATGGCGGGGAACGAGGGGTTCATTGGCGATGACGATGAGGATAATTATAATTGGGCAGAGATAAGCATCGCTCTAGCAGGTTCATTATATGACTCATGCGTCCAATTAATCATTCCGTCGCTGTCTCGCGGTGACCGGATTCTCACTAATAAACCGTTCGCATCCAAATTCAAAAGATTATTTTTAAAAATGAAAAATCAAAAATCAATGATGTCATCAACAGATCAGGAATTATTTTCCGCTGCGGTTTAGAAATGATGGCTGGAAATATCAGGCTTGGAAAAGCGTCCACAGAAACAACATTATGATGGATAATATTTTTATAAAATCCGAAGCCACGATTTATAACTGAGAAGTTTATACGATTTTGCGCTGAATCAACAATGGAAGAAGGAAACAGGCCGCGTGGAAAGCGAAAGGGATTTGAATGCGCCTGCAGTTGGCCGAGCACAAATAAGCGCGTAAAGTGCAGCAATGGGAATGGAGCAAGACAACAGGTTAGCGCGAGCAGTGAGCAGCAACCTGTTGCCAGAAATGAGAATCGACTGTACTGATCAATCACAACACGCCGTGTTCCTTTCTCTCTTTCGGGGGAATGGACAAGACGCGCGCTTTCACCGCTAGGCACTAGGCAGAGACAAGAAAGTGCCAACGCTTTCTCCCTTTGATGCGCTTTCTCTCGTGTTCGATTCCAATTCGAATCCAGGCAAACACGATCCATGCATTGTGGATTGTGAGGCACAGGCGCAGACAGCGGCCGATGCGATTGGCTCGGTCTGCTTCCTTTCTTCTTGCGCTTTCCTTCTCAGTTGCCCGTTGCCAGGCCAGGCGAATGGCCCATTCGCATTTTCGCACGTGATGCGCCGAACAAAGACGACTCGGCCCATTCTCTGGCCTTTCTTCTCAAGGAAGACGGGCATTCTAATTTATGCCGAGAGTGTAAATGCAGTGCTGGCTGCATTGTTGACGCTGCCAGGCTAAATGCTAAATGCAAATTGCCCGGCCGAGGCAATCAGCAATGGCCACGTCCATTGCTTGCTTTTCTTGCTTTCTTTCATTCTTCCTCTCCATTCTATTCTTCCTGACGGTCAACAAAGCCCGGCTATTCTTAGCCACCTGACACGACCACGACACCAGATACAGCTGTGTTGTAGTTGTGTGCCATACTGTTCATGTTGTGTGCCAAACAGCCAAACACGAAATGGGCCGCAAGGCGGAGTTGGCCGCGCTTAAGCATTGTCAGCAAACAGCAGTGTCCAGTGTCCACAGGTTGGCAGTGGTTGCACGGGCCACTTGATGCCCTTCTCACGGCGTTGCATGCATGGGAACGCAGGCTCCACTCAACGTCCGTCATACTCCATACACAGGTGGATTAATCATTATCGCGCATTCATTTCTTGGTCAGTAAAAGATAATAATTAAGACTGTCGTCGCTGGCAAGATTCGGTCGGTACACGTTCAATGAATAATCATGCAACGTTTGATCATGGTTACGCATGGAAAATAATACTCTTTGAGCACTAGTTAAAATTAATATTCTTTTGCTGGTTGTTATTAATTTTGCAAAAATAGTGAAGTAAAGCGTGTCTCGTCTATGTTTCTTTACTGGCATGGTTTGACTGTCAACTTTGACAGCCCAAGCCATAAATTTAAGCGCGTCATAAAAATCCTTAATCACTGTATGGGGCACGTTTAAAATCGAATGCCTGTCTGTTACGGTATTCGATTGCCCTGATCTGATAGCCTGTCCTTGCCGAAAGAGCGGTTGATCCATTCCTTGGCAACATGCCTGTTTTCTGGCGCATTGAAATCAAAATTTGGTTTTGATAATTTACATTAAAGTACTGTACTTACTTACTCACTGGATTTTTCTTAATCACGCTACAGTTTTCTGTGGAAACTGGAAACTTGGTAGTTGGTACACGACTGCTAGAAAATCAACTAAAAACTTTAAGTTTATAACGAGTAATTGCAGTTGCACTGTTCAAATTAAACGATAATTACGAACGAAGAAGGCGGAGTCGTGAATACAGTAAGTTATTGTTTTGTCGCAGCGGCAGTCCATTAACATGTTAACGGTTAATTGTTGTAATTTTTGTTATCACATAATTATTATGACTTGGTACGTAACTATTAAAAATTATTTTATATGTACGCATCTGCCCTAAAATTAATGTAATTATTGGCCTTGATCTGTGTCATTTCCGAATAACAAATTTCATACGCCGCAGGTACCTATTTATCGTTAATAAAATTAATTAATAATTTACTTATAGCACTTCTACAGATACAGTATCTGTAGGTACAGTATACGCTCACTTGTGACAAAAAGTCTGCAGTATAATCAGTTGCAGTTGAACTGTAGCGGATATACTTGTGATAAATATTGCAGCACTATCAAATATGTACTGTAATGGAGATTCATAGCTAGATATACAAATCAATATAATCATTCTGATTGTAATAATGTAAATGAGCTTGTATGTACGACTTATTAGCCAATAGGGCTGATACATCATACAGCCGTACAATTATGTGGCATTTCTATAATATTATTGTGCTTGTACATGCTTATATCTGGTGACCGGTGTACAGAATCGGGATTTCCGGTGAGAGCATTACAGTAATAATAATTACTACAAAAGCACAAACCGTTAGAGCCGGCTGGTTACTAATTTTGTGCACTGATCAGTGCGATGTGTTGTAATTACTTTTGCTTAATGCGTCCAGTTCCGTCAACTAAATTTCAGAAATTTGAAACTTATCGAGGAAATTAATCGTTTCAAACTCAAATAAATAAATGCGCTTAACTTATGGAGGAATTGCAGGCTTATTTTGTGGAATGTCTCTCACATCATTCTGTTTTAATGTGTATGCAGTTTTTACTGTACATAGATTTATTGTAGACTGAAGAGGACCGTGTACAGTACAATACGTTGCTAATACTGTACTAGCACAAGTACTTACTACATATAATATTATATCCGCCGGACCGCCGCCGTCACGCACGAACACAGCCAAGAGTTAAAAGTACAGTAGTAGTAAAATCAGCAGCTACGTACAGTACAACTGTGATCAACCGAGGACATTAGAAAATATGCGATCAACGTTAACGCGCAGCCGCACTAATATTGTACAAACCAGAAAGAAATGCCCATCAGCTTCAACTAAAATTTCTTTGCGGTCCCACTCCAGGGAATTTAACGTGTTCAAGAGAAAAACACAACTGCTCATCGAAATCACAACTAAATGCACCGGGACGCACCCAGCGACTTCCGGTGCAGAAAAGTCAGGTCCGGTCAATACTTGGTGGAGGATCCGTTGCGGTGCACCATGGCGTAGTGATCCCCGTATCCCGGATGCATGCTGCGCTCCCGCAGCGACAGCTCCTCGCGCTCCAACGCCGGGTCGTGCAGTTGCAGCGGCCGCCCTAGGGGTGGCGGTGGCTGGTAGTAGGGGGAGGGGCCACGCGGCTGGTACTGCGACTGACCCACCAGCCCGTTCACCGGGATGCTGTGGACGCTGTGCCGGTCCCCGGGGATGCTGCCGGCGCCCGACATCCCGCTGGTGTGCGACCACACGTTCTTCACCGTGTCGTACTCGCCCCAGGCCGACGCCGGCTCCGCGTGGATCTCGTCGGTGCGGTCCTTGCGCGTGCAGTTGCACGACACCGCCGAGCACATTATGATGTTCACTGCACCGGAAATGGAATTTAATTAAGTATTCACTGCACCGGAAATGAATTTTAGTTATACACTGTACCGGAAATGAAATTCAATTAAATGTACACGGCACCGGAAGTGAAATAATGTAACACGTCACCAATAGCGGCCGCTTAATTAACCACAGCTGGACGTTGCAGAACATGGCTTACCGATGAGCATGATGAGGAAGAGGATCCCGAAGGTGATGCACAGCGCCAAGACCCATTCGCCGTAGCCGCACTGGTTGGCCGTCGCGCTCACCGCCACTGGAACAACCGAAGCATCAGCGCTAGCCATTTTAATTCCCAAATCACCATAGATATCATAAAGCTGATATTAGCTAGTTCCTGTACAGTTCGAGATAGTCTCCAGGTCGCTGCAAATTACGCTCAGCGCTATAAGAAATTCTGTCAACTACAGTCGTGCGTAACGCTAACTGGCGGACTGAACGCTGCGTGCACCGTAATGATTCCGACAACAATGTACCGACATGTAAGCCGCGCGCACGATGACCTAAAATATCGCGCATAAAAGCGGCGATAAAGTAGTACTGCCCGTTCTTAACGACGCTGTATTACCGCACCGGAAATATATTCGTACTAATAAGAAATTAACAATTATGCGCTCGTCGGAAAAAAGCAGCCAAGTGCAGCGAGATCTGTAACGAGTACTGTGTAGTGTATGAGTGCAGTTTGGCCGCGGGGCGTTGTCGCTGATTACGAATTACGAAGAGGTACACGGCGGCGCTAAACGATTTCTTTATTAGGAGATGTTATTTGCACGCGTTGCCGCCATTGTACCCGTGACATAATATCGTCGCTTCGCGCACTGGACGCTTTGCACAGCAGCCGGTTTGACAGGCAATTACACCGCCGGCGTGGCTGCCGATAATGGATTGCGCTGTGTTTTGACGAGGCTCGCAAATATGGCTGTTGCCGATAATTGCTCATTTCCCATCAACACTTATTTCCGTGACAGCAACCTGTATTTCTGTGGAAATCACTTTCCTGTCTAACTGCATTAATATTTCATGAAAATCGCTAAGGTGAACTTTTCAAATGAAGTAAAATCAGGAACTTCCGGTGCCTGACGCAATTGCAACCGCTCGGTGTGGTAGCATTGGGCGGATTCTATTTTTCCAGTTTGAAAAATTCCCTTCTTGATTTTCGTCAGAATAAATAACTTGATCAAGAAGATTAGAAGAAACCGTTCTATAACTCCATGGAAGAAATGTTGTAGGTAAATGGAAGGCGAATAGTGCGAGTGCTAACTGAATTAATCAGCTGCGAAATATGCTTTTACGTTTTCGGTAGAATCCAACTTATTCGTTCAGCAAATGCACAGTAACAGGCAGAATTTTCGGCCGACTTACCGGCTCCATCGGTGCTGCCCGGCTCGACGACGGTGAAGGTGGCGCCGGCCAGTCCCTGCGTGCTGACGTCACTGCGCGGGATCTTCAGCATGCTCTCCGCGTTGGGGTTGTAGCCGGCCTCGCCCGGACACAACGGCTGTGTCAAAACAAGCGCAACACAGTTAACACAGTGTCCAGTATGTCAAAGACTGTTAGTGACCTTTTGGCAGGGGACCCGGCAGAAGCCGACATCGCACTGGATGTGCATCTGCGTGGAGTCCTGGAACTTGAACATCTTGCTGACGACGGCCACGGCCGCCGTGTCGTTGGCGTCGAACTTGCCCAGCGGACTGTTGTCCACCGGACACCTGTCATACAAATACAGCGCTCGATCACGGCGTCACGTTAACGACAGCTTGACGACAGGCTGTTAATCAAGGATGGACTAATCAAACTGACCCGCGGTTGTCGCTCAGCTGCTGCGTGGCGTTGGAGCGCCCGAAGGCCACGCAGTTGGTGACGTCCAGCTGCTGGTTGCGGATGGTGGCGTTGGAGTAGACGACGCTCAGCAGGTACTGCTCGCCCTGCACCAGCCGGTTGTTGGCTACCTCTTCGCCTCTCTGCAGCAACGAAAGTCGGACGCTTCCGCTGCAACGGCAAACGTTATTTTCACTTCCGGTGCGCTGTGTTCCGGCAATCGAGGCAACAGAATGGGCGCTTACTTGGCGAGTAATCCGTTCTGCGAGCAGCTGATGATGAACATCTTGTCGTTCTCCAGCTCCAGCATTTTGTGGGCGTGCACCTCGATGACCACCTTATAGTCGCCGGTCGCCTGCAATCCACACTTTTTCTCAACAACGACAACGGTTTTTTACGGTTTTTACGCTTTTTCCTGTATCACTAAGTAATTAGCTTTATTTGTGAATATTTCCATTTTTTCGCTGTGTAATTTATATTACAGCTGGAGAGTGATAATTAAATGAACGGTTGGGTTGGCAGGTTTACTCACTGACCAGCGCAGTCAATGAGCGCCGACAGAGAGGCTGTTTCTCTGCACTGGCACGGCTGCGCCCGAGCGACCAAGTGCAACCGACCAGTCAGCAGCTCTGATCGACTTGGCTGCCTGAGATTGATCTGTAAAGGCACGCCATAAAACTGAATGTGGAATTATGACCATGAACAGCGCAGTGAGCGTAGTGCTGTTGGCTGCAGAAAAAGCAGCCACACCGACGCGTGGACACGCTTGACCCTCTTCCCCACCGGCCACAGCCCCGCCCACGCGCCATTATAAACTAATCAGCGCTGATCACGCGTTTGATCAGCTCCCTTTATGGCCCGGCCTTGCTGGCTGATTTCATTTATTAGGCAGCCATTTCGCAGTGGATCTGGCGCAGCGTCCGTCAAGTTATTTGTTTGCCGGACGTGTCAATGCCGGCACTGGCTGGCTGCTGGTCAGTTGCGCCCAGTAATAAACACTGACGGACTGAATAGGATGTATAGGTATGTGCTTACAATGTCGCGCTGCTGCGCGCAGTAGATGGGGTCGTTGGGCGTGTTGAGGAGCGGCACGATGAGGACCGTCTGGCGGCTCTTGCCGTCGCCCAGCTGGAAGCAGGAGTCGCGGTGGCCGCGCGCGTTGATGATGCCGGCGAAGGGCTCGCTGGTGTCCACCGACACGAACATGTTGTCGCGATTGCACTCCGCCCGCACTATACAGACAAAAATAAAAATAATTAATGCTGCTTCACGCAGGCACTTACGCACTGTAGAAATAATTTGCGCTAAAGTTGACAGCGTATCATTATGTTTTGAGAACATCCATTAACGCAACCCCCAAACAGGGAATTAAGCCGGTCAGTTCGATTCAGTGCTGTATATTACGACTACTCACCTTTGGGGTTATTCTTGAATCCCAGAAGTTTGTTGTTGGCATTTCCGCTGGCAAATTGAGCACGGGCCGCCGCCTGCAATCAAACAGAAGAACATTATGATTACTCCCATCAGCCGTTTCCCACAAATACGAGCACGTAGTTGGCGAATTATGGCTGAAGCAGATCAGCAAACACTATGCAAAACAGTCGAACGTGGATATTTATCATGTAATTAGGCTTTCCCCTTCTTAATGATTGTAATTTCTTCCTAGTCACTAGTCAGTTCTGTACGTGTCAGTTTTTCTTAGCTCTAATACAGTGACCTGGAAGAAACGTGGGAACTATAGCACCCTGCAGTTTTAACATTTATTAAGCATCCACGACTGAAAACGTACCTTCCCACACGCTCAGCTTCGCTGTGATCAGCGTTAGCGAAAGAGCCGAATCAAGTAAAATAATAGCCAATGGAGATCGCAAGTTGTTATCGGGAAGAATACATAAAATATCGTATAGGTTGGCTAGTTCAGTGGGCCGATGGAATAAGACGATTTTGTTTGCTGACTCACTATACATCTACTGGTTTTTAAAGAAAAATGCAGGCCAAAACTAGTGTTGTTCCCCATGCAGAACGCTACGAGCTCGAACGCAGAACTCTGATATTTACAGATACAGTACATATTTACGCAAGTACTCATATCTGACTGAAAGCAAAGTCCTGCAGATCTTCTGGCGCTCACGGGAGGATCTCTGCGGAAGTATCTGGCATTTTAGGCCTTACTACCGACGCTGTACATTTCGTAATGATTACTGTACTTAGTTGCTATGGTTTCTCGCTCAGCCAGCCACTGCCAGCGTATAAGCTAACGATAAGTAATTACGTATTATTCCATGTACAAGTTGATCTACTTTTCTTGTTTTATAATTATATGCCCATTCCGCACAGTAAATAAGTACGTACTTCTACTATCTACTTTGAGTAACTTCGCAATAAATAAGTACAGTACGTACTTGGTTTTTAATTTTGAAAATGTTTATTATATAGAAAACTTCTTGGGAAAGTGTATTTTTTATTACAGGAGACCCGAGGAAATAGCCATTGTGTTCTTTATTATTCTGTAGCGGCTGTTTTGGGGGAACACTAATGCCACTCCTACACAAAACGGTTGTTGTTCAAATGGAAATTGTCAGAAAAGATTGATTAAGAGATGGCTGTCGGATGTTAGTGCTGCGCATTGCAGCATCTGATTCTGGCAGTTCATCGAAGAATAAGAATCCGTCTGCGGCGAATGTGGGTCAACGAATTGAGATCTGTGGCTGCAGCGCTGCATCAGCGTTAACATCAGCATCGCTACTGCGCTGCAGCGTCCACTGTAACGCGTTCTCCGCATCGAATGCCAAACGGTGTTTTCTTGGCTGTTTTCCTCGCAAACAACTAGTAAATGTTGTATACTGCGCATTATTCTGAATAATTACCATGTCTATCGTAATAATTTATCTTTCTGAATAATTATAGTCATAGTTATTGCCGTATTAATTTTCCTTCACGTGCCGTACATGACATGAATAATCAATGTATCACTAATGTACATTAAATGCACATTAAATGTACACAATGTATACATTAAAATCAACACGAAATCTCACCCTTGTAAAAATGAAGAAAACCAAGAAATGCCGAAACCAGGCAGGACAGCTGAGATGCATATTCCGCAGGCAGTTCACGCGCTCGTTAAGTTTGCATAACCATAACGAGCCACAAAACAAACCGGCAACGTAACGATAATAATCCGTACAAAAGCCGCGACGCACAGATAAATTAAATAATCCGGTTATTAGGCCTGTGCTCAGCCGTTCTGCGCCGAATCTCGATGCATAATTAATCTTCTTGAGCAGTTAAATCTTTCCGCAAAATCCCAGAAGAATTAGATCAGTGTATGGTTAATCTAAATTAAATTAAATGGTATATATCCGATGGAGATTCCGCAACGCAGTGTGTGCCTGTGTGGTATCGACAAATAAGAGTAAAAAGGCTAGAGATCCGCAAAGAGATGAATTCTCCGCGATAATTGTTGGTTGAGAGTGAACTTTCGCTTTCGCGTCATAAATGATTGCTGGTGTGCATGTGAATAGCCGTTTTCACCTACTTCCGCCGGTCTTCTTGTCAGATATAATATAACTAATATACGACGATCGGCATTAACACAACACACAAGCAACGCATATAAGGCGACACTGGCTTATGCAGTTATTAATGCACAGTACAATGCAGTGCTACACAAACCGAGAAACTGCAAAACTGCAAGCAAACAATTCGGCATGAAGAACATGTTCGGATGCTTACCAGTTAGTTTCAGCGCAACATGGCCGGCGTGCATGGCACGGGGAAACCTGTTCAGTGTACAGTGCGGTGCCGGTTTCACAGGTAATACACAGCGTGTGAGTGGTGCGCGGCGCCCGCGGGCAGTGCTTGAGATGGTGAGTTAGCGAAGGCTTGTTTACTACCTGAATGCAATAGTAAAGAAGCTGTCGGTCACGCTGAGTGGTCAGCAATGCTAACGTCGCCGGTACGTTTAGCGAGGTGGGCCAGCTTATTCACTGCTCGATCTACGTTTCAAATACTTGGATACGCGTCGCTGACGCATGAGTGGTCAGTCTGCAGCCAGCTTGGTTTATACAGCCATACGCATGGTTGTACACTAAACAGTTGTGTAATACTGTGTGATGCACAACTCGTCACTACTGTGCGGCTTCTGATCGTTCTTGTATCGAAACACAGCAGGTACAGTATCAGTGCAGTGTTTTCTGGTTATGCTGTATACATAAAGCACTGCATTCGACCAAGCGTGTCTATTCTCTTTTTTGCCTCTTTTAATAACTGACTTTTGCTGCGCGAACATTCGCGCGCTAGTGCAGCGGATGTTTTTCTACACGTGCGTTTTACAACCATGAACCTTCAACTCATTTTTCTTCATTTTATGAAAGTTTGATCCAACTTCTATAAAGCATGTACAGATACTGTGCACATTGTACAGTCGACAGACAAGCTCATTCAGTTCCAGCTGAGACGAGCCATCACGACGCCACCGGTGACCTTTCGGCACATTCCACTCGGATCAGACCTGGCAGTAAAGCGCGTATTCACATTTGCGTGTAGGGCATGGGGTCGACGGGATCGAAGCCGTTGAAGAGGGATAGGGAGCGGCTGGGCACGGACACGGCGTTGCTGCTGTCGTTGCTCGTCGCCAGGTTCAGGCTGATCTTCGGCTTCACGCAAAAGTCAAAGTTCTCGTCGTAGCCGTTCGCGCAGTCTGCAGAAAGCGCATCCTTTCATTCTCTTACATGCGCAGTTTAATTCACCCGAAAAATCCCGGCAACCACGGACTTTCGGTTTACCTGGGAAATCCATCACAAACCGAGGAAAAGTCCACGCACTTCATTTCGCGGTCGCACGGAATCTGCGCTTCCGAACAACCTGGAAAATGCGCAGTTTTAACGACATCACGCGTAACTAGCTAAGAAGCGTTAGAACGTTTTTATACTAACACAAGGTTTAACGAAAGGTCATCGCTCGCAAACCGTTGGCTCAATGATTATAAACAGTGAATCATGTCAGCGGTACAGACTTACAAATCCCGGAGGGTGCTTTGCCGTTGTTGCGACCTTTACTGGTCTTGCAGCTGCACTCGAAGCCGCCGTCCGTGTTGGTGCACTCCACGTCCGAGTCGCGACTGGCGCGGCAGGTCTCTTGCGGCGAGCGCTCGCTGCACTCGTTGATATCTGCACATGTACAGCCAGTGAAGGCTTCTTTAATCCGTAGAATAGACGGCTGACTGACCTTTGCAGAGCTTGTCCTTGTCGTCCATGCGGTAGCCAGGCTTGCAGTCGCAGGTCTGCATGAAGAGGTTGCCTGACAGTAAAAATTCTTGGTTTACCGACAAGAACCAGCGCAGCGGCATGCGCAGCGGCAGCGCCGCGGGCGGCGACAGGGGCGCAGCCCGCCGATTCGGCAGCTCCAGCACGGCGCCGGCATCTACGTCCGCCTCCGGGGACTGCGCGCGTGTCGCCGCTGCGTCTGACTGTGCGCCCGACCAGGAGCTTTGCTTACACTCGGCGTTGCGCCCGAAGCGCAGGCACTGCTGGTTCGACGAGCACGTCGGCGGCTTGGGCCGGCCGTTGTCCAGGGTGTCCTCTGCAAAACAACGCCGGTTAAGCTAAACATCGTAACGGGAGGTTAATCGCACTGACTGGCTTCAGGGAGGCTGTTGCTGCTGGTGGCCGACACGATCCGGCTGCAGGTGTTGTTGTTGCCGAGGGACCCGTCCAGGCACCTGCACAGCCCGACGGTCAGACTGCGCGGGATGTCGCATTTGGAGTTGCGACTGGCTTTGCGGCACTGCTGGTTGTCGATGCACGACTCGCCCAGGCGCCGCGCTGCAAGGAGAGACAGTTAGTGTACGGTTAGTGGGAACCGGTAAAGGTCACGTGTATATATGTACAGGGCAAGCACATCATGCCGAGGAAGACGGTCTCGTTGGCGTTGCAGCCGCACATGCCGTCGGCCTGGCACGTGCTGAACAGGCAGTTGAAGGGGTGGTCCGGGTCGCAGCTGTAGCCCACGAAGAAGCGCAGGCCTTCCAGCCGCGGGTTGCTGCGGGCCACTGCAAGCAGGCAGTAAACAGCTGATTCCGACGTCGGTGTGCGTATGAACACTGAAGCCACTTACGCGCTAACGCGGTGTTATGTAGCGATGCGACATCCGTCGACTTCAAGGAGAGACGCGCGCCGAGCGTGTACTCCAACTGCAATACATTTAATTTAAGCGTTATCGTCCGTGTTTGAATTTTGAACTCGTGCAGTGTATTAAGAAGTGGTCATCGTATAAAATTTTCATCCGTACGTAGATACGATTAAATTTTTTCGTTGCACGTTTTTGCCGGCCTTTTTTTCTTTGCAGCATAAGAAATGAGATGTACCTCGTAATAACAAATTTATCTAATTTTCAGAGAGAGTATTGTGTCTTTGGTGGAAGTTGTTTGAGTGAGCAGATGCGCATGAGGAGTATCAGTCGGCGAAGAGTGTGGGGAAAGGATGCGGGCCCAAGTGCGTGATCAGTTGGAGTGCCGACAACACTGCGGACAATGTAGCGGCGCACTTGGCCACGAGTGGCCGCCGCGGCGGCGTCCAATTGTCGTGTGCGTCGCTCGACAAGCGCTGCAAGTACTCGTGCTGGTCAAGCTCAAGGCCACGCTAGCTCAATGCTAACGGACTCACTGCGCAGGTATCCCGGCTCGTTTTACCGGGACACCTATACTCACACACTCACAGCTCCTATATATATCGAACAACTGGGCCACTTCCGGTATTCCTGCGGGAATCACTGTCTCGTTTGACATCGTTCATGTCTCATGAAAGCCTTCAAGCTGAACATATGCGAAATCAGGCACCTCCGTGCTTGACGCACTTATAACCGCTCGATGCGGCAGCGCAGTGCCAATTTGATCATGAACGTTTTGGAAACTTCCCAACCTTTGCGTTTGTGTTATAGGTCGCAAAACATAATTTTCCCTGCACTGCTTGTTGTACAAAAACAGGAATAAATTACAAGAAAGGGAACATGTAGGGACTTGCGGCGCTGGAAGCGGCTGCAACCGCTCGGTATGGCAGCGTAAAGACTTCCATTCTTTTACTTCTTGATTGTCGGTAAAAAATATCTGTACTTTTATTAAAATGTCGTCAATTACTGGAGTTACAAGAAAGCGCAATTTTATAAGGAGACACTAAGGACTTACCGCGCAAAGGAAGAATAAGAGTGCCACCGACAGCGTCATGGTGACAACACATACGCGGACATGAAGAGCAAGAGCAGGCGATGACCTAACCGGAACGGGCGTCCAGCACGCAGACACTGTCCAGTCTCCACTTATTCCAATATAGCCGATCAGCAACAGCAATCCGATCAACAAGACATTCAGGCAGTTGCGCAGATTAACGGATCCCGAGGAGCAAATTAACCAGCTGTACCGGCATTTTGTGGCATCTGCTTAGAATTCCGGCTGGGAGGCGTGATAACAATTCTTATCGATGGAATGTCATAAACGATGGTAGCTGAAGCAGTCGAGTGACCGGAAATAACGGACGTGGATGGAGCGCGCGAGTGGCAGCCGATATATGAGAAATTGATAAGTGATGGTGATGAGCCGTGACGGCGAGATACGGGGCTCTTGTCCAGTATCACAAATAGAGCCGCAGCAAACGGGGCTTGTCGTGTGAACCGCGCTGCATACGTGTCGTTTCAAGTGGCCGCGATACAGCAGCGACAACACCGCCGCACCGGATTTCCTTGATTCCTCCACGCCGGCTTTGTGTGGGCCGCTGTTTCCAGTGCTGGCCGTGTTGTGCCAAGCCATATCCAAACAACGCGTCTGAAGAGGGCGCGCCGCCCTGCCAGGCTGCCAGCCCATGCAGCCCAAACAGCAACAGCCGGCTTCGCTCCACAACGCCGCATCGTTCCGCGATTCGGCCTATTATCACTCAGCTGTGCTGTTTTTTTTATTAAGAAATCATAAGAATTATTACAAATGCCCCCTAACAAATGACTATGCATTTATTTATACACAGATGCGACTATATAATAATTACGTAACGAATGTAAGTGCGGTTGTATATATGCAGTACACTTATATACATACTCTGCTACATACAGAATGTATGACTGTACATTCGAACTCGTATAAACAGCGTGGAGAGTGGGTCTTAGCGTGTACAAACTATAGTTTACATGTACGTAGATTTGCAGGTTTAGTACACACTCTGCCATAACTGTTGTAAATGTAAAAAAATTCCGTGTGATACATTTTCTTTCCATGCAGCGTGCAAAGTTTCGAATAAAAAGATTATACTCGCACAAATGACGCACATGTCCCAAGCAAAGTAAGCATACTTTACTGCATGAAACATGTACAGTGGAACCTCCTACTTTGAACACCCCCGAACGCTGAACACCTCTGAATCTTGAACAACTTTTTTCGTACCGGCGCGTCTCGTAATGGGGGGACCTCTGAACCCTGAACACCTCTGAACTCTGAACCGTGAACACTCTGCTATGTACCGCAGTATGTTTTCTATGTAAATTAGACCTCCAGACATGAACAGAGCAGTTCAGCAAAACACCCGGGAAGATCAAGTGTTCAAGGTGTTCACGTAGATCATTCGTAACCATTCGTTTACCGTTCAGTAATTTTATTTCGTGGACAGATTTTAGTTTTTAAATGAACATCAAGGCAAGAAATACGTCCCGGACAAGTTGACCGCTGCTTATTTTGATAAGAAAAATTCTGTCCTCGATAATTTTTCGACCGACGAATATGAAAACGTATTTTTGTTTAATCGTAGTTGCCGTGTTAACCTGTTATCTTGCCCAACACGACACGAATCATACATTATGCTTGTTAGCTACATTACATATATATGTGTACATTATATGCTTATTATTATCAGCTACATATAAATCTACATATCAAGGAAATAGATCTATATTATGATCGGCCGCCCCGTGGAACTTGGCTAGAAAAAACCGCCAAGCAAATTAAAAAACCGATTTCACCATTAAACTCAGCATGTCCCAAAAGGGTCCCACATGCATTTTGTTTTCAAAAATATCTGCTCTGGACCGTCGCTCGGATGCCGGTACCGGTACAGGCATCAGTTCAAGGTGACCTTGAAAGACATTTTACATAAAACACTTGCGTGGAGCAGCTAACATTCAAATGCAGAGCATGTAGTGTAATAAAAAAAACTGTAATTTTTCCGAATACACTCCGAAAAATTTTTCAGCTTTGTCACGCTTCAACAAAATGCTCTAAAGCGAACGGGAAAGCGCTTTTGCACTGGAACTGTTTAGCTTTTCCGCGTTCTTATACATTGTTCTCTGTGCAATGTGTGCATTACAAAACACTTAAAAATTAACTTAAAAACCAAAGAAGTTGTCGGGTTCGGTGTAAAACGATCTTAGTACTCATATTACGGTATGCTCACGCGTCTACATGCAAATTTGGGATAAGATATCGAATCATAATAAGACTTTTGAATGCCACCTGATGCATTTATTTTAAACATTTTAAAATTTTATTCTCCTTATATCTCATAAACAATTTTCATATAAAGTACAAATCCTTTGGCTAGAGGGTGAAATTATGAAAGCTATGAAACTAAAAAAGCGTTTGAGGGTGCGAGAGCGAAAGTTTGCGAACGTATTGCTACTTACCTGCATAGTTCCTTTACATATTAGGTATAGAAAGCGAAATCGCACTTCGTCCACTCGGTGGTAGAAAACAGGCAATGTCTAACCATAGTTTGCGAAAACTAAAATTTGCGAGTTAAGTTTTAGACTAAAGTTTGCGAAAACTTTCGCTTTCTAAACTTAGAAAGCGAAAGTTTACTGACCGTGAGTTTTCCTATGCAGTGAAAAACTCACTGACCGGACCGGCATATGAGAACAAAGTTCTTCAGCTTTCGAATGAACAGAACCGCACAAGGGTTACACTATCCACTAACCAGACCTACTGAGTTACAGGAAATATACTGACCGTCGATCAGGCCTGTAGAGTGAACGGAAGCTAAAGTTTTAGGGAAGGGATATTATCTTAGTGTTAGTGGCGTAGACCAGATAAGAGCAGAACCGTTATCAGTGTTCAGCACAACGCTAATGCACCAGCTGTCAAACGGACAGAACTGTGCAGAAGCTGCCATGTCTAAATAAAGGGAACGGTCGCCATTGTCCGAGATCCTCAATTTACCACCGGCCTTACCTCCCCTTACCACAAACAGTGTGACCGCGAGGGCTGGTTTTATTTTGTTGGTGGCTATTGCCAATACACAAAAAATGTTAACTACCTAGTACCGGGTAGAACGACATCCCGTGTAAATGCAGTCGCCATTAGATGCTTAAAATCTCTGTCAAAAAATTTTTTTGGGAACAGTTATCCGGAAACAATCGAAATTGAGAAAGAGCCAACCCAAAGGCCATATATATCAGTGCTTAGGTATCACTAATTAGGGCTGCTGCGTAAACGGAAATTACAGGACCCTCTATTGCTGTTACTAATGTTCAGTGAGTAGGACAACGTAATCTCTGTTGCTCGTTATCACTACATACTTCTTGCTGCCGACTGAATCAAGAATAAAAAAATTATCAAAAAATCAAAAATCACACTACTAGAGAACGAGTACTGTATCTACCGACCAAACCTACTGATTACTGAACAAAGGATATTATTGTCCTCGATCAAAATTGGTTTCCACGTACCAGTTATTAAAAAGTAGCGAAGCAGAATTATTAGAAACTTAGCACCGCTGACCGCTCTCCGATTATTAGTCGTGCTATCTAACTATTTTGTTTCACATAAAACGAACCGCTCAGCTATATAATGCTGTTTCCTGATTAAAGCAAGGTAACTGAAGCTACGAACAGCGCCTAATCATACAAAATGTAAAAATATACACACAAACCAGGCTTCAGAAATAAATGAACAAGGATTATTTTTCAAGGAATTGAATGCAGACCACAAGAGCATCTGAGGCGAAGCCGAAGATGACTCTCGTAAATTATATAAAGCCAGGGCCCCCCTAAGAAAGACTCCGCCCCTGGGGGCAGCACCTCTGAACCATGAACACCTCCGAACCCTGAACAAGAAACTGCGTACCGAGGGTGTTCAGGGTCGGGAGGTTCCACTGTATGTTTATTGTTTAGTACTATGTAGCAGTACCTGCTCTGCTGTTGTCGCTGTTTCTTAGTAACTGCAAAGAGAACACACTAAGGATTGCAGTACTGTACACGATATACAAATAATTACAGCAAAGCGATTTTCTCGCATAATTGCAGTGTATACACGCTATATCTGTACTTTATTATCGTTATCGTACTGTATTAATACGCGCAATTACGGGAACAGTAATCTGTTTTAAATTATGGGAAGTGTACGCACTTCACTAGTAGACTGCCGTATACAACGCACACATCACTTATATACAGTATCTTTATTTAACACGTATCAATTCAGCCAGAATTGATCGGAAAAGCGCAAACTGAACAGTATGGATTAAGTAAGGAAAGGTCACCGTGCAGCTTGCACTTTCACGCGACAGTGTTCGTGTTTCGTTGTTAGTACAGCTTGTACAATAGCTGTATCACAATGTGTCCACGAAATCAAGTAATGAACAACCAAAAAACGACCTAAATCGCTGGGTGGCAAATTCTACGGCGAGAGATGAATGGTCTGCTCAGAGAAAATGGGCGGTAAAACTATTAGGACGGGTATTGTATTGTAAAACGCACAAGGGTCGCGCGACGGTCCCGAACACGAACAGAACAGTACTTATTATGCAACAATCTCGCAGAACAGCACGGAAATATTATAGCATCCACAACTTCGACTATTAAACCAGTAAGTAAAGTACTCTGTATGGTACGTACGGTTACGAGACGTACATGTACTCATACTAATAAATTATTTACGTTTTATTCGGCATCCTCCTAATATTACTAAACTAATGTTTATTTTTTTCTTTATTCGCCTTATATACATTGGCGAGCATCGCTCAATAAAAACAGTCAAATGAAGAATTGGTCCCAATTAACCTATCTCGAAACGGGACTGTATTGTACAACATGAGATCGATGGGTTTAGTAATAATTATTATGCCAGTATCCATGCAAATACAGTACACCTGCGCGGATTTAAACTACATAAAGTGATCAAATTCACGTATCGTACTCGTACTTGAAGTCAATATTAGGGAATTGCACGGCCCGGTACATGGTACCGAATTCGTGTGCATGCACGAAAAGCTTCACTTTTGCGCACTTCAAAACACGTCCTTGCATCGTTTTATGACATTCTGTAGCCACGTGATTTGTATACTCGTACATAGGCGCGAAAACCGTTTGTGCGCGCAACTTCCGGGTTCGGGAGTTTCGGCTGCAAGAAAATTCCAAAAAGTTTAAGCGCATTCAGTAGTACTCGTACTAAAAGGCTGGTTATTGGCCGACTGTCATCCGATTTTGCATAAAAACACACATTAGAATGAAGACTGGTTTTGCACCGAACCAGGTTTCCAACTTCTTTTCGAAATCTTACATGTCTTTCAAAAATAAAATACAGTTTGCGAGCACAGACGATTTCCGCGCCAGTATAGGTACATTTAAATCATTTGATCATTTGGCTACACATGCCATAATGTTACAGTGCAAGAAAGGGTCTGAAAGTGTGCAAAAGTGAAAGGTTTCGTGCACGTACACGAATCTGGTGCCTTGTACCGGGTCACTTCCCGGAAGTACTTACAGCGCACCTTTCTATGTATACCAGGTTGAATTTCCTAAAAGGTGTTATATTATAGTGTCGTTTCTTAACAAATGAATTTCAGTAATTATTTTTTGGGGTTTTATTCCATAAACAACTGCGCCGCAGCATGCTTGTACAAGGATCGGCAAGTATTCGTACTGCATTTATGTATTGGTAAAATTGGTGTGTAACTGTTAATTAATAAAATTATGTCATCACGGAGATCTCGGTACAAATGATTGTTTTATTAATTTGTGAATGCCACGCAGACACCGTTCTGTGCGAGCGGAAGCATAAGCCAGAAACCCCAAAATGCAACGGCACAATTAAGTCAGTCCAGTCCTGTCCACGCAGACCAGTGCTCCAGTGGACCCGAGCAAAGAAACATCAGAGGAAGAGCATCAAGACACGGAAACAATCATCAGCATTTGTATAATTAGGGCTAAACAAAGGGATAATCAATGGTGTGTGTATAATTAGAGTAAATTGTACAGCAACATTAACAGCAGCGCTAGCAGTGGCCCGTAGGCACGTGCTAATCCGTCTCTATCTGCAACATGCAACATCGCCTTGAATTCATTCCAACGCAACTAATATTATCATCCGTCGTGTGCCGCTCATGCATACAAAACATCAACAACCTGCAAATAACGCCGTCAGTGTATAAAATAATTATTGCGTTGTAGAAGGTGTAAAAGGAGCCTGGGTTACCCTTGCAGCGTCCCATCCTGTCCTATCCCGGCTTGTCACTGCCCTTACGACACTAACGACTCCGGAAGACATCTGCAACACACCAGACACCGCATTAAGATACGTTTCCCCAGCACAGACTGTCCGTGTGAAAATAACGCCGACCGGAAGTGCAGCGGAAGTGATTGCTTACTGGGGATAGAGGCGGTAGTCGGGCGCGGGGTAGACGTCGTTGAAGTTGCAGAAGTACATCTTCTCGTCGCTGCAGTCGTCCAGGCAGTCGGGCACGCCGTTGCAGAACTCGTCCAGCTTGAAGCAGCGCGAGCCCGACCGGCAGGGGAAGTGTCCGGCTTCGCAGCCTGCACATGTACGTCTGCTTATCTTAACGGTATTAATCGACTAATAATCAGGCCACGTACAGATGCCTTTGTCGCCGTTGCCGTTGTCAATGCCGAACTTGTACTGGCACTTGCACTCGTAGGACCCGGGCCGGTTGACGCACAGGACGGCGGGGTTGTCGCGGCCGTCGGCGGTGCAGGGGCCGTCGGGGAACTGGCTGGCGCACTCGTTGATGTCTGCCAAACAAAGCGTCTTCACTATGTAGTCTATGGCGGAAGTGGACGCGAGAGTCATTGCTCCGGGCATTGCCACACATATATATGTCGGCAGCGGGACAATGCCGGTGCAGCGTTTGTTGAAAGCATGCGGAAGCGGTGTATATACATAGTATGTACATACCTTGGCAGGCGGATCCGTCGGCGAGGATCTTGAAGCCGGGCGGGCAGGAGCAGCGCTGCGACGTCTCGGTTGCGTTGTCCTGGCGCGTGCAGACGCTGGTGATGTCGGACATGTTCAGCTCGCGGCCGTTGTCCGACAGCATCTTGATGGCGCTGCAGTCCTCGTTGGTGATGCACTGGCCGCCGATGCGATCTGCATCCAACACCATCACGTGAACCGACCAGTAATTATTAGAAGCCATTGCCAGGGTCACGCGGCTAATTATGCTCAGCAGGCTGATTAATAAGGCAACAGAAACTTGGATTCTCAGCGGCATATTACAATTGAATCATTTTTACGCAAGGCAATTAAACTGGCAAAATGCAGCAGTGGGAGCGGAAGGCGAAGCCGGTTGTAAACTGTAAACTGCGGCCAGCACCAACTGACTGCGGCTGCTACCGGGGCCAACGCAGAAACGCAGAAACGCCGAAACGCCGAGCGGCGATTGTGTCGCTGACGGTCTCCTTCGGATTGACTAGTGAGCCTTCAAGTCAAGAAGGAGCCGGAGACGGTAGCGCCGCTCGAGCACTGCTCGACATTAAACAGCCGGGACAATGCCGGCGCTGAGCAGTCGGTAAGCGGAACTGCGCCGCATTGTTGTGCGTAACAGATGGTGTAAAGTAGCGGTAGGTATATGTGCATGCAGACTAAAGGCCAGCGTTAATTGAATTATTCTCCTTACGTACCGGGTTTGCAGGCGAGGAGTCCGCTGATGTTGATGGGCTTGAAGTGGTCGTCGCAGACGCACTCCCCGGGCGACACCGCCGAGACGCCCTCGCAGAAGCTGTTGGGCATGCGCTCGCTGCACTGCTTGTCCACCAGACACTTCTGCCCGTGCGACCGCACTGCAATTACAGATACACAAGCACGCTTTACTAACGAGTAACGGCTGGCATTGGCCACACATCTTAATGCGCAGTAACAACGTTAACGTCGCACTGCCAATTAGGCTAGGCTGCAGTGCAATTAATCCGCCGCTGCTGCTGCCGGTGCCGGTGCCGGCAAGGTCATCGCCGGCACTGGCTGTATGCAGCCGGACAATGCCGGTGTCCGAAGGATTTCTTTGGCGCCGATTGAAAGCCGAACTAGGCGCAGATGACGCAACCGTCAACACGGCCTGAATGCAGCTAATGGAGGCGACAAACATGTTGATCTTACGCTGCGGCATTAACTGCTAATCAACACCGCCTTGACTAACACAACGTCATAAGAATAATATAATGATGCATCCTCGCTGTTAACTTCTGTCCTGCCGCTGCACTGGCCGGGTGTTACGCGGTGTAATCTGGCCTGGGCAAATATTGAACAGAGGCCTGAATGCGCTTGTCAACTGCCTGCTCGTCATCATCATCAGCAATATTAATGCATAACACAATCATCAAACAGCCAGAAGACACCACTGGTTTGCACAGGCGGAAGCGTACATGTAGTGCCGTGTAGGCGAGGAAGGAAGCCAGTGAATGTCAAGTTTGTTGTGGAGCAGCTATATCTGCTCGGTCTGTATCTGTACGGTTGTTTATACAAGACACTGTATCGATTATGTACTGTATAATGTTGTGTTATTGGTTTAGGCCAGCATGGTCAACAATCAGCGGCAATTCAACAGCTGATTGTTTTAATTGTACATATAACATAATAATTGAATGGGCTGACTGCATGTACAATACAGTAGCGTCGACTGCCGTGTGGACGTTAATGGGACTGTGATGCTGACTGCCCGTTAATAAGACACATACAAGCGACTGACTTACACTTCAAGCAGATCTTCCATTCAAACTGCACGCCGCGGATCATGGCCACCGGATGGTCGATCTCGTCGGCGGCGCAGACGCAGCGCTTGACGCCCTTGACGTCCTCCACGCACTCGCCGGTGATGCAGTCCTCCGTCTTGTCGCACTGGAAGCCCACAAAGTTCATGCGCATCGACTGCAGGTGCGACAGCGCCGCCCACGACGGCCCGTGCAGTAGTCGCAGCAAAAAGGACTCCTTCGCGCCCAGCGCGTTCAGCAGATTCGCGCCCTGCACCGACTGCAAGCAATACACAGACATTACCATCAATTGGCAATACGCATTATACACGGTATGTCCAGTTCAACCCGCACAGGCAAATGACCATGTCCCGACGGGACCAGTTACGACTGCGTCTCCCTCACCAAGCATGGTCTTCAGTGAATGCATTTTATACAAATTCCCGCAGACACGATTAATATAAAATTTTAATACCAGCCGGTTTTCCTTTTCAGTACAGCATGTGAGAAGCCTCTGACTTGACAGACTTTTACTTATTCTGAAACGACACTGCGCCAGCGAGCTAACACACTGCAGGAGAGACTGGCACACTGATGCAGTCTGCATCTCGGCGAAGGGACTCGTGTTGAGTGACAGTGCAGTATTTCTGGCTTCCGAGCGGCGTTGCTAGGCGCTACGCCGTCGACAATTACAGGGACACCGAGTACGCCGCACTATTATTACAGTACTACGCTGTAATACAGTACGCTGTATTATTACAGTACCACATTCAAGGACTACGCTGTAAAATCCTATCAACAACAACAACAACAACAACTATTATTACAGTAATTTTGCCTTCGCTAAAGATTTCATGTTGACGTTTTATTGTACGTATACACGAACTAAGGAAGAAATTATCCTCATCACGATTTATAAGAGATCAGGGAATTTAGCGACGCGCTAATCTGATTGCTTATCTCGCCGCAGTTAATCATAAACATTTACCAGTATGTTCCTCCACACAGCTGCACTGACCAAAGCTACCTGCGCCGTAATCGACGACGCTGCGCTGACCTTCGCGGAATTCGCTGACGTTGCTGGCGACTATGCGTGCTGCACGTTGCAGCGAATGTCTGGCCTGTCGTATGTATCTGTATATGCGTTCCATGACTTCCATCCGATACATCAACACTCGGATACTGTATTCGTGCAGTCGTCGGAGCAGGAAATGCATCTGTGGCATTCCTCTCGGCATTCCTGCCTTCATCTGACAATGCGCGATGTCTAATGCGCGGCCATTTCCCGGAGGGATGGCCTCTATACTGCCCAGCACACGGTGACCTTCTCTGGTACGCTTCCTACTTTTAAGCAGCTCAGACTCTCTGCGGTTAGACTAAACACTTCAGAAACCTACACTACTATCGGAATCCAGTAACTCAGTTGACAGAATACTTTAGAATTACAGTTCAAAAGAGGAAAAACTTACTACCCTGATCAGCGTAATTAATAACTGCTCTTCTCACTCAGATCTCTGGCTAAAGTTTCCCTTTCGCAAAATCCCTCGAAATTTAACTTGACACCAAAACAGACCGCACTGCAAGTGCAGCGTGCTTCAATTACGTTAGACGGAATGGAAGAGCGTGTATGCACAGTGCATTCCCAGCACTGACAATGCGTGGGAATGCAAGGGCGCCGAGCGTCTCTGGCAAGAAATTATTTACCGTTATGACAAGGTTGCTTTTTTTACTTCGTATTTTATCGCTACACAATACACTGTAGTGTACCTGGTGGCAGACGGCGAGGAGGAAGAGGGGGAGGAGGACGCGGGACAGCGTGGACATGGTGAGGTACGGCGCTGGCGGATCGGATCGGATCGGATCGGGGGGAATGACTAGAGCGGCTGCGGGCTGACCTGCAGACAAGCAGAGAAGAAGCCGGTCAGATGAGGATGACACCGCAGACGCGATGGGGTCGTTAGCGGTTAATTAGCGAGAAATCTCAATCGCCAATGTACAAGGCGATTAATTAGGATAACGGCAACTGGGCTGACTCCTGGCGGGACCAGTTGGACCGGGTCAGTTGACTGGCAGAATTAATGCAGTTAACTGGCAGCGGAGAATTAGCCGGCGCTTACAGATACAGCGGGGATTGTTGCGTCAACAGGCGGCTGCAGCTCTCTCTGCCCGCTGTTTATTATACAACGGCTTCAAGTGCGGCCACTCGAGATTACGGCTAATCTCCGCTGAATATCGAGACCGGCGTAAGACGCCGGCAAAACAATAATATTATAATATAGCCGGTAAACCAATCTGGCCCCGCTCAAGCTCAACTTAACCCCGATTCGATTCTCTCTCCCACTTACGCAACCGACAATAAACAACCAACACACACACACGGCGGCTCCGCTCTCCGGGCCGGGACAAGCGGCAGTCAGGGGAGTCGTGAAGGGAAGAGGAGTAGCTCCCAACGGGATGACCGCTCAGTGCCCAACGGTGAATATCTGTAGTGGCGAGACTGGAGTCCAACTAATGCCGGTGTGATTAATGTGATGGTGATGAGGCTGATAATAATCAAATGAGTAGTTATATGTCCGTGTCGTGATACGGAGGAAGCTGCTCGGCTCGGCGTCGACTGGTGAATGAGCGGAAAGAGCCGGGGGATTTTATGGAGCACGGCATTGGATTAGCCAGTGGGGCGGCGCTTGTGTCTAGCGGCCGCGCTGGACGCTGCCGCGGCCGACCAATGGACCAATGGACCAATGGACGGTCGCGGCGCACGTACGGCGCCGCGTCCGGCCGGTGCCGGTGGGGGCGGGGCCATCCAGCCGGCGCCGCCGCGCGTAGTGAACTAGGCGGGGTGTCCGGCCGGTGCAGCTAGGGCGTCCGGCGTGGCTCGGACTAGCCGCTGGCGACGCTGCCAGACAAGGCCAAGTCGCATATTAATAACGTACTTTTCATAAATTGACTCGCCGTAATTTTTCAATTGTTCCAGCTGAGGCAGCTCGTTAACTGGTCGTTGCGCGTGGGTGGGGTTAAGTTGGCGTTGAATGCATACGCCGGCGGCCGCCGCGGTCAGGCCGTGCCGGGCCGGCGGCCAGGAGAAGCAACCGTCGGCCAAGATGTGGCGCACGGCCGCGAGACACGCGGGCGCTGCCACGACCGTCTTCCGGCGGAGCGTGCCGGGCCCGGGCCGGGGCCGGCACGGGTCGCTGCAACCGGCAGACATGCAGCGGCCGCTCGCTCCGGATCCGCCATGCCAACCGGCAGCCGCCGACTTGTGAGCGCTGCCGGCCGGCCGGCCGAGCGGGCCAGCCAGCGCTTGGCGTCTCTAGTAATTCGTGACCTTGTCCCGCGGAGCCTAAGTACATACTGCAGTTACGTGTGCGTGAGGAGAGGCGACGCCGGTGCTTGCATGCGCTTGTGGCGCAATTGCCTTGTGGCCTGTGCCAGTGTGCCGCTATCTGATCCCAGTCAAGCCGATCAGCTAATGTAAGCAGCTAGTCCAGTTAAGATGCCATTACCGCGCACACGCCTATAAGATCACCACACCGCACGCCTAACTTCACCCGGCCAACCGGCAATTAATTGCCAATCGCTGCTTACTTAATTGTCAGTTAGTTTATTTGCCATTGCTCTCAGCAGCTAAGTAGCCACTAACAATGGGCCCGCGCCAACCAGCTCCCGACTGCCACCGCTCGGCATGCAGCTATCGGTACATACAGGCGACGCAACACCACCGCGTAATCGCATTCGCCGCTACGCTCCGGCTCAGCCAGCTTAACGCGGCAACAATGCCGGTCTGCTCAATCAGTGTACTGCGGGCTCACGTAAACATGCGCCAGACATCACTCTTCATTACTTTAACATTCATCCCCACATACACAGTATTACGATTATTCTCTGAATAATCGGGACACTACGCAGTCCGCGCGTGATGAATGATGATGACCACGACGGCTCTTCTCCAGGTTTCCCTATATTTCTGGCCACTTAACTCGCCGCTCCACAGTTTGTCGCTTGCCCACTTCCGGTCCGTTATATTCCTGTATGTCTGCCCAATTAATTGTCTGTTTTTTTTTATAAATCCCATAATTTCTATCGTAAAGCTACAGATAGCACGAATAATTACAGCGCAAAGCGGCACTGTGAACGATTGCCGCTAGTGCGCTGCCCATCGTCTACCACAACGACCAATTTTCTCCTCGCAGCATTTATAACAATTATAACGGCGAAACGTGGATATTTTATAATTTATATGGGTAGTTTAATAATAATTATTCAGATCGCTAAGCATCCGCCATGCCAAATGTACGTAGCACGCTATGGGGGGCGGGGGCGTGGCGCGCCTTCGAATGCAGTTTGGCACAACTCGTGAATTACGGGGCAAGCTGGTAAAAGACGTCACCTGCGTCCACCGTCGAATAAATTATATTATGAAGCGGATGGCAGACTACGTTTTACCAGAATATCGCAATAAAAGCTGTTTTTATTTGAATATTTTCATTAAGATACACAGTAGTAGAGTACTTATATTAATCCCGAATGCTGCTGAAGCTGACAAGTAATTGTACAGATACCGGTAGCAGTCAGGATATGTTGGTGTTGAAGTGTTATTTTTAGGGGAAAATTTATTTGGATAAATAAAGTATAAATCAATAAATAACTTTTACTTGAATAAATAAAAAAATAATATTAAATATAATATTATTCTTATTATATATAATATTATTCTTATTATATAAAATATTATTCTTATTATATATAATATTATTCATATATTTGACTTTCAGTCTCACAAAGGGTTTTGATCGGATAAATAAATGTAAGGACGTTATTTGCAGCTGTCAGTGTTCAAGGAAATAATAAGTTGTTCCCGGAGCGAAGCACAGAATGCGAGTAGTTAGTTCCGACCCGCGAAGTCATAACTTGTAATTTACTGGGCTTCGTTGCATCATGTAGCTATTATGTGTTGAAACCACCACCCACATATTGTACATTCCACACTGACAATAATCCTTGTACTGTACACTGGTAATCATGAATACAGGAAGACGTACAGCGATACATAATGTTACATATCTATATTATAAACTCTGGTAATACTTATAATAAAATAAAACGGCTTTAAATAAATAAAATAAAATTACGGATATCGGGAACGTCATAAATATAATCAACGCTTTTCGATCACTACTGTCACTAGTGAGTGATGTTGTATGTACAGTAGGGGACGAAGAAAGAATTGGCGGGGACTAGCGAGTTGTCGGGCGAGTCAAGCGACGCAGCGGCTACATGTGCAGGCAGCGGCGTCCGCGGGCGGGCGACAATTACGGCCCTTCTGTCCGGTCCGGTGCGGCGTGGCGGCTACATGTAGAAGTTGCGCTCCATCCAGCCGTCGGGGAAGCGGCGGATGATGAAGCGACGCAGCTCGTCGAAGACGAAGAAGAACAACGCGAACGGGATCATCGGCAGCCACCACACGAACCTGCATGCAACAAGGATGCCGGCCAAGGTCAGTCAAATGCAACTGCTTTCGCAGATAAACAACATTTAAAAAAACGCATTTTGAACATGTATTTGTCGAATACAGGATTCTTTTATAACCAACGAAACTGAATGGAATACTGCCTTGAATTCCATCGACATTTATTTTATTCAGTTCTTCCCTCTAAAAATAAAATTATTATTCCAAATGGGCATGATCATGAAACAATTATTAAAAAAATGAAATGAATAAAATAAAAAATGTAAAAATTAATGTGAAATGTATCTGCGTTTGAGTGAAGCAAGACGGGGGCAGTAACGCACCTGATGGTGTAGAGGGAGAGCGCGTAGTTGAGGTAGGGCACGTAGATGCAGAAGATGGTCACGGCCGTCTCGAAGACCAGCGACAAGTTCATGAACCAGTTCCTGTGATGATCAATTAGCGTTTCATTAGCACGCACACACAGGGAAGCCATGCAACCTGCTTACGTCATCGGCTTCTGCAGGACAGACTTGCGACGCACCTACGAAGGCACATTTTTTGAACAACAATTTTAAATTCAATGTTTTTCCGGCATTTTTCAAGTGTATTCTTTGCACCTGCTTGGTAGATTTAAATAATTTTCCGTACGACTATTTTGATTAATCTACCTAATTTTATGATACATACTTTTAACATTTTCTTGCGTTAATGCTGATTGTTGAATAATATTTTAAAACACCGAGGTATTTTCAAGATATTTTTTTAAATTTTGTCTACCATAAATATTGCATAATTCACGTAATTCTTCCTAAACAGTTTTTCAACTTTTTCAGTCGAGGAATTTTTATGGCATACTTTACCATTTTTCTTGTACATTTTGTTAAATTAAAAACTTTTTCTGAAGATTTTTCGCTTTTTTAATTGAGATATTTTTCTAAGACACTTTCAAACGTTTCTCTTGCATCAATGATATTTTCAATTTGCGTAATTTCTTATAGGTAATAAAATTTTAAAGACACGCCATCCCACGGCAGGATAGTGCTATTGCTAACCGGTAAAAACGTGCTGGACTGACCTTGCGGCAAATGAGGTCCACCCACTGGAAGACGACGATGGAGGCGAAGAAGGCGGCGTCCACCGTGCGCTGCAGCAGCATGCGTTGCGGGTATGTCTGTCGAAGAATTCATTTGATTATTATTATTATTAACTTTTCATTTTAATATACCAGGTCATAATTTTATCATTTTATTTTATTTCTTATTGGTTTTATTCAACCGGGATAAATTCATCGTAATTAACCGGATCAGTTCTATTTATTTAACCGGGTTAATTTTATTACTAATTTCATTTAACGGGGATAATTTCATCACTTTGTTTAATTAACCTAGTTATTTATTATTACTATTATTTATTTATTATTATTCATTCTTTTTTATTATTCTTATTATTATTATTCTTTATTTATTTATTATTATTATTTTCAATTTCCCGGGCTAATTTTGTTGAAAAAAAAATCGGTTTGGTTCAAGTGCCGATTTGTGGCGGTACTGACCCACTCTTGTCCGTAGGAATCGGCCACGTCGCTGAGGGCGGGGTTCTCCCAGTAGTCGCGCACCCCCACCACATCGTAGGGCCGGAAGCCCATCTCGCCGAGCACGACGAAGTAGGTGAAGAAGGCCCCCACGGCGCAGATCATCCCGGCCTGCATGTAGCAGCAGTGCAGCAGCTGGAAGCTGACCAGCCGCTCGTCGGGCGACCGCGGCGGCAGCTTCATGATGTCCGCCTCGGCGCTCTCGTGCGCCATCGAGATGGACGGCAACTGGCGATCAAAACACGCTGCTGAGTCATTCGATCAAGGAGACGGTCAAGAGACTTACCATGTCGGTGCCCAGACACACCAGCAACATGGGAATGGTGGTCAAACCGAGAGGAACGCGGGCAAAGAAGTAGATGACGACGGGCGCGATCTCGGGGATGTTGGACATGAGCGTGTAGCAGATGGTCTTCTTCAGGTTGTCGAAGATCAACCGCCCTATGAACCAGTCACGTCACAAGCTGTTCACTTCGACAGAAGGATGCAACGCTACCTTCTTCGATGCCGATGATGATGGAGGCAAAGTTGTCGTCCAGCAGCACAATGTCCGCCGCCTGCTTGCTGACGTCACTTCCGGTGATGCCCATGGCGATGCCTAGCATTCGCAATTGATTGTGGATGCGTTCATTGGGACGGTCAGTCAGTGCTTACCGATGTTGGCCTTCTTAAGAGCCGGCGAATCGTTGACGCCGTCGCCGGTGACGGCCACGACGGCGCCGGCGCGCTGACAGGCCTCGACGATGATGAGCTTCTGCTGCGGCGAGGTGCGCGCGAAGACGATCTCGGCGTGGTTCATGAGGATGCTGTCGATGTCCTCGTCCTTCATCTCGCGCAGTTCCCCGCCGTGCACCACGATGGCCTTGGCGTCGGCCGGCTCCACCTCGCTCACCTCAATCCCCAGCCGGTGCGCCACGTCCTCCGCCGTCTCCATGCCTTCGCTGATTATCCCCACGCTGCGCGCGATCGCCTGTCAACACCCACACCGATTAAACAACAGAAAAAAGAAGGGAGTATCAACGACGGACCTTGGCGGTGACCGGGTGGTCGCCCGTGACCATGATGACCTGCACGCCGGCGCTGCGGCACTTGGCCACGGCGTCCGGCACCGCCGCCCGCGGGGGGTCGATCAGCGAGATGAGGCCGACGAAGCGCATGCCCTCCATGGGGAAGTTGGGCTTCTCCGTGTCGAACTTGGTGCCTTGAGGGAACTCGTCCTCCGGCAGCAGCAGATCGCAGAAGCCCAGCACGCGCTCCCCGCGACTGCCCAGGTCCAGGTAGGCGTCGTTGAACTTGTCGGTCCAGGCGCGGTTCTTGGGGATGTCCTTGTTGTTGACGCCGATGGAGGAGCAGCGGTCCCAGATGCGCTCCGGCGCCCCCTTCATGGCCACGAGGTAGCGCAGCCGGCCGTCGACGTGCATCTCGTGGACGGAGACCTGGAACTTGGTGGTGGAGTTGAAGGGGATCTCGGCCACGGCCTTGTGCTTGGCGCGCTCGGCCATGACGTCGCCGGTGAGGATCTCGGTGAACTTGAGCAGCGCCGTCTCGGAGGCGTCGCCCTTGCACTCGCGCGCGTACACCGGCTTGTCGCCCTGGTCGTCCTTGAAGGCGGCGCGGTTGCACAGGATGGCCACGTTCAGCAGCGCCTTGCAGGTGGTAGTGTCCGGCAGCTCCTTCCCTGCAACGAACACACTGTTTCCTTCAACAAAGACAGATGGGAAGGCACCAACGCACCGGCCAGCGACTCGGTGGCCGTGTCGGTGGCCACGATCTGCTCGTCCACCCAGGCGTGCGCCACCGTCATGCGGTTCTGCGTCAGCGTGCCCGTCTTGTCCGAGCAGATCACCGAGCAGGCGCCCAGCGTCTCCACCGCTTCTAAATTCTTGATCAGGCAGTTCTTCTTCGCCATGCGCTTCGCCGTCAGCGTCAACATTACCTGCACGACAGCCACTTCAACGAATTTGCCGCAATACAAACAACTGCGCTCTTACCGTAACCGTGATCATGATGCCTTCCGGAACCTACAAGGCACGACTATTTAATCACATATTCCATTTACCGATATTATCCTATTTATTAATAAATATTAAAGGACACTACGATATTTTTTCGATTTAAGTTTAATTAAAATAGGGTATTTTATGAAAATGTCAATTTTATTTTGTATACTTAGGACGTACGTTGGCGACGACGAGGCCGATGGCGAGGATGATGGCGTAGAAGCCGTCGTAGCCGAGGGCCAGCGCGATGACGATGCAGAGGACGCCCATGGTAACGGCCAGGATGCAGATGAGCGTGACGAAGTGGCGCATCTCGCGCGCGATGGTCGTCTCGGAGGTGTCCAGCCGCGTGGTCAGCTTGGCGATGCGGCCCATCACCGTGTTGTCGCCGCGCTTGATCACCACGCCGCGGCCGAAGCCCTCCACGGCGTTGCTGGTGTAGAAGATCAGGTTCTTGGACTCCAGCGGGTTGTCGCTGCCCTCGGGACTGCGCGACTGCGGCTCCGACTCCCCGGTCAGCGACGAGTTGTCCACCTGCCAGAGACCGAGAGGAATATTCATCGCCCCATAACAGCTAGTCTGATGCGCCACCCACCTTGAGGGTCTTGCACTCCAGGATGCGGATGTCGGCCGGGATGCGGTCGCCGGCCTTGACCTCGACGATGTCGCCTAAGACCACGTTGTCGGCGGAGATCTCCTTGATCTTCCCGTTGCGCAGCACGTTGGCGCTCTGCGGCATCATCTTCTTGAAGCCCTCCATGATGGCCTCGGACTTGGCGTTCTGGTAGTACAGGAAGCCGCCCGTGATCAGCACCACGCAGATCAGCACGATGCCCAGGTACAACTGCCGCCAATCACCGAATATAAAGCGTTACAGTCATGCAGAAATGTCAACGGAACTTACGTTATCGTAGGGCGCGTCATCCGAAGTGCCCACCTAGGAGAAAGACAGGTCAACCCTGCATAAATGGCAAGCAGTGCGGGAATTGCAGAGCGTACCTGGATCCCGAAGGCGATGAAGGAGAGGGCGGCGCCGATCTCCAGCAAGGGCGAGAATCCCCCGACGAATTCTGTGTAAAGACAACCGACAACGTTTACTGCATTGTTGAAGAAAAGAAAACGTGGCGGACGTACCGCGAAGGATTTTGACGATTTCCGGGACCTGTTTGGGCGGCGTGAGCATGTTCTTGCCGTCGCGCTGCAGACGCTTGGCGGCCTCCTCTTCCGATACACCCTGCAATGGTCATCGTCACCCCGTTGCAACTTGGAAAGGAACAAAGACGATGACACCGTACCGTCTGCGGATTGACGTCCAGCTTGGCGAAGAGGTCATCTAGCGGCAGCATGTGCTCGTCCTGCAATCGAATATCAGGTAAATGAAGGCGATGACAGCATGTAATTGATCGAATGTACCATGGTGAGGTCCTTCTTGAGGTCGTCCATGGTGAAGGAGCGCGGCAGGTTCTTCTTGGACTTGCAGGGCAGGCAGCGCCGCCACCAGGCCTCCTTGGGCGGGCCCTCGCCCGTCGTGTCCGCCGGCAGCTGCGCGAAGGAGGCGTGCTTCACCGACGGCTGCAACACACACACAGACACGTCAACGAGGAACTGGCGGTCGTCTTGAATTGACTGACCATGCCGCCGTGGACGGATCCCGCGTCCGAATGGTCGTGGTCATCGTGATCCTTGGCGCCCAGGTGGAACAGCGCCAGCCGACTGCCCTTGTGCTTCCCGTTCTTCCCGTTGCCGTTCGCGGTGTCCGACTGGCTGGAGAAGGCGCTCGATTTGCCTGTGCAAACGGGATAATTAAAACACGCGCGAAAATTGTTATAAATCAGATACTGACGAGCAGAGCCTACTGTATCAGCACTCGCACTTGAGCCACTACTCTACGTCTTCTATCGTAACGCACTCTCGCAATGTTCGATTGCGAAGGAGGCGCATAGGTTTTCTTCTAAAGCCCATAAATGTTTTCCTTAGCACTGGCCTGTATCCCTGTGCAAATCACTTTCCTGCCTAACGTAATTTAACTTTCATCAAAATCTCGAAGCCGAAAATTATAAATGAAGAAAATCCAGGGACTTCCGGCGCTTAACGCAGTTGCAACCGCCCGTTCTGGCAACGTAACATAAATTTATCTTACAACTTTTGTAGAAATTCCCGTTCCTTCCCTTTTTGATTTTCTTTGCGAAGCAATGGTTTTGTCTGCACTACTTGTAGTCAATAACAAAAAATTGCAAAAAATTTTAACTATAAATAAGTATTATTTATAAGTAAATGCGTCATGTGGAAAACAGAATGATGCAAAACCAACCGATATGTCTTCACGACGGGTTCAAAAATGCGCCGTAAATCGAAGGTGGAAATTATCATCATAATAATGGAAAAGTCTACTCAGAAAAAATAAATAAATGATAATAACGATGAAATATTACATAGTAACAGATAAATAATGACGAAATAAGAATAATAAATAAAAAAGAATAAAAATACAATGGTCTGGTGTGGACTTACGGAGATTGTCCTGGCTGTGGCGCGTGTCATTGAGGGAGAAGTTGGAAGTGGAGAGCGTGTCGTTGACGGGGAAGGTGGACTGGCTGCCGAACTTGGCGCTGGGCGTCTTGCGCAGGATGCCGTGCAGCTGCTGGCAGGAGGGCGTGTTGCGCAGCGGGTTGGTTTGCACGTGCAGGTGCTGGCTGACCGTGTCGTCCTTCTCCGTGTCGTTGCTCACCGTGTCCTCGTTGTCCAGCTTGAAGCGCGCGTGCGAGGCGCTGCGCGGGGGCATCCTGCCGTCCATCGTGCGGAGGTCGCTCTCGTTGACCTGCGTGGAGATGGTCTTGGAGAGCAGCTCGTCCTCCTCCACCTGGCAGGCGATGGTGCAGCTGGCGGGGGGCGCGCGCCGGGAGGGGCTCAGGACGCGAGGGGCAGGGACGGGGGTAGGGGCGGAGGCGCCCTCGCGGTGGGGGGGCACGGGCTCGTCGTCGGAACTCTGGATCTGCTCGGGACGGGCTTCAGCTGGGCGCTGCAGGCCTTTGAAATGGCTGGCTGCATGCAATTAAAAGACAGCGTTCAATAAAAACAGGGCTGTCATTCTTTTATCATCCAGCAGGCAAAATTAAAAATTAAAAACACTGCAGGCGAGTAAGTATTCTGCTGCAAGTAATCAGCTCAGCGTCTGGCCGTCTGCAAGACCAGTGAATCAGTGATGATGCAGCATTTTGCACAGACAGGTCGCTGGCCAACGGCCAACGGAAAGCACTGCTAGCTGTGTAGCTCCTCCCGCTCTGTCCTCTCATTGGTCGCTGTGTGAATACGGAAAAAGCCCGCCAAGCTGGCTGATTACTGTATGTGAATGGATTTGCGGGCAGATTCATAATTTTACGATAAATGATAACGAACCGCTATTTGTTATTAAAGTTAAAGTAAATCATATAGAAAGCGTCTTAGTGTACCAAAATTTTCTGAATTTGGCCATAATTAGTACCAGTGTACTACATAATCAATTTTTAATTTGTACAGATACGTAGTGCATGTGGATCTCTATAAATCAGGGTTAAAAATCTACTAATTCACATTTAAAGCTTAAAAGCATACAAAGAAACGTTCTGAATTGATACTCGTATAGTTGGTAACCTCGCACTATTATGGATATTTTTATAATTAAAAATACAGCAAGCAAACGGCAGGATACGTATCTGTCGGTACATATAATATATAATATGAAGAAAATCATGCAAACTGTGTTGGTTGTTTTGGATACTGCTGCAGTTTGCGTGCACTGTGCACATGTACAATACAGTACTCACCGGGACTGGAATGCCTCCTGTCGCCGTAGAGGACGTGCGCTGCCGGCGGCACCAGTCCGTGCGTGAAGTCCACCGCCCCGAAATGCGCGTCATCCTGACTGTACGGCGGCGGCGATGATGGCGCGTCGGGGAAACGGTCGTCCTCTGCAGTCTCTGCGTCGTCGGATTCCCTGCCTTCCGCTTCATCGTCCAGACTGAAGTGAGTGGCGGCGGCGGGCGGAGGGGGCGGGTCATGCAGTGGAGCCCGCCCTGAGTTAGCTGCTGGCGCTTCCGGAGGGGGTGTGGGTGCGCGGAAGCGAGGAGGCTGATCGTTGTCGGAGAAGAGCGGCCGGTTGGTTAAGCCGGTCGCCGCTGACCGGAAGTTGGCGTTGGGAGCGTTGAGAGAAGGTCGGGATGGCTGGTGGTCCCGGGAATAATGGTCTCCCGCGTGTACTGGAGATTCTTCCACAGGAGGACGGTGGCGGGCCGCGGGGAGGGTCGTGCCGACCACGGTGTAAGTCGGTCCCTCGGACTGGTACCGCTCGCCGTCGCCCTCGTAGTCGGGCCTCCGGTCACTCCGGTTTCTGTCCATTCTTAACTGTTTCTACCTGATAGAGAGCAAAATACATTGCCACAGTGTGTTTTTCTTCTACACCTTATGTATTTGACTTCCGGTTGATAAATAATACATGTACGTACGAGTACAATACAGTACTAACACCGACTACGACTCCGATTACTACGCTATGCAAAGCTGTAGCTTCCGCCTTATAACGTTTGTAGCAACTGCTGATGTATACAGCATTGGTCTGAGTGTTCGCAATGCAAATGCCTTAGTCTACAACTTAACATCAGAAAAATAATTCCTGTAATACTGCTGTTTGGATTATTTCCGAGCAAGTATTTATTACTTATTATTATTTAGCAAGCATTTATTTTAAGTCCCACATATCCATATGTGCGTCTATCCATAACTTGGGCTAGTTGCGATATTATAATTACTTGCGAAGACGGAAGCAAATACATAATTAAGTACAATTTTCGCGGTTTAATGAAATATTTATTAGCCAGTGCATATATATACGCATCCGGTGTCCAGTATTGCAGTATACGCACATTCCGCTGGATGCTTACTTAACACGGCCAATTAGCAGCGCGTAATTAGCCGTGGAGGCTTGTGCTGAGTAAGGTAAACAACGTTGAACAACGTACATCATCGTTTTGTTTGTTGAGGACTTTTCCGCATATCGCTAGCAGGCACGATCGGCGGTGACAAGCAGAATTCCATTAAAACCAACGAATTTTCGTATTGTGCAGTACTCGCCCCGTTATTAAGCAGAAGTACTCAATTATCTCATCGTTACGGCGCTGTGTAGGTATGTTCTCGGTCTTCTAGGGATTTCACCAAACTGCCCTTTAATTCCCCAGCTGGCCCCGCCCCGCTGCCCTACCGTGACTCCGCACTACGCCAAAATACGGCATTATTTTGCACCTATATATTCACCTCCTCCTGATTATGTATTGCTTCACATTTTTTAATCTCGCTCAGTCATTTCCGGTGCAAAAAAAGCACGGAGCAAATTTCACTCTTCTTTTTTGGACAATTTATTAATGCATGTAGCTACTCGAAGATAATAAAGTAATACAGTAATAGACATGTACACTCATACAGTACATAATAATCACCGCAATAGTATCCCCCCTGTTTGTGGATACTGTAAGCGACAAACAGTTTACACTTTACTTATGCGAGGATCTCGTATTATGTACAGATATATACAAGACTGCAATAATATTATGCGTTTAGGAAAATAAATAATATCAAGACGGGGTGTCTTGTGCGTAGGCTATTGTAAAAATTAATGCAGTAGTCTAGCTGTTATGAAAACACAGCAGCGCTGAACGACTGCATTGTTGTTGAGCCGGCATTCAAAAACAAAAACATGGCATACGAAACGGCCACGCTGAGGGGTGAACCGATCAATGTAATGAGCAAAATGTCGGGGAAGGCGGGACCTTACCGTGTGTATATATGTTAAGAGCAGTTTGCGTGTCCTCGCAGTGATCGTCAGCGGCCGCAACGGCCCGGCACTGGCCTGACGCTGGACGCAGGGGATCCTTAGTTTCCTTCCGCTGCAGCGAAAGGGGCGCAACGCATCCCAAGTTGCGCAGAAATACTGGGCACCGAAATGTACCGAAATTAATTCATTGCCGGTCACTGCACGGATTAATCACGGAGGAACGGTCAATCAATGAGACGAAGTGCATATAATAAATATACATATAAAAGATTTCCTTCGTTATGTAAACACGTGTGCTCTGCAGTATAAGAATAGGAGCATCCCGATGTCGGCTGTTACATCTCTGTTGTTTAGCTGCATCGGTTGGAAAATAATGCACGATTCATGCCAGTGAAAAACGCAGCAAATGACATTGAACAGACGGAAAAAGAACGCCAACAACAATTTATTTGTGAAGGCTGTATTTGTGCCCACGGGACACAGTCGACAATAATCAATTATTATTTTCTTGCATGGCAGCACAGTATGCAGGCGGGAAATGCGGTTACAGTAAACTAGACGTCTGCACAGGTGACCGTCATAAATAAATGTTATACTTACGTTACTTATATTGCCGCACTATACGCATCTATGTACTGTATACAATTGTTTCTGTGCGGTGCTGGAAGGTACATGACAACGCCAGAGCTATTATGAACGCTGTTTATAACTCTGAGGCGAATTGATTCGTGTAAAGTTAATACGAGTAATTCCATAAAATAAACGCTATGCGTGGTGTTGTATACGAGTGGTTAAAATTAAAACACGATGCCTGCTCGTGTCGACACCGTGCAATCCATTGCGCAGTTCGGCTGCGTGTTCTACCTGCAGGTACAAAACGAAACGTTGAAGTACAGATACAGCAGGCAGCATGAAAATCCTATTTAATGAAAAATGCCGCAAAACGAAGTAATGTTTAAATGCTGACTGAAATTTACCGGTCATTGCCGACCCTAAATTACCACTAAACCACTGCTCTGCCCAGCCTGCATGAAGGCCGCCGAGAATTAGCAATTTAGTAAAAATACGAGTACTAACTTTTTACAACCTGCACCTTCTTCTCCACAGCAGAAAGTATGTGCTGGGCCTGTTCTCGGGTCCGGTACATGTCTGTTTATAAATATCGTGCTGGTTAATTGACTCATTCATAAAAAAATAACCTCTCTACAGATATATATTGCCAGGTTAGCACGTCACCATGATTGTCATGGCGTGCTGTCCGGCGCAACACTGTACAACTTGTCCCACGAAGTGAGCACGTTACAATTTGCCGTGCCAGACTGCCAGTGCTGTACCCATTTACTGTACTGTACGCAGTGCACTACACTTTACAACAGCTGTTCCATCTCGATGGCTCTGGCAAATGGTTATAAATAAATTAAAATGATAATAATTATTCTTATGTATAAATCAAACTGTTCTGCTACTAACATCACTATACTCGTACAGTATGCGCGTACGTACTTTCAAGCATCTTATGCCGCGAGTATGTGAGTGTACTGCACGATTCTACACGACCAGCATTTGTTGTTGTTGTTTACATACTTATTGTTTTATGGTTCTTGTTGTAGGTTATTAATTTTAATTAAATAAAATCGATCAGCTGTTGCAGCTCATCAGTATACCGGTTACCATTGCAACACTCGCAACATTTGCCGTATTTTTCCTATAAATTACGGCTTTAAAGGTCACTTTCTCGCTGTATCACATTTAAGAGCAGCAAGTGCTTTTGAAAGTACAGTACTTAGGCCTTTACTGGAGCTGAATGTGAAAGCGTTGTGTAACATAATAACAGGAGAGGTGCGAGAATAATAAGAATTAAAATGCTGATTGTCTTTACGTAACTTATTGGTACATAAAAAATGGTAGCGATGCCGTTTTCCCACCGGATGTCAGTATGCGCAGTTAACCACGCATTTCCGCGTATGTTTGGCGAGCTGACTTTTGCCAGTCAAGATTTTAAGGATTAATGCCGAGGGATACAGTTTGATTGTTGATTTTCTTATAAACCTGTCCGCTTCGCTTGTTTTACCGACTGGACTGGGTTGAATCAACTAAACAAATCCAACCCATTATGCTGATTGCTCTTGCCAAGCCCTCCATTGTCAGCTGCGCCTTTGTCTGTTTACTTAATGGTACGTTCACAACTCGTAAGGGAAATGGCACTTTTCGAGAACTAGTTATGATTCCGCAAAAAAAGACACCATCTCCGTAAATCACGATTTTATTGTATATGTATATATAACTTTGGCCATAGAGTGACAATACTTATTCCTTAAAATACCTGTGGATTTAATGAGCCATAAGTCGGCTAACTCGTCTAACATACCTAATCGACATTTCACTACTAACCGTAAGCTGTAGTATTTCGTGTAAAATTCTTAGTAACCTGCAACAGTTCTATTAATATAACTGGCGAGCTAACCGTTAATGATTGAAAGGGTGGCCTTACTTGTGCATTGTCTAATTTGCAGCAATGTGCGTCGGGGGACTGAAGTGCTACTCGTGCAAGTTCGGCGACGATGCCAACCAGTGTCAGGGCGCCGGAAGTGGCAAGGTGCAGGAGTGCCCGGCTTCGAGCAAGGTCTGCCAGATCGGCGTCGGACTGCGCCACGTGCCCGCCAAGAACAACCAAGTCGGTAAGCAACCTAGTTAACAAGCTACTGTCGCGATCCAACAGGCAATATCGGAGTGCTTAATTGTCCGCTTCTGTCTACTTAATTAAGATGCAATTTATTCAGCTTCTTTAACGATTTACTACAATTAAACAGTAGACTAATTTACTACAGTTTAAATGTATTTTATCTGTCTGTATAGCGCCGGTGATGGGGCGGCAGTGCGGGAACGACAGCGAGCAGAACCAGCGGCTGTGGTCCAAGGCGGTCGCGGCCGGCGTCAAGATGATCTGCGAGATGATCCCGCGCTCCGAGAAGGACGCCGGCCTGCGCGGCATCGACCGGCGCTGCGTCTGCGCCACCGACACCTGCAACGGCGAGATCTGGGACGAGGTCATGGTTGTACCCTGCATGAAGGTCAGCCAACGCCTGCAGACTGCAGTACATTACATGGCTTCTTCTAGTATAAGGACGAATTTGTCAGTGCTCTCAAAATAATGCGCAAATAAATCAACATTTAAAAACAAGCTGGAAAGCATAGAAATAATTAATTTGGATATGTGCAGACCAACTGGAAAGACGGCGAGGACCCGGAAACGGCCACGCTGGGAACGAATTCGCTAAACAACGTCAACGACAGACTAAATAAAGGCACGTACGAGACTGTTTGCGGCTACTGTGCTGCAATAAAAAATCCAAGAAAGGTTTCGACAATGCAACATAATTAAATAATCAATTATTAATTTAACGGTTTTCTTTAACCGTAGTATTTGTGCAAAGGTCACAGATAATTACGTTTCTTACGACGCCAAATAGAACATACATCCCGAGGTAATAAAGGTCACTTTCGTCTAAGGAAGTTGTTGATTTTCGGCAGGCGAGGACGGACTGGGTTTGGGAGCGATTATCGGGATTGCCGTGGGCGCGGTGAGTGTCTTTGTGTTACACTGCCGTAGCGGTGGGCACGTTAGCGCGAGCAGCGACTGCTTATCCGCCGGCAGGAGTTTGTACGGTTCAAATATGCGCAGTGCTACTAAGTAATGTCGGTACATGATTTGTGTGCACCAGGTGCTATTCTTGGCGCTGATGGCGTTCGTGGTGTGGTACATGTTCTTGCGGAAGAAGAAGGAGCCGGAGGAAGAGGAGAACGAGGACGACAAGAGCGGCGCGACTTCCGGCGCGTCGGGACGGACATGGGACGAGGAGGAGGATCCCGACACCGGCCTGAAGAAGTACAAGACGGAGCTGAAGCCCACCGATTAATTACCCAGCTGCACCGTACCGCAGCGGTTAAGTAATGCACTGCTTCCCTTTGCCGGTGGACTGCCTTAATTGCCGCTGGGATAGCTGCTCGCTACACTGCAAAATGGACGCTGAAAGAACCTGCTTCCGGTCCACGCTTGTTAGTCGGAAGTCAATGCAGTGCCGCAGCGACAGGCTGACAACTGGCCGATCGGCACAGCGGGTCTGTAGTTATCCCGGATGACCTTTGCGGTGTCGCTGGAATGGAATACCGGCCGGTCACGGGACTCTGCGCCGCCGGGTCCAGAGATACGCTGCACGATCCGGATGTCCATCGGCCGATCCAGTAACGAAGCAGTACTGCCAGCTGCAGATACCCGTGTTTACAAAGGTCATCACGACGAGACAAGGCGGGGCCTGCGGGTGTTTGCCATCCATGCACGATGTAGTCCGTGGCTGAGAGATAATGTTATTTACTAAATTGGCGATTCTTGTTTGTACTCTGTATTATAACCTTTTGTCGAGTGTTGCCGACGCGTATACGTATGACCTGTATGCCGATGAACAAATGTACGGGGTCTTTTTTATCATTTTATTGTACAAAATGGCTTATGTACGGAATTGCATTTTTTCCGGGATATAAGTTTCTATTTTCTGGGCCAGCAAGAAAAGCACATGCTTCTTGTTGCATTTTATTTTATTTTTTTGGAAGTATTGTGCTGGCCGCAGGTTCAAGGTCATCGCTAAGGAAGAAAAATGCGCAGAGAACCCGAGTATGCGTGGCTCTTGGCATGTACGCGTGGTGGACTACAAATACCGCTGAATTAACATAATAATAATAATAACAATAATTATTATTAATTACTGAACAGTGAACACTACACGGATACCGCACAGGCGGTACGATCCGCAGTTTGATTGCGCAGTGGCCAGTGCAGTTGGAGTTCACTTCGCGACCATCCTGACACTACGTATATAGCGCGCAGCCGCAGTTCGATTTCTTGGCCACGGCGAGCGGCGCAATTAGCAGTCTGAAATTATTCTGCGCCGTATAATTAGAGATACATTATCAACAAATGTGACAGCGCTGGTACAGTGTGAACCGAGCTGGATTTGCGGGCGTGGCGATCTGCGGACGAGTTCTTCAGCAGATACATGTACAGTTGCTGTCAACTGAACATGTAGCGTTATTATTTGGCTATATGCTGCGTTGTCTGTATTAATTATACAGCATCTGTTTATGGTTCCCGGTCCGATTTACTAGTGGAAAGCAGATAACCGCGCGTTGATTAAGATAACGTGTTATTAGTTTATAATAAGAATAGTATCATAAGGCCTTTGGGGATCGACGACGGCGTTCCGCGGAAGAGTTGGGGAATATCATCGGCAGTTCAGTTGATAGCGGCCGTACGATGGACGTTATACCGGCCGTGTGAGATAATCTTTGCCGCCGGGGAAGGAATCGGCTGACCTGCTGCATGAGCTGGGCGATGTGGCCTGCCTTTGCAATTGCACTGCGCCGGAAATGCCCCTGAACTGGCAATGGCCTTGTTAAGGCGGCGCCGCCCGCTGTCTAGCCGCATGGCCCTGTACCTCGTCGGCAGCCTGTTTTTTCTCGATAGGTACAGACTACAGATTCAGATGCGGTAAACGAATTAATTACCGTTGACGTGTGCTAAAATGCAGCTGTAGAAATGACGTCGTGTAAACTGTGACGAACTCGAATTAAATAAACAGCTGAGAAATATAAAATGAATATTATACATGGTGTAATGGTAGGTAGGTCGGTGGAGGGTCTGCAGTGCTACGAGTGCAAGTACGAGACGGACGCCGGCAAGTGCATGGACCCGGCGTCCGGCAGCCTCAAGACCTGCGCCGCCGCCAGCAACGTCTGCCAGATCGGCACCGGACTGCGCGCCGGCTCCCCGGACACGTCCAAGCTCAGTACGTAGACGTCTCCCGTTAATTTTGCTGTGCACTGCTAGCTAGTGACTTTTGCTCCCGTTGGCATTGTCATTGTCCTAGATATAACGAGTAATATGTCCTGGTTGTAACGTTGATGAATGTATATACTGGTATATACAGCGCTGGTGATGGGACGGAACTGCGGGCGGACGGACGCCCAGACGATCGGGAAGAACACGCGGCTGCTGGCCAAGAAGCCCGCCAACAGCCAGATGATCTGCGAGACGCTGCAGCGCCAGGACGGTCCGGGCACGCTGCAGGTGGACCGGCGCTGCGTGTGCAGCACGGACAAGTGCAACGACGAGATCTGGGACGAGGTCATGGTCCATCCGCTCATGCAGGTACAGCGTCCGCCCCTGTACCTGTACGGGTCAGCGAGCGCCTAATACTGTTTATGCCCTACACTGAGTACGTGACATGGGACGTATAATATTATACTACAATAGATGGAGCAGTTGATATAATTGATAATAATTATGACTGTTTCCAAGTTTGTTAATTGTACGTGCACTGTGGCCAGCAATCGATCACCACTTGCACGCGTACAGTATCTCCATAGGACTGTACAGCGCAAGCTTCACTGCATCCTGACTGTACAGTGTGCACCTGTCTTAACAGAGCGACTGGGAGGCCACCAACGCCGACCCGGTGATCCCCACGCTGGGCAGCAACTCCGTTTCCGAACTGGAGAAAGCCACCGACGCCGGTAAATGCACTTCCACTTAAGCTAGTGCTACCCTGTAAAGTGCCGCACGATACACCGGTAGCTGTATTTTGTACAGACGCGCCGTATACGCGTGTATAAATATCGTATCTTACAATATCATGTACATTTATACATACGTAATTATGTTAGCTTCCCGATACCAGATAAATTTATGCAAATCTTCGACGCCGCACACGGCCCACAGATATTGTTACGCAGAAATGGATACATATTTATTGATTTCTCATAAGACATAGTCCTGCAGTTAGTCGGCGTGGTTACAGTCTTACGGAGCTCGAGTACAGACGTACAGTAACATCGTAATATGACTATTACAGGACCGGACATGGCGGTGATCATCGCGGCTGCTCTCGGCGGGGTGAGCCAACAATAAGCCGCGTTTTTAATATTTTGTTTGTAGTACGGTGCGCTGTGCTGCTGGTTCCGTTTTTTTGCACGGCAGTACATGTATCGTAATACAGCTCAACTGCTAACTGTTAACTGCTCTTCGACAAGTGCAGCCTATATAGAATAGTATCATTAATAGTGTTCTTATCAAACCGGTAATCTTCAGCTTAATTGTGCTGTAGGCACTGTGATTGTAGCATTCCTTATAGCCATAGGCCCATAATATTATGCCAAGCTGAAGAGTATACATAATGTACACAGTGCAGATATGTTAAGCGTAGAATACAGACCTTGCTGGTGATTCAACTTGTACAGATACGATTTGTACTAATGTTGCCCTTATCATTGAGCAGCTACTGGTCATTGGACTGGTCCTGCTGGCGGTGTGGTGGTTCGTGCTGCGCAAGCGAGGCGGCGCGGAGGAAGACGAGGAGGAGGACGAGGAGAACACGAGCGGCGCCTCGGGATCGGCGTCGGCGTCGGCGTCGGCGTCGGGGCGGACCTGGGACGAGCAGGAGGACCAGGCCACCGGCCTCAAGACCTACAAGACCGACCTCAAGGCGCCCGCCATACCCTGATCGCCATCGTACTCTCCGAATTCACTAAACCCTGGAGAAGTCCCAGGCAGCTGGATATATGCAGGATGCAGCGACCTCTCGCCACTGCCGGAGTATACTCGTATATGAAGTGGCGTGAAGTCTGTTGCTGACCGGTGATCACCGGGCAATCACTGCACTGCACGCGTGGGACAACGCACTCCAGATACACCGGTACCCTTGCGTCCCGCGCCGGTCCCGGCAATGGTTGACTGTCATCTAGGTGATGTACTTCCGGCGGCTACGGCATGAGCATCACGCGACCGCAGTTGCTGGCTCGTTGATGCACTCTGTATTACTAATTGTCAGTGAAAACGCTGCTGTTGCAAATTGCCGCGTCCTGTCACCTGTGGCTGTCGCCCGTTAGAAGCCGGCTGTCTGTATACTGTATATATGAATATGAGTTTGTGCAACCGTGGTTTCCTGCTTTGCGGCTTGCGCTATTTTCTGTTATTTTTCTTATCTTATTATTTATCTTCTGAAGTTTCTTTTTTGCCTTATTTTGTGCGAAAAATATTGTGCTTTATGTTTTGCTTTATTTTGTGCGAAAAATATTTTGCTTTATTTTGTGTTTTTATTTTGCCGTTTTGCGAGCTGTGTAATCGACTAATCGTTGTTTTCGTCCAGTAAACGAGTGGAATAGTTGTAGTAAACTGGCATGTTTGCTGATCATGAAAAAACAGCAGTTCGGTTGTCGCCTGGTGGCGAGGCAGAATTCTCCGTGAAAATTACGTAAATACAGGCCATAATACAGCATCTTGTGCGTAAACGCTGTAACAGATACATAATCTACACGTCTTTACAAACTTTGCTATAATACTATATACACGTTGCACAGATCAACTGGTCAGTGACTATATCCGCGTTTGCCACTAACACCGGTCAACGTGATCAGATCCAGAAGCAAATCTCAACAAGAGAGAGTAGAGAGCCAGAGACCAGTAACAATGTCTGCGCCGGAGCCCAGTCTGCTCCCTTTCTCAGCACTATCACTGCGCTGCCAGTGCCGACACAGACAGCAGCAATCACAGGGACATCACCGAGTAATCAAGATCAGCTTGGAGTCATGGCTTTTCCCAAAGGGTCATCTCGTCGCGTCCCGCCCGCTGATGGAACGTGTCGGCGCTAGTGGCTGCAGAGCAGCAGACGCCAGCGGTGGGAGACGCGGCGCCGCAGCGGCGGCTCGCTGTTGGCCCGTCCCGCCTCCGGCTGGTCCACACTGGCCGCGTCGCCCTTGGCCGCCTGTCGGCGCACCGCTAGCGAGAAGCGGCTGCGGCGTTTGCGCCGCAACTTGCTCAGCATCTCCTGCCGCCGCCGCTCCAGACTCTGCGACGATTATCAACTGATTTATTCTGTCTATACTCGCATGGTTGATGTCTCAGCTCACCTGTTCGTAGAGATCGTACTCGGAGATGTACCAGACCGGCGGCCAGCGCTGCTGCGCCAACATGGCCTGGTGGTGCGGCGACAGACTGCGCAGCTGCGCCAGATGGTGCCGGTAGATGAACACGTAGTGCGTGGCGATGAAATTCAGGCACCAGGTGTGCAGATAGTGCCCGTGGAAGGCCTCGGCCGGCTCCAGCAGCTCCAGACTGCGCTGCGCCATTAAACACTCGGTGAACGCCGGCGTCTGCAGTTCCGCCTCGGCGCCGGCGCCGCCGCTGTGCGGGCTGCTGCCCAGCATGAGGTAGGTGCCGATGATGTGCTCCTGGATGAGCTCCATCAGCCGCGGCAGACACAGCCGGTCCGCGGCGGCCAGCACATCCATGGCCTCGTACATGTCCCGCGGACGCGGACACTTGTCGACGTATAAAAAGTGCAGGCAGTGCGCCAACGTGTCCCGCTCCAGATCCGGCATCGGGACCTGCCGCTTCCAGCGCTCCTGGAAGGTGCCGCACAGCATGGCCGCCATGAAGGAGGAGCGCTGCGTGACCAGCGCCCGCGAGGCCGGGAGGACGCTGCCGTCGTCCAGGACGAACTCCACGTCGGCCAGCACCCCCGGCCCGTACTGGCTGCCGCTCTGTCCCTTGCCGGCCGCCCCGGGGTCGCTGCTGGGCTCCGTGACGAAGGCCACCAGCTTGGCGTCGCGCTCGGCGAGGAATTCCAAGCCTAGGGCCGCGTTGCCCTCTCGTCCTCGCCGCTGAGGCGGTTGGCGATCATCTTGGTGAGGTTCTTCAGTCCCCAGTCCTGGCTGAGCATCTGCAGCGGCTGCACCGTCTCCGGCGTCATGTCCAGCACGCCCAGGTACAAAAGTGCAGCAGCTGCTCCAGACACCGCCCGATGAACTCGCCGCGCAGCACCACGCGCAGGACGCTGCGTCCGCTGGGCTCCTCGGCGGCGCAGAGCACCTCGTGGAAGCAGGTGTGTCCGCTGTGCGCCACGGCCGCCGCGGAGAGGCCGCCCTCGGAGACGGCGCTGGTCAGCAGTTTGTACAGCTCCGCGGACGCTGTATCGGGGAATACTTAATTAGTATTGCTGCTTTGGTCAAACGATGAACGGTCTTACCGGCCGCCAGCAGCACCCGGTGCGCCCACACCGAGACGCCGTCGCCGCACAGCATCTCCACGTCGGCGAAGACCGCGTCCTCCGTGGCGCTGGCCGTCGGCGCCGTGGCGCACGGAGCCACCAGCAGCCGCGCCAGATCGTCCACCAGCGTCGACTTGGTGGTGGCCTGCTCCGGCGAGGGCGGCGCCGGGATCAGGTAGGGCGACTGGAACTCAGCGTTGCGCACCTAACAAGACCAATACGTCACTTAATTAGCCGGTAAATGAATTAACGCGCGGTTAAGCATCGGTTTACGCATCGGTTTAAGTGGACTGACGTGTTTGAGGTGGGAGGCCCAGAAGCGCGTCTGCCGGCGGTGCACGAGCGCCGCTCTGACGCAGTTGGTGAAGACGGAGCGCACGCCGAATCCCGAGAGGACGCTGGTCTCGTAGTAGGCCACGGCGCCGATCTGGGCCGTCACGGCGCGGCCCTTCTCCGGCAGCAGGATGTCGGCTTCCTTCACGCGCCTATTTACGTATTTATTAGCGGATCAGCGGCCACGTTAACACTGAAGATGCCCACGCCTAGCGTTAATTACACCCACTTGCGCTCGTCGCGAACCACCTTGGCGTAGGCCGGATCTTTATATAAATGGCGCAGATCGTTGCGGCATCCGATTAGTACAATGGGTATTTTGGGGCAGAAGCGCCGGATTTCCGGCCACCATTTGTCCACGCAGTGCCGCAGCGAGGCCGGGTTGGCCACCGAGAAGCACAGCGCCACCACGTCGCTGCGCCCTGCAATCAACGTCATGCTTGCGCTAATGTGTCTCCACATAACTGCTGCATTGACAGTACACCATTGCGTACTGTGATTGCAGCAGCCATGTAAAATACACACACACGGTGACATGCCTAACTAACCCACGCTCCCAAATATCGGCTAACGCCTTTAACGCTAACTTTGCCAATTTCAAATTTAAACGTACTATTGAATTGTCATCGGCGGCAGTACATGCTTACAAAATTTCAGTGATTCTGTTCGAAAGGTTATAAGTACGGTTATATTTTCGAAAATCATCTAAAATGATCTCCCAACATCGACCACATTAGGAAATGTGTATGAATAAGCTCCTCCAACAACAGACACTAGTAAGGCATTAAAATGGCCATTTCAAATACTTTATCGTCTATGTAAATACTGAGAATAAAAATCATTGAAATATCCGCATATTAATTACTCTTCATACGACCAGTGAACTGTATGTACTGTATATCAGTACAACGGTTAATTACAGCCAGGTAGCTAAATAATTCTGATTATGATTTGTGACTGTTATAATGGCAGTGGATAATAAAAGGGTTCGGCTCGTAATTATCGCGCCTGGTTGGCGGTAATCCGAAATAATCAAAAAGAGGCAGAACAGCGTAAAGAGGCAGCCAGATGAATTAATCTGAGAAAGGGGCGAGGCGTAATTAAAATTCTTAAGCAAACAGGCGCTCTTGACGTCGTCAGAAACACTTTCCTGCCGTCATTTTCATTACTGACTATGTATGTACCGTACACTGTACAGTAGCAGAGAATTCTGCCCAAGCGAGGCGGTATTCAATTGAACTCACCGAATGCGAACTTGCGATCCTGGAAAAGCAAACACAGAACTGTCACGTCTACCGCACTTGAGGAAGCGCTCAAGTGGACGCATTCCGTTAGTCAAAGCGGCGACTGACCTTGTCGTGGCAGCCGAAGGTGTCCCACAGGCGCAGAGTGACGTTGACGTCATCCACGACTTCCCACGAGTTCTCCAGCACCTAGGCGCCGCAGCGGGAAGAGAGAAAAACAATTACAGCTAATGAACGGTGCAACGTGACAGCCTGCGTAATATCTGCATATGGACGTAGGTAAAGTAATTAATCACGATGCAAGCGCCAAAGTACAACCAGCTGCATCACCGAACAACAAAAGAAATATACGCTTCGGCGTCTGGCATCTCCGCCGCAGCGGGCCAGAAGCCCCACAATGCGCAGGACAACACAATGCAGCCTCGGGGGAATTCACTCAGCCGGAATTAATCCCGACTAACCTTTGCATTCTCAATTTTGCTAATTGAAAACTTTCCCTTCCGCTTGCTCAGAATACGCGCCCATGATGACAATGCAGAGAGGGGGGAAATTTAATTTCAACAAATTCAAATTCTTAGTATCGGGAAATTCTCATTCTCACCGTCTGCTTGTGATATTAATGAATATGCCGAAAAGATCCGAAGACTTACGCAAGCATTCTAACCCCGCCCGTATTAGCTAAACGAAGCAATTCGTCATTCAAATACATTTCAGCATCTGTAAAAATACTAAATTTTGTTCTTTTTTCAATTATCGATTTTTCGCCTGTAACATTAATTCGACGGCTTATAAGATTATTTTCTGAAGTTTGCAATTAAATTAAATATGAAGCATGTAAGTACAGACAGTCGACTATGAAAGCCGGTTACAGCGTCTTCTTGATAAAATTCTAGCTATTAACCCCGAAATTCTCGATGCCAATTGTGCAAGTGCTTCTATATTTATTTCTCGTAAAATATGTTAATCTGTCTTAAAGTGTTTACATTAGCACAAAGTGTTTTCACTAGGCGCAGATTTAAAATCCCTTCGGGCATGCCAGCTGTACGGGTACCGTAATAAGAATAATAATTTAATTCGAAGGATTCACTGCGGTAAGCGACGCCCTGAATAATGAAGTAGTGAAATGCGTCAACAGACCTCCTGGTGCTGGTGGTACTGGTCGATGGCCCAGACGGTGGGGACGTGGGGCGAGCAGAGCTCCTTGAGACTGAACTTGGCGTTGCGGGCGCGCGCGCAGATGAGCCGCGTCTTGCCGACGCCCGAGTCGCCCACCACGACGCACTTGATGCGCTCCTGCTTGGAGCGCTCGTGGTCCAGGTGCGTCATCATCTCCCGCCACAGCAAACACCCGGATGTCACCGCTATCCCACAGGCGCCTCCAAGAGCCAACGGAAGACTCCGCTTTCGATTCCACAAGGTCCTCACACCGACCCAGGATCGCTTTTCTACTCAGATAAACAAGGACGATTTCCGCCGCCGTTCCTATCCTAAAAACATACGTTCTGTACACGCCTGTATCTTACAAATGCGATTTTTTAAAAACAAATGCGGTTAATCAAAAGCCCAACTGACAGGAAAATACATACAGGATAAGACGGGGAAGCGGCTGGAGAGGGTCTGCCGAAAGGCGGTGCACTGATTTCCCACACAATTACACAAATAACAGGGATAGACGGGAAAGCTGTCACTAACGCCAGGCGGCTGCAGTAAATCAAGGGGACAGTCAGACAGGAACTACCTGGCAAGGTATTGTATGATTGCAGCGCGGTAAGGGTGCCGGCTGCTGCACTAACTCATCGTCAACAATGCCCATCGCAGCACGCAGGCTATAATGCCATACTGCTTACCTATCTGATTCTGTACAACCAGCGAAACGCCAGAAATCCAATCGATAATCAAGTGAGTCCTCCGGCTGGCACCGTTCACCCAACTACACAGGCGGCCAACAACGCCAAGTGCATCCCCACAAGTACAATCGCTATTCACCAGTCACGCCAAGTCGCGAGAGGCAGTCGCACAGCTTCAGTAGATACTTCGATGTGTGTTCCAATTTCTGCAAAGGCATACAATATTGAAACGACAGTAAGTCAACAATTTAATCCGCTGATTCGTTAAATGTAGCACATACAGATACAAATTCCTTTTTCAACGATTAACTTAACATGTACCGGGCCTAACATCAACAACAAATATCTATATCCCTGTGTAATTCTATCAAATAAAATAATAGCGCTGCGTTTTGTGCACAGTATAAATGGGTGTACAAAGCCAAAATGGGTACTATGTACTATGTAGTATGTACATACTGTACCTGGTAACTACTGTATCTATACTACGATATATAGATACAGATATTCGGCAGTAGCCACGTACATAGGTCATGCAACAATATCCACGACGCAAGAAAACGAAATACTTCAGACTATAGGAGGTCGAGTACGCTAATTAAAATGATTGAAATTGAACCACTGAAGAAGCAATCAAAATCGCTGCGAGTACGTTATTGACGCGGTGACGCTGTGCATACTGTACCTTACGATTAATTATTTGCAAAACAACCGCTGTCGGCTGGACCATCTCCAGTTTCCATTTACTTACACAGCAACTCGAGAATCCCGTCGTTACTCGTTGCGCGAGTGCAGACGTATAATGTGAAACAGTGCAAGTGCAATAATTATTACAAAACAAGATATGTAAACGCAAATTACCGTTAAACGGTTCTTTCAGAGATCAGAATGAAGTGGAAGACGCGCAATACTGATAACTGTTGAGCATCGCAAAGAACAATGACTATTATTCGACAAGCAGAGCCACTTGGCGACGCACAAAATTTAAGAACCGGAAGGCAGTAAATTTTCACGAATCTTGGCAAATGTGCTGACACAACTGCTGTGTCGGTCACACGGACTCGCAGCGACAACGCTGATCAAATTATTTCTTTTGTTAGCTAGCAGCCGTTCTTGGCCAACTGGCCTGCGGCGGGTTGTGACTGCATTCGGCTGCCACTGCCAGGGGAAATTATTAATATAATTATACTCTGTATATTTGTACGTGTACAAACTTATATGCGTTTCATTTTCGGAGACCTGGCAAAATCCACAACAATGACTGGCAAAATAACGGCATTAATTCATGATTAAAAATTAGCAAACCGCAGGAGTACAATTCTAATAGGTAGTTAGAAATATGCAGGTCCTTCTTAAGGGACACGAATCTTTCTTGTGCTTTCAGTACTTATTCCTATGGCAGCTCCAGGGCGACCAATGAATCAAAAAATTGAAATGAAAAACTTTCAAATTTCTTAAGTCCGCTAACAAGACTTTCCTGACTCCTATGCTGACATTAGTTGTATTTAGGACGATATATACACGTATTGTACACTCAGCCGCGCATTTGATTGTTGCTGTTGCTGCTGAATTAATAATCTCATGATCCCATGATGGGTATTATTTATTAGTGTCAAATATTTTTAGCCCAGCGATAAGCTCATAAGCCAAAACATGCGCGTCAGCTGTTTCTCTTACCGAGAACAAGTAAGGCTCGTGTTGGCCCAGTGCGTCCTGCAGTCGTCCCCATTCAGTTCCGGTGGGACTGTGGGAGCACAGCACTGCACTTCGCTCGATCCTCGCGCGACCTGCAATCAAATGATCGGGATATAGCCGTCATATATTGTAGATATTTCCCGCACTCTACCGATTTCCAATGCATACCTGTACTGCTGTACAACCAAACACTGCAATTAATCATTCTGGCTTATTAACTGATTAGCTTTATTAACGCTGCTCACTGAAATAACAATTAAATGTGATGCATTATGTGCTGAAACGATGTACCGCGTAATTTTATGTTTAACCAATGTTCACTTGAATAACCCAATAAAATCTAAATACCCAATATTGCTGTGTATGTACAGATACTTGTACCTATAATCTTCGTGTAGTCCACTGTATTTATTATAGATATAATACGAATAAAAGCTATATCTATATATTTTTATTTTCATGCTTCGGTATTGCATGCTACAGTACGAGTACTGTATTGTAAAAAAGTCTGAAGGTATTTACAGAGTACAGTGCGTATTCGGCAGTGCATTACACAACAATCCATAATATCTATAACGTTATTTACAAAATTATACGAGCTTATCAGAGGCACGAAATCAAAACATGCACTATGCAGATGCTCACAAAGAATGTACTGTTGTGCTGACGAAAGGATTGTGATTTTTAAGCACACAGAAGTACAAATACAGTTTTAAACAAAGAATCCATAACAAAAGTTTCTATATTTGCTATTACCAGTACCGTAGTACGTAAATTAGAAGTAGAAGAAAAGAAGAAATGAAATGCAGAAGTAAAACGTATAATTAATGAAGAAATTAATGTAGAAATACTAGGGTATAACAGTTATGATCATATACTTACAAATTTCTAAGAGGCCAACGACTCGTAATGATTATATAATTGCGTGGGTCGTAATAAACTGGTAGCGTAGGAATAATAAATCTTTATAACCGCAGCAAGTAAGTATGTACTGAAGTTTGAGTGCTGTAATTTTGACGCGCACTCTATCCGTGCACTGTACAGAAATCGTAAGTAACACGTGTAAGTGCCGTTTAATACTTCCTCATGCAGTTGTTTATCCACCTTTGTACATGCTGCTTAATCGTTCCGTATTAATGACAATCAGCTGTTCCAGTTTCGAAATGACAGCCCAGTTAATTAAAAGCAAATTATTATGATGAACATTACCGGAAAACAATAAGAAAATAATCACGTACAAGTACAGTTAACAGTTCTTGTACGGACGCAACGAACTTACGATGAATAATGTTATGATTGTGTTATCTAATTTGGCCATGCACCAACCAGCGCATCGTTAATCGTTACCAAGTGTTTCTAATAATGGCGAAGAAGGAATAATTTTTTAATTTTTCTGGTTATGTTACTAAGCACTACACTAGGGCGCTGCTCTGGCAATGAAAACACTAGTGAAAAGCAAAGAAACAGCACGAGTCCACGACCGTGTATCTTTACATGTTGATCAACTTGACACTTATCGTTAAGTTGATACATTGTAAATGATCGCATTATACTGACATATCTCTATAGATATACAATAGTACAATATCTATATTTATATCTACTTACAGTTAGCTATACTGTGTACTGTAAGATATTAATAACTGTACTGGCTCGGTTAAAAAAGTCACACTGATAACTAATCGTAAATCACTCCTCTTAAATAACCTGATTCCTTTAATACTATACTTATTTTTATTTTACGAGTAGTACAATGTATCTGTACTTGTTAATTCTTATGCTATTCGCAAATACATGGATATACGATATTATGTTGTAATAACTATCACCTCAGATAAGTCAGATTCCACAAGCAGCTGATTAATTAGTCAATGAAGAATTGAAAAGAAATGGCGCGTACCTGTTTGACTGGGGCTTCTAACCTGGGACGTTGTCGGTCCGTCGAAGCAGAAGCACAGTGCAACGATGAACGATCTCGAGCCAGCATTATCCCATCATCCTGCCTTGCCAGCAGGGATCTTCGGATTGCCTTCGCCGTGCCAGACTTTCAACTGCAAAACGACAAAATGAAGAGGGCAGTTTTTATTAGGTGGTCCGAGAGCCGCGATCACCGTGTATGCAGCAAGCAGGACAGAGATCCAATGGACGTATCCAATCAAATAATCAAGGTACGGTAGCTACCTCACAAACTAACCACTGCCAGGTGCCAACGACCATTGATAAGAGCAAGATCCACAGAGTCCACTTGCAATTCACACTTGAGATCACAGATACCTCCAAACAGTCGCAACTAACTCCTCCATGGAAATACTCCAGTATCCGCTGAGGTCCAGGTGTTGACGCTGCTCGGTACAAGGAGTTACGAGCGGAGGAATGATAAATCATAAAACAATAAACATCACAAATTCATAATTTGCAGTTGTCAGCAGTCTCAGTGACGACAACAAGTTGCAGTACAACCGCACATGCTATCGTGCTCGCATAAAATGCAGATGATACAAATGACTGTTTAAGTATCATCCATGTAATACGCATCGGGAGAAATATAAACCGAAAAGACGAAAAAAGTATTAAAAATTATTGCAAGTTCTTTCAAGTTTGCAACTGGAAACTGGAAAGTGGAAAGTGAAAAATAGCCAACTCATTCGAACGAGGATCTGGCGATGTTTTCAAGTTTTGATTTTGCTCAGTGATAGGCGCAGACATACGTAACCGCCGCCCGGCGGCGAGGCGGCTAGCAACCGGAAATGCGCCTGCTCTGTACGACGTGTGCACGCACAGCCGTACACAGAGCTGCAGCAACGCTCATACACAGTCAAAAGGAGAAAGTGCAACTGATAATTTTCCATTGGAATTTTGGCCGAGGACGGCATTGACTCGTGAATATTTGAATCTGATGATGAGCCTGATGAAATTGTGTTTCTTTTGACGAAATTCCCACTCTTCTCCCTTTTATAAATCACAGCTCCGACGCTGGAGCGTAGAAATGTAAAAGCTGATCCTTATAATTTGTTGTGGAAGAAGTACTGTGTGGACTTTTGTTTCTACAAGCCAAGTGAGTTGTTGATCAGTCATCAGTGTGGGTCTGCGATGATGATGTGTTGCTCTGGGTCGATGATGTCAAATCGTGCTCACGTTTTGCTTGACCATTATTCTCTTTTTGGATGGAGTTCCAGAAATGATTGTCTTGAAATTAATTATTTGTTTAGTCGCTTGTAATTAACAACATGATGTGTAGTTGGTAGAACTATATTGGCTGTTTTAATTAGTTGACTGAACTGTCTACGTTCGGTTCGTTGTGCGTGCTGATAACTGATGGTTATATTGCAGTCGTTGCATAAAACTTGGAAGGTTGGATTTGCACCTCTATTTGACAGCAGTTGATTGACTGACTTGACATCCAAATTCAATACGGGATTAGCGTTGTCGAAAGCGCTGACAAGAAGCCTGCCACATCTGCTTCTTGCTGTGGTACGTGCGGAATTTGCAGCATAATTTGTTGAATTCCTTTCTTAATTGGTCTTCCACATTTCTAACGATGATGTGAATGGTATTGCTAGGAATTAGAATGACGTTTTGGGAGTTGCTCTGTGATGTGAATAGTGGATGTGTTGAATTTCAGCCGTCGTGATTGATTGTTGAAACTGCGTAGGTGGGGTGCAGCGAAAGACTTGAGAGAGAGGTCTGCGTCAGTTCCCCGGGGGTCCTCCCTCCTCTGTGATCTGTCCATCTCTGTAGCGGCCATGGAGTCGCTGATCCCCGTGATCAACAAACTGCAGGACGTCTTCAACACCATCGGCGCCGAGGCCATCCACCTCCCGCAGATCGTCGTCGTCGGCAGCCAGGTGAGCAGTGATACTTAGCAGCAGCGCTGTAATTATTACTTACGGCCAGCGTAGTGCAGTGCCACCACAGACCACGCTCAACTTGCAGCCAAACACGTCCGCCTCCGCTTGTTGGCTGCGCAGACGCCAGACAGAGACTAAGGCCTTCTGGGATTGTGTGTTTAATAAAGTGTTTATTGGGCAGAGTTCGGGGAAGAGCTCGGTGATCGAGAGCCTGGTGGGGCGGGACTTCCTGCCGCGCGGCCCGGGCATCGTGACGCGGCGCCCGCTCATCCTGCAGTTGGTGCACGTGCCCAAGGACAGCAAGGAGCACCGCCGCGCCGAAGACGGTCAGTTTCACTCTAAACTGCTCTCCCTACTCGTCCTTTTATTTGAATTTTGTTTGAATTTGAATTTCCATTTTATTATCCAACAATTTTCTCCTGAATAACGTTTTATTCTTTCAAAAATGGCCACTTTTCCGATAAGCATTATTACAGACAAAATCATTCATTATTAGCGTCACAGCTTGCGTTGCTCTCATGAAACCCAACCAAGAAAAATATGTAATCTTTAATGTATCTTGTTTACAAAAATGAAATGGTTTGTTCTTTGCTACGTATTGTTTCAGTTGTGAATTACCGTATGTGGGTTTAACTTTGCTAGTTGGGCAGCTGCTGAACTCTGAAATTATTTGTTTGGAATGCATTTCATGCATTATGTACAGTATGCAAATTCTTTTCCTTCGTCCAGGTACTTTGGCCACCGCGGAATGGGGGAAATTCCTGCACACCAAAGACAAAATCTACTCGGACTTCTCCGAAATCCGCGCCGAAATCGAGCGCGAGACGGAGCGCATGTCCGGCGCCAACAAGGTAAGCGCAACACCCGTAGCGAAGCGGGACGTCGCTTCATGCAGCTGCTTTGGCAGGGAATATGTCCGGAACCCATCAGTCTGAAGATCTTCGCCTCCAACGTGGTCAGTCTGACCCTGGTGGACCTCCCGGGGCTGACGAAGGTGCGCAGACGAAGGATTCGTTCTCCTGATTATGTTTCGTAATTTGGTGCATTTCGGTGGTGCAGGTGCCGGTGGGTGACCAGCCCGAGGACATCGAGGTGCAGATCCGCGAGATCATCCTCAAGTACATCAGCAACCCCAACTCCATCATCCTGGCCGTCACGCCCGCCAACACCGACATGGCCACCTCCGAGGCCCTCAAACTGGCCAAGTCCGTCGACCCCGACGGTGCGTGGAGGCCTCCCAGTTTCTTTGCAACCTTATGAGTATTTTGTCAACGCAGGACGCCGCACGCTGGCTGTGATCACCAAGCTGGATCTGATGGACGCCGGGACGGACGCCATGGACATGCTGTGCGGCCGCGTCATCCCCGTCAAGCTGGGCATTGTGGGCGTGGTCAACCGCTCGCAGGCCGACATCAAGAGCAACAAGGTGGGTCGCCGCGTCTTGCACTCCGTTTGTTGGATCGTCATACGTGATTGTGTGTAGAACATTGAGGAGTCGCTGAAGGACGAAGGCGCCTTCCTGCAGCGCAAGTACCCCGCCATTGCCAGCCGCAACGGCACCTCGTATCTAGCCAAAACGCTCAATCGGGTAATTCAGTGTCTGATTTTCGTCTTGCTCGTTCTGTGTGTTGATTAATTGTTCAATTCGACAGCTGCTGATGCACCACATCCGCGACTGCCTCCCGGAGCTGAAGACGCGCGTCAACATCCTGTCCTCGCAGTTCCAGAGCGTCCTCAACTCTTACGGCGAGGCCGTCTCCGACAAGGGCCAGACGCTGCTGCAGATCGTCACCAAGTTCGCCGCCGCTTACTGCCAGACCATCGACGGCACCGCCAAGAATATCGAGACGGCGGAACTGTGCGGCGGCGCCCGCATCGCCTACATCTTCCACGAGACCTTCGGCAAAGCCCTGGAGTCGGTGGATCCGCTGGGCGGCCTCTCGCAGCTGGACATCCTCACCGCCATTCGCAACGCCACGGTACAGCGCTCTAATTAAACACGCGTCTCGACGTCGAAAAGAATGATTTGGGTGTTGTGCGCAGGGTCCGCGGCCGGCGCTGTTCGTACCGGAAGTGTCGTTTGAACTGCTGGTTAAAAGGCAGATCCGCCGTCTGGAGGAACCGAGTCTGCGCTGCGTGGAGCTGGTGCACGAGGAGATGCAGCGGATCGTGCAGCACTGCGGCACCGAGATACAGGTCAGTGTCAGGAGTCCTTACGTCGGGTGTTTCGTGTGTAGATATGCTTTCCCATTGCAGCAAGAGATGCTGCGCTTCCCGCACCTGTACGAGCGCATCATGGACGTGGTGACGTCGCTGCTGCGGCAGCGCCTGCCCCCCACCAACACCATGGTGGAGAACCTGGTGGGCATCGAGCTGGCCTACGTCAACACGCGTCACCCCGACTTCCACGACGCCGCCGCCCTGGTGGGCGCCCTCCTGCGCGACCCCCTGCGCTCCGCCGCCGAGGCGCCGACGCACCCGCTGCCGGGGCGGGCGCACGTGTCGGCGCTGGAGCAGCACCCGGGCGACAGTCAGGAGAGCAAGACCGGCGTCACCCCCAACGGCCTGCCGCCCGGGGGCGGGCTGAACGTCCTGATGGCCGCCGGGGCGGGTGACGGGGTCCGCGCCGCGCCGCAGCCCTTCTCGCCCATGAAGGGCGTCAACCTGCTGCCGGAAGTGGTAAGCATTACTGTCCTTGACATTCGCCGCATGTAAACAGATGGATAATTAGCGCACTGTGTTGTTTAGCCGTTGGCGGCGGGCGCCCGCAAGCTGTCGCCCCGCGAGCAGCGCGACTGCGAGGTGATCGAGCGGCTGATCCGCTCCTACTTCCTGATCGTGCGCAAGAGCATCCAGGACACGGTGCCCAAGGCCGTCATGCACTTCCTGGTCAACCACGCCAAGGTGGGCATGTCTTGTTGGCGTCGTTTACCATCGCTGTCATTCTGAAATGCCCCGCTGCTGTTGCTTTAGAACAACCTGCAGAGCGAGCTCGTCTCACAGCTGTACAAGCACGAGAAGTTCGACGAGTTGCTGGACGAGTCCAACCAGATCGCGCAGCGCCGCCAGGAGGCCGCCGACATGCTGCAGGCGCTGCAGAAGGCCTCGCACATCATCAGCGAGATCCGCGAGACGCATCTCTGGTGATGGTGAGGCTGACCGGAAGCGGAAGACGCCGTGTGTTTGTTGCGTGCGTGTGGCGTGCGCGTGGTGGCCGCTGTGACAAATCGACGTGGATCCCGTGTCATTCCTGACAGAGCTCCCTATCCCGCTATTTCAAGGCGTCGCCACGCTCCCTGATCACCGTTATTTTAACGCCCGATTTGTTTGTTGACAAAGCGGCTTTTATTGGGTTTTGTTTTAGAGATGCTCACGTGTCAGGCAGTGTTGTCATATTTATTATCCCATTCGATTCTTAGTCTTACCCAGCGCGCCAAAGCGGCCGTTTTCCGGCGCTTCTTCTCAGTCTTACTGATGACGGATGTGTGTGTAACCATTGCTTTGTGACTCCTGTTTTAACGGTTTCGCAGCGGAGACTTGATCCTCCAAATTTCCATTTATTGCTTATTCGTTATTGCAACGGTAGGCAGGTAACCCATTAAGAACTCGGATCGTAATCTAGCATGGGAATTTATACCTGGCTCACAAAACAGCGGTTACTCACTTTTTGACAGGGACGATCGACCGATTCGAGCTGTGAGACGACAGGAATGTGCAGAAACTTTCAAAATAGAATTTGAGTCACGCTGTCACACCGTGCGCCTGCAACTGCGTCACACGCCGGAAGTCGCTCAAATTACTTTGTCTGAAATGTTTGCCTCTGGCATATGTGCGCACACTGCGCACATCGACGGTGTGTAGAAAGCAGCGATTTTAAATTTTTCGTGTATGATTTTTATTTTATGATATTTTAGGCTTAAAAGTTAAGTATACAATGTGTGTGCGATCACTGCATTTCGTTGAGTTGATACGTGCGAAAAAAAATGTGCGATCACTACAACCGGTGGAATGTAGCAGTCCGAGGGTCCGAGGCAGTTCGTATTTTTAGCTTTCTTTTGTTTATTAGCGGACCGAAGTCCGGGGTCCCCTGCGCACCGTAGGGCGCCTTTGGCTCTATGACCACTCGCGCGCCATCAAGCGGTCACCCTAAGAATGTATTCTTAGGTTTCTTGTGGGGATGACAGCGCGCACGGTTCCGAATTTCCTGTAGTCGCGCTATTACACCATAGTGTCCGAACACATTTTCTGCCAGTGCCATTTACTCCCTGGCGCGTGCCGTGTTATCACATGAAATCTGCAATCAGCACAAAAACAAACCGCAAGGCAATGTCGTTCGTATTGTTGGAGATATTCTCAAATCGGTATGAAGGTGGAAACAGCAAGTCCCGCAGCACGGCTGTCCGCTTTTTCCAGAGTTACTTCCCTTTCCGCTACCGCAGAATTCCCGTTGTTCAGCCGGTCCTGCACCAGTGATGTCCCGTTTGCAGTTTTGCATGTCCCGACCGCACTTTCACGATCAAAAACTTTCCCGCACCCGCTCCCGCACCCGAGCGCTCGGACCGTCCCGCAACCGGCTCCGATTCCTGATTTTCAATGAATCAATAATTTTAATAACTGTTACAAATTTATTACAAAATTTTTGTGACAAAGTTTCGTCGAAAAGTTTAATGGATACGCATTTTCTAGAAGACTCGACCTGCATGATAAACCTTACAGTACTTTTACTTTTCAAAAAACTGAGTTTGACTCGTAAATATAAATTTCAGAATTACCCTAAATGTATTATCGCCATCAAGTATTCGATTTTCTTTCGAAACCGACGTTTGCGTCACGAGCTAGCCGCCGCTTATTAATTTTCCAGCACAGTGCCTAAGGGTGGGTCTCCGATTCGAAGCTAATCTCGCTATGGCAATGTAGCTCAACTACACGAGGTGACCGTATGGGTGTCCATTCATTTCGGAAACCATTCATTTTAAAAACCATTCATTGTGAAAACAACAGAATAATTTTATTCGGTTTTCTTATGTTAATGCTATTCTTATGCTTCGGTTGTCTCGTGCTTTTTTCTTATGTTATTATCCAAGTGTATTTTTAGGTTTCTTAGTTTTTCTTCCGTTTTTATGTTTTATTTTGTTATTCCTATGTTTTCTTAGGTTTCTTAGGTTTTTTTAATGTTTCTTCAGAATTCTTAGGTTTTATTAGGTTTTCTCATTTTAATAGTTTAATAGTTTTACCTCGGTTGCAGGTAACCCATAAACCTGTTGTGTTTTGCATACACAGCAGCATACACAGCCGGTGCATTATTCTTATGTTTCATTAGTTTCCTTAGGTTGTATTAAGCTTTTTAAGTTTTCTTATTTTTGTCATTTGGTTCTCAGCTTTTCTTATTTTTCTAAACTTTTCTTAGATTTTTATGCTCCTTAAGTTATTATTTTTTATGAATTCCTTTGTTATTCTTATTATGTTTTCTTTTGTTTCTTGATTGTTTCGGAAATTTGTTATTTCCGAAATTAATGGTTTCCGAAGTGAACGTTTTCGAAATGAACGGTTTCCGAAATTGGTTTCCGAAATGATGGTGTGCCGCTGTATCGGTGGCCACGGTTACAGATACGGTACTCGAAGCCACCTCGCGAGGAGGAGACTATGGACTGTGGAGTCGCTGTATCGCAACTAGATTCGCTTTGAATCTGAGATCCACCCTAGGACACCAACTTTCGCGCGAAGCGCGAAGCTGACGCACTTTTTGGCTGCGAAAATTGCTAGAAATTCTATACAAAATTTTTTTAATTCAAAGAAATATCCCGTGTTTTCCCGAGTAGCTGGCGGGTGTACTAATCAGGCTTCATTCCCGACCGCACCCGATCCGAGCAGAAAGCCTCCCGCTACCGCTTCCGAGCCAAAAGCGGGTGCGGGGTGCGGGAATTTTCCGTGATTTACCGAGCCCGTGAAAAAAACGGGACATCATTGTCCTGCACTGCCCGTGCCCACTGGGAACTATGCGTAGTCGTACGGCCAGCCGCCCACGGGGGACACTGATTGGCCTAAAGATACTTACTGGACAACTGGAGGTACTTACAAAAGGTACTTACTGGAGACATGTGGAGAAACACCTATTCGAAAGGCTGGGCAGTATGGCTATTGGCTATGCGCCTCGAAGTTACTTGAAAAACCATTGTTTCCTAGTTAAAGTGTTTCACAGCTTAGTAACTTGTATTCGGTTGAGTACAATTCTTGTTGTAATTCAGCAGCAGCAGCAGGAAAAATGGAAATACTTCATTTTCATCACACGTTACATGGTCATGAGTGGCCCACGTGCAAGCCAAGTCAGGTTAGAGTGACAAAACACACGTTAAGTGGTAAGTCGGCGTCTGTAGGTGCGCCAAAAACGCAAAATCAATAAGAAGCGATAATCTGCATAAGCAATAAGTAATCCCAGTCACAACAAACAATCCACCACGCACACAGCGCAACAAGAGTAAGAGGATCTTAGGGCCGCATGCTGATTACTGCAAGCAGCAGCAAATCAGCCAGCCAAGCTGATTAAAGAAACACGAACAAATGGCGCGATTAATAAGACTATCAGGCGGAAACTCAAAACTGACAGGTCCCGGATTCAGTGCGTCCGTTGCAGTCCAAGGAGGGTATAATTCAATGGATAATTATGCTAAATCGTTATCAAGGGATGAGAGATTATCAGGTGAGTGTGCACTCGCAGGAATGTCAGGCCATCGTGTCGTTGACGCCGCTACGGAAACAAAACTCGAATCAGCACCAACTAATGTCCGAATTACTCCTTTCTCCTACTGAACACCGAAAATACGCCGGCAACCGGAACTACACAACTGAGTTGCTGCAATACAACTACTGAATTTTTTTTGCTAAAGCTGCCGCTTATTTTTACCTAAGTTAAGAGAAAAGCAAAGAGGGATAATCTTTTATTATTGACTGATAAATGAACAAATGTACAGTATTTAGATTTACCTGAATTAATAATTCATGAATAATTTATCTTTTCCAAATTTCTAGTTTACTGTCGATTTTATTCTGGGGTGACACCGGTCTGGATTATTGTTTGGCTTTCATTACGTACACGATGCCGAACCCACCTGGAAGGCTGGCCGCACTGCTGGTCAGTGGTCAGTGCTGCTTTGCGGGCTTGGTCTTCTTCAGCTTGTGCAGTAATTGGGCGCCGTGCTGGCGCGCCAACTGCGGGACCTTGCGCGCCAGGAGGCCGGGCGTGAGGAGGAGCGCCGAGGTGAGGATGTAGAGGAGCAGGGCGTTGTTGATCTTGTCGAAGAGGATGGCCAGCACGACGAGCAGGCCGCACAGCGCCAGACTGAAGCTGCGCGGCAGACTGGCCTTCAGCCGCTTCAAATTGGCCCACAGCGTCTCCGCCTGCTCCCGCGAGTCCAGGATGCGCCCGCACACCGCGTCCAGCTCGCGCTCCTGCTCGTCCGTCCTGCCGACCAACCAGACCACTGCAAATTACGCGCTTCGCCATGTCTGGTAGTCCTACGTTTAAGTACATTTTCTATTCTTCACATTTACTAACAATCGCACTATGCCGACTGCCTGGGAGGCGCTCCCAGACGCCTGGCTCTTAACGCGCACGAGCCATCTCCACCGGAGTAGCCTGTATTCTTGCGCCAATCGCTTTTCTATCTAACATAATCTATCATCCACGAAAATCTCCAAGCCGAACATTTCAAACGAAGGAAATCCAGGCACTTCCGGCGCTTAACGTAACTGCAACCGCTCAGTGCGGCAGCGTAATGCCATTTGTATCTAATCTTGAAATTAAAAAGTTATTACGTACTGTAGTGGGAAAGTCCCAATTTTTCCTGTAAGTGCATCGCATTGCCTTCTTTCATCTTTATATTTAAAGGAAATTACTGGAAGTCTGGGATGCACAGAAATAATGGCTAGATACTGCCGGACATCAGCGCATTTACGATTGAAAGAATCTGCCATATAATAGCGCTTTAAGCAAACATTCGGTTTACCTGTTGCGGCGTTGCACAAACAGCTATTAAAATTAATCGATCAGCTGTGTTTCGCCAGTCACAAGCTACAGATATAGAGCACAGTCCCACTGCCTGCAAACAGGACATCACGGCAATGTTCAAAATGGCTCTCCTTGTACTTTGTAGGATCGCAGATGCCCGAGCGAACAGAGGCAATCCGCGGGAGCGCAGGCTCGTAGCGCGTGACTCATACTCGAATGTATATGTAAACAAGCGGCCATTCACAAACGGTGACAAACCCACTGTAAATGTTATCGATCGCCACTGCATGCACTGCAGGCGAGCATTAACCCGGGAGCTTAATTCATGATCGATCTGCTCTACTTCCACAACGGCCACGTTGTTCTCCAGCTGCAAACGCATCTTTACATGGCGGAGCAGCAGCGGATAACATTAACGAGCTAACGGATGTTCTCGCGCGATCCGCATCCTCCCTGACTATATCTTAGTCGGACACGCATACACGCAGTCTAATCGTCAGCCTGCCGCGTGACTCTGGCAACCCTGGCTACAGCCGCTGTCATGTTCGTTAATATTCAAACAAGAAGCAATTCGAACCAGGCTAGCTAGAAACAAATTAATCAAGCTAAGCTGGCATTCAGAACAACTAAGATGTTCCTGTCCTACTTATCACTACTGACTAGTGACTGCCTGGCTCGCGCCCCTCGGCGCGCTTCAAGACGCATAGCTCCCAACGTAGAAGAGCAATTACCTTCAAACCAACCTGTACTCCTTTGGAATTCACTTTCCTATCCGACATTATTTACGTTTCACGAAAACCTCTACGGTCAAAATTCTGAAAGAAGAAAATCTACGGACTTCCGGTGCTTGACGCAGTTGCCACCGCTCGGTACGGCAGCGTCATGTGAATCTGCTCTTGGAAAATTCCCATATGCTTTCCCTCTGCGATTTTCCTCATAAAAACTGACTTTCTCTGTGCTACTTGTAATAAAAATACACGAATAAATAATATAAATTACAGGAAAGCATTCTAATTGGTAAATGCGTCGGTAGGAAGCAGGCAGATGCACGAGGACGACGTGAATGATAGATCGAGGGTAAAAGAGTGCGAGCCACTTTTCAGATGCGCTTACGGCTTACCAGGCGTTGGCGTCGAAGATGGTGGCCGAGACGACGGGCACGATGGCGTCGGCCAGCGTGACGACGACGCCGAGCAGGGCCAGCGTGGAGAGCACGGAGAGGTCCAGCAGCCAGACGAGGAGGAAGAAGAGGGAGTTCAGCCCCAGGAGCAGCGCGGGGAACCAGGGGCGCTGCCACTGCAGCAGCTGCGCCAGCAGCAGCGTCACGGGCCGCCACTCGCTCAGGCAGGCCTTGACGCCGCGCAGCCGCTCCTCGCGCCGGTCCACCTGCGCCTTGTCCAGCCCCGCCAGCTCCAGGTCGCCCTTGTCCGCGTCCGCGTCGAACTGCTCGCTGTAAAGATGGCTGCTGCGCTTGTTGTGAGCGTCGTCTCCCTCCGACATCTTCTCGCTTTCACTCTGCAGCAGGCAAATACTGGCTTGAGGACCATTACTCATTGTACGCACTACGCACCAATACGCCTGAATTTCGTCAATCGTTTCTTGGAAACGATTCCTGGCGGATCATACGCCAGCGACTGTCTGTCTGCTCAATTTAACAGAGGCGACATGCTACACAACTAGAGCAATAAAGTTGAATAAACACTGCAACGTACCAAGTTTCTGCTACTTATCAACAAACTGTCACAAACAACAAACTCTTATCCGAGTACTCAGATTTCCACTTCCCACTTCCAAGCAAAAATTAAAACATTAACGATGACATTCTCGTTCTGGGTTTGATTTCTAAAAAGCCCCAGTACTGTATATCTGAAAACTGCTGTGCTCACTCATCACATCTGCTTACTTCGCTGTTTATCAACTTGGAAAGAAATTCTCGGATTCACCAACACGCAGCTTCCCGGAACCAATGCGAATAAAAAATCAACAATCACTGGACGAGTTAACAGAGTCCGATAAAACCACTGACAAATTTTCAATGCTAATGCTCTAAATTACATTCCAATACTACTCGTAGCTGGTACTTGCTGACTCTACAACTGGGTTACGCAGAATTTGGGCACTGTGTGCTACAAATGCGGGAGGAAACATCAATAAACATCCTTCACGTGCCGCGGCCAGTGTATTCCACGCCCACCTTCCGTCCGATTGGCTCCCAATGGCGGGCGGCAACCACTACTCGTACGGCTGAAATGTGTGTGAGTGCAACTGTGCACGTAAAGTGGCGATAATCGGCTTACCATTTTCGTCCTAGCCAGCTTTCCACAAACTCGCTGGCCATTGGCCCAGTCCAAACTGGCCCGTCTGACTCTGGCCATTTGAATTTTGATGCGGAACTTTTCACTTTTAAAATTGTTCCGTCATTTGTCTTGGTTGCAGACAGGTTGCTCAGCTTTTTTATCGCTTCGCGATAGCATTCCAGTCTCCACTACCTTGCTCTTGAAGCTGTCAGTCAGTGTTGGGATTCTGCGTTCCTTTCCGTTTTCAAGTTTTCACACTCTTGGCCTTGGGAAATGGATCTGAAAAAGGTACGTGAGTACAGTGCAGCGCAGTCCGTAAACTGTACAGATAGCTCTGCACAACTGGTTTTCGCTGGCAGCGTTTTCTTCCCCTTCTCGGTTCTTCCGTGAAATTGAAGGTTACTTTATCGTGTAGCTCTTGCGCCTAAGTACTGTGCATGGAGGTAACACGGAGTACTTTTGAGGATGTGATCATGTGAGTAAGAATCAGCGGTTGACGGTGGGGTGGGGAAAGTGCGTTCTACAGCTTTTCATAACTGAACAAGTTTAGAAAGAAGCAAATTTTCTGAAGAATTCTGATTATGTGGAAAGAATCAACTGCCAATGTGAGGTTGCATAAATTTCTGAGTGTGATGGACGAGTGTGGCTAATTACGAATTTACGAGTAATAGTATTATGTATTTCCTGAAACTGACGGCACTGGATTCTTGTTTATGTTTATCTGTAGGATCATTGCATTCATAGCAAAATTCAAAGATTTCTTGATATGTGAATTATGGCCCCGTGTGTTCTTCCATGTCGTTTCAGCTGTTGTAAATAATAATAAATATTAATTGGATTGAGTTACTGTGAGCTAGGAGAGCGAAAACTTTATTTCAGCCAGTGGATTTGTTTTTCGTTTTTATTCCATTTAGTTTGTTAAATTATTTATAGGCCGTTTTGTCATGAATACTTTTAACGTGTTTATTAAAATTTGTTTTTTAATTTCTTCAATGGTAATTTGATGTTAATGATCAAATGGTAATTTTAGCCAGTCTGTTTGTTGGTTAGTTTTTGAATTGGATTATTTTTTATATTTTAATGGTCTGCCTTGCTACAGATATTGTTGATGTGTTGATTAGCTAAATTTAAATTCGTTATTAATGTCGATTTTCTTGTCTGTCGGTTGCAGCGCCTCAGCCTGGCGTCCCTTGAACGGATGGCGCGGGAGCGTGCGTTAACACTGGACGAGCATTGTAACAGTGTGGACGTCTGGGACGATAGCGGGCGGCTGCTTTTTGGGCGTGTCGTGGACGTGGCGGAGAACGGGCTGTATGTCGACCTGTTGTGCGCCGGTCGACGCCGCGAGCTGGTCCCCTACGGGCGCCTGTTCCACATGCGGTCCTGCGGCCTGTTGAAGGACGGCGTCGCCGCCGGCGATCAGCGCTTTCCGGTGGAGGCACTGCTGCGTCCCCATCCCCTTTCTCCCTGGACCTGGGTCAGCGCGCAACTAGAGCTCCTCTGCCCCGAGCCCGAGCCGTCACCGCTGCGCATCTGCTTGAGCGCCAGTCCGCTGCGACTGCTGGACGCGGCGGGCGAGGCGACCCACCCAGCAAGTGTTACCCAGTTACTCCCACCCAGCGCCATTCAGCATAGTTATGGCAGAATGTTATTTTTGTTCAGTTTAAACGAATTTTTCCTCCGTTGTGGGGCTAGACTGACTGCAGCATGGCGGGAAAAGTACAGCGGACGACAGTGTTAACGGTGTGTTGTTGCCTTGCAGACGCTGTGCGGATTGCAGGCGCTGGGCCTCGGGGCCGGTCCACCGGCGGCGGGACTGGGCGGCTGCCAGTGCGCGGATGCGGTCTTCCGAGTGGCCCCGCCCCTCTCGCAGCTGTCGCCGCTGGCGCTGGGCGGCGTGGCGCAGTGCGCCGAGGAATGGGAGCTGCGCTGCGAGGGACGCCTGTGGTATGGGGAAATGGACGAGCGGGCCGGCTCGAGGAGCCTCGTGGAGGCACGCGCCTGGCGTCCCTGAACGGCTCGCCGCTGGGCGCTGAGCCACCCCCACACGCCCGTCAGCTGGTCCTTCCGGTCGCGCACTAGTTTCTTTAATGACCATTTGTTTTCCTTAGTATTCAGTTCCGTCGCTGCTTGTCTTGGTGCAGCTTGTTTTCCCGCGGAAGTTCGGTGTTTATTGCGAATTTGATCCGGTCTACCAATATAGTCCAATGGTGCATTTTTCCAGTAAATTTTTATTAATTGTCGTTTTTTTTGGCGATTTTTGTCACGCAGAGTTTCTTTCGGCCGCTTGGTGATAAATTAACAATACAGATACGAATATAGGAGAGTGATCGTAGATGGTTAGCGCTGTCGGTGTCGCCAGTGAATGCTCGTGTTTGAGGGAGTGAAAATAATTATTCCGTTGCGCTTCCGCTTATTATTAGATAATATTAATTATCGTACTTCTACTGAAAGATAAGTAATTTCCATAGCTGCATCATGTAAGTAAGAACGAAATAGACCTTCTTTAGTGAGCGCTTTGCTTGTTTTTATGTAACATTTTACCTTAAATTTATCATAAATTCCGACATTTGTGGTGGCGGGTCCTGCTTTATTAGCGAATACTCGTGTAAGTCGTAATGTAATATACGTGCTGTATATATGTACAGATTAATAATAGTAATAACATTATGCAGAATCATGGTACTAATAACAATAATACAAGTATCGGTCGCGCTAGCGCGCGACCAGTTGTGCTCAAGGCATGGAATTATGATTAAAAATTAAAAGAAAATATTAACTGAAATATTTCGAAACATTCAGAATTAATATTCAGAATTTTTTAGAATTATTTAGAATTATTTAGAATTATTTAGAATTATTTAGAATTATTTAGAATTATTTAGAATTATTTAGAATTATTTAGAATTATTTAGAATTATTTAGAATTATTTAGAATTATTTAGAATTATTTAGAATTATTTAGAATTATTTAGAATTATTTAGAATTATTTAGAATTATTTAGAATTATTTAGAATTATTTAGAATTATTTAGAATTATTTAGAATTATTTAAAATTATTTAGAATTATTTAGAATTATTTAGAATTATTTAGAATTATTTAGAATTATTTAAAATTATTTAGAATTATTTAGAATTATTTAGAATTATTTAGAATTATTTAAAATTATTTAGAATTATTTAAAATTATTTAGAATTATTTAGAATTATTTAGAATTATTTAAAATTATTTAGAATTATTTAGAATTATTTAGAATTATTTAGAATTATTTAGAATTATTTAGAATTATTTAGAATTATTTAGAATTATTTAGAATTATTTAGAATTATTTAAAATTATTTAGAATTATTTAGAATTATTTAGAATTATTTAGAATTATTTAGAATTATTTAGAATTATTTAGAATTATTTAGAATTATTTAGAATTATTTAGAATTATTTAGAATTATTTAGAATTATTTAGAATTATTTAGAATTATTTAGAATTATTTAGAATTATTTAGAATTATTTAGAATTATTTAAATTATTTAGAATTATTTAGAATTATTTAGAATTATTTAGAATTATTTAAAGTATTTAGAATTATTTAGAATTATTTAGAAGTATTTAGAAGTATTTAGAATTATTTAGAAGTATTTAGAAGTATTTAGAATTATTTAGAAGTATTTAGAATTATTTAGAATTATTTAGAAGTATTTAGAATTATTTAGAATTATTTAGAAGTATTTAGAATTATTTAGAATTATTTAGAAGTATTTAGAAGTATTTAGAATTATTTAGAAGTATTTAGAAGTATTTAGAATTATTTAGAATTATTTAGAAGTATTTAGAAGTATTTAGAAGTATTTAGAATTATTTAGAAGTATTTAGAAGTATTTAGAATTATTTAGAATTATTTAGAAGTATTTAGAAGTATTTAGAAGTATTTAGAAGTATTTAGAAGTATTTAGAATTATTTAGAAGTATTTAGAAGTATTTAGAAGTATTTAGAAGTATTTAGAATTATTTAGAAGTATTTAGAAGTATTTAGAATTATTTAGAAGTATTTAGAAGTATTTAGAATTATTTAGAAGTATTTAGAAGTATTTAGAATTATTTAGAATTATTTAGAATTATTTAGAATTATTTAGACGTTTAGAATTATTTAGAAATATACATTTTTTGTTGTACCTGTGTCCGAGTACATATTTTAATATTTAATAATCCTAAGAAGTTTAAGAAATTTTAGAAACCTTAAAATCGTAAACTTAAACTACAGATCTCAGTCAGTATAATACAACTGCAGCCGCGCTGCATAATTCCCATTAATTTATCTTTTTATTAATATCACAATTACTGTATTTATTTTTTAAAGATTTTTTTCTAGAACATTCTGAAATTTTACGATAATAAGCTTCAAACTTTTTTTCTTAATCTCAAGCTTTTTCAAAATCACTTAATGGTAGACGCTCTAGCGCGCGACAAGTTGCATTTTAGGTATGGAAATATAATCAAGAAATTTGGAGTGCAGAAATTATGTCATTTTATGGAAATACCTCCTGACCTTAAAAAATACGTAAAGAAAGTAAAACAAAGAAGTAGAAAAGTTTTTCTAGTAATACCTATCTAGAAAAAGGATCATGATCGAATACGAAATGAAGAATACGTAATGATTTGCGAAACTACTGTTAGTGTGTTGTTGAAATAATCAAAATTCATTATTAAATTTTATTTCGACGTTTTTCAAACGTTAAAATGCCAAAAATATAGAGGCATTGGCCCCGCTGCGCGGGGTCAGCTTTGGAAATATGTTTGAAATGCTTAAAAATATTTTAAATTGTAGAAATTCCAAATTTTGGAGGTATTTCAATAAATATTTCTTTCTAAATAGCTGTACGAATACAATATTCCGAAATGTCCAAAACCAAATTTTAAATTAATATAGATGTGACGCCTTTGCCATTTATGAAGTCCCGTACTTATGAGCATCAATACTTTATAGTTATTGCCAGCTTTTTGTTTAACTTGTTGCTAAGTACTTTGAATCTGTGACGCATGTAAAACAGATTTGCTGCTATTGTTGACCTTTCCAGAACTTTCAAACATATTACAATGTCAGAGTACTAAGTTTCAAAATTTTTCTGTAAATCTCAGACGAATCGCAGTTTTTTCAAAACCACTTATGGCCAACCTACGAGCCGTAACCTATTTTTTAAAATTTTTTATTTTTCGAAAACTTGAATCTCGAATTAGGAGTTAATTTTCTTGGAATAAAGGCGTAGCGATTTGTAAATCTATAGATAGACATCATATGCATATGAAAGTTCAAGAATTGTTGGATACATAGTGTTGAAAGAGTCAGGGCACACAAAACGGTAAACATTAAATCGCTGATGTACTGGTCATTATTTTGTTAATTTGTGGTTTATATACGACACAAATAAGAAAAACGAAGGGATTCCTGGTTCCTGGAAGCCATCTATCTCCAAGGCATGTTCTATTCCTGCGCACCAGCAGCGCCGCCGATACAGTATGCACGTGGGCGCGACCACGTGCACAATCCGCCAACTGTGTTAAGGAGAGCCGCATGTTAAGGAGACCAATCACTCCATTGGAGTGATTGGTTTAAGCCCTCGCCCTCTATCCCACCGGACGCAAACTACGCACTACGGACTTAACTAGTGCTAACAAGTACCACTTTGGTACACTGCGCCTGGTCAAGATATTGGGTTTTTTCACTTCGCGAATGCATCAAGATGTATGGCAAATATATCTCTTTTATATTTCAATGATGGCGTACTAGGTGTTTAATATAAAAGTTTCGTGAAATGTTCGCCATAACTTTGCTCTTACTTGACTACAACGCCTCAGATTCTATGATACTGGGTTGGCTTGGCTCAAGCCATGTTTACCCAGTAAGCGCTATGGCAAAGTTCACCGTAAACTGCCGCACTTTAGCCACGCCCCAGCCTTTAGCCCCGCCCCAACGCGTTAGACCAATTACTCCATACACGCGCGACGGCCAAGATAACCTGTGACGAATGCCGGACAAGCACACAATTCGCGGGTCTAATTTGGAGGACCTTTTGGATTTTTCGTCCCGCTCTTATAACACATCGGCGCAGTGAGAATCTCATATCGGCAAAAAAATGGTCGGAAGCGCTTCTCCGACATCGTTGGCCTTCGAGTTTCGACCCTTCCTGATACCCGCCAGAGAAAATGCCACAACAGCTACATCACCTCCGATTTAGCATCGTAAGTAGCTCAATTAAAGAGCAAATACGTAGTCTCCAGCCGATTATCATAATTTTGCAGAATCGAAATTAAGGCCGACAATTCTTGGTTATTACTGTACTGTAATTTCTTTTTGGGAATGCGTTCCAAGCCGTGATGCCGGCGGCATCGGCTGCTCGTCTTCATTTTCGCGTTAAGACTTTTTCTTGACGGCAGCTGTGGGCGGCTGGCCGTACGACTACGCATAGTTCACACTCCACAGTGGGCACCGGTAGTGCAGGACCGAACAGTGCAGTGCAGGGCTGAACAACGGGAATTCTGCGGTAGCGGAAACGGAAGTAGCTCCGGAAAAAGCGGACAGCCGTGCTGCGGGGCTTGGTGTTCCCACCTTCATACCGATTTGAAAATTTCTCCAATAATACGAACGACATTGCCTTGCGGTTTCTTTTTGTGCTGATTGCAGATTTCATGGGACAACATGGCCCGCGTACGAGACTCAAGGACACTGGTAGAAAATGTGTTCGGACACTATGGTGTATTAGCACGACTACAGGAATTCGGAACCCTGCGCGCTGTCATGATGTCATCCCACAAGAATAACCTAAGAATAAAAATTCTTACGGTGACCGCTTGATGGCGCGCGAGTGGTCATACAGCCAAAGGCGCCCTACGGTGCGCAGGGGACACCGCACTCCGGTCCGCTAACAAACAAAAGAAATCTTAAAATGACAACTCGCTCGGAGCGATTCTAACGGCAATCATGCATCATGGGTTAAGAAAGAATAAATCAATTGTTTGTGTTACTAGTTATTACACCATCGCAGTGATCGCACAAACTTTAGCAGAAAGATTCGTGAATTAAGTATATGAAAAATTAAAATCGCTGCTCTGCATCCAAATAAATTCAGTTTCAATGCATAGTGGCACTTACTGGTTAGTTAGTCTTAGTACACATTTCAGCTGTGAAAGACTGCGGCAACAGATTTCCGGTGCGGAATTGGAAATACAGTATCAATTATTCAGAAAAAAAGAAAACCAGACTATGTAGTTCGGCGCAAATTAAAAACTTGACCCTGCGTAAACAGAAGTTACAGATTTGATAATTTTCAACTTCATCTGAAGATGTTCCAAAATTAAACCCCAAATTGTCGAAAAACGTATCTGTCAACTAACGGTCTGCTGCATGCCTTATATTGCACATGCATTTGAGGCCATAATGAATAGGAGGCCAAATCAAAAATACCGGTCCGTAATGAGACTATGAGTACGCGTCTTTAAACGTTTTGGCACCTCTTGCTGCCATAACTCCCAAACCTGATGTCTCGCGCACCAACGGCTTTTCACGCTAATGTAAACAAATTATTTGGATACGCAGTGCCATAAAACAAATCAAAATACGAAGTATTTCGAAGTGCACACAAGCGAAAGTTTGCTTGCGTCTACACGAATTTTCTGCCCCATGTATCTGTACCTGGTCACTCTCTTATGAAGCTGCCGATTCACTGGCTTGGTACGTTAAGCTGTACTGTCCGGCACTGTGAACAATTCTTGTCAGAATCTGAGCGGTTTCATTAGACTTTTCTATTGTACTTACCCTTTGCAGCGCTTTGGGAACTTGCTGTAAGTAGCGATCGTTTGCAATGGTATTTTGTGCTATGTTACTGTTCATTCGGGAAATAAAGTTTTTACGAGTACCATTCATTGCATCCGAAAATAAGGGACGGACCGAAAACACGTACGTACACATTCAATCTCTGAGTATGTATGTGTGAAATGTGAAGAGAGTAAGTACTCGCCTGTTTACTACCCGGAGAAAGATCCTTTTTTATGTTTTATACAGTAGTCATATCAATGTACATGTACTTAGTATACATATACGGTAACAAGCCAGACAGAGCTACCCTTTCCGACAGTTTCTGTACAGGTCACCTCCACGCGTTCTTCGAAGCTTCTCCTTTAATACAGCAACATTGAACTGCCGATACATGCCGTCGTACAAATCAGTAAATTTAGTGCATTAAGAAGTACGGAACAGAGAACACTGGAACATTCGCGCCAACGGCAGCGCACGTAAAGCGTCGAATTGTAGCCAAACTGTCACTGCAAGAGGATTTGTGGGAAAACGGGTAAAGTGTCCGTAACATCCACTGATTGATTACTACAGTACCCGTTCCAATGCTGCATGTGCCGTACGAGTTGCGAGGAATTCTAGACGGAAAGGTCTCATCCGACCTGCCATGTCTGTAGATACCATCATACCGGCATGTACAACACGAGTCCATCAGTCCAGTATCATTGTATCAGTACACTTTAGTGGCGTATTCTTCGAACTTCGTCAAATACATATAGCTGGTAGCACAATCTCGCCGTATAATTATTACGTACGTACGTCTTCAGAGTGCCACCGTGCAAGCTAACCAAGAAATTATTAATTTTGTCACCCTGGTTAATTAATTTTGCGCTGTCTGATTTTGGCATCAGTTGGTAAGTATTAGAATTTGATTTTTCGGAGCTAGGGAATCGACAGGGTAATCCCATAGCATGTTATGTAATTAACTGTTTCTTTACAGCATATTAATTATAAAATATATCTATATATATATACAGACGAGCAAATGCGGTGTGCACAATAAACTACAACAGTTGTCGCTACAAGTGTCTAACTGTCTGCTGCGCATCGCGCAGAAAGTGCAGTTTAATTTCTTCGAGAAATGCGCTGGAAACGCGATAAAAGTTAACCTTTGTAATACACAGTAAACCTGTAAGAGTAGAATATAGCCCATATATTTGGCAGCTACTGCCTTCGCAAGTTGTCAGGTCTGAAAGCAATCCCAGGTAGTACTAGTACTGATTTAGATGGAACACCGTTGCAACTGCAACTGGCTGGACACTTGAGAGTTTGCTAGCGTCTTGAAAGTGCTTCCGATTTGCACCTTTTACAAGCGGTCAACAGCTTCCGGATGGCCAGAAGAGCCCGGCGCTTTGACGCAGCCGCGCTACTCCATCATGTTGGCTGACCAGTACTGCGACTGCGAGGAAGTCTTGAGTGCGCCGGGAATGCCGCACTCGCTATCCATACCGGCCGGTACTTGTGCCGATTGATTGTATGTACGAAAACTGTATAATTACCCTTATTTGCATTATTTGGGGATCACTCCGCAATTGATAAGCAAGCGCAAGGGAACGAGCACAGAGCCGACCGTCTTTTCACAGGCATTTTATTCACCAGCCACTGCAGTAGTTTGCATCCGCCACAATTTAATGGCTGCAGAGTGTAAACCAATCACGGTTATTATATCATTGGCGACAACATTAAATTTCCCTGCTCGCCGATGTTAAGGTGATATTCACAAAGCGTACGAGCCACAAAGGCAAAACAAAGCGGTTCGCACCGCTTCCGTGTACGATACTGCTCTACTCGCCCAAAACCAGCGCATTATTCTGGCAGAATTTTCATGTTAATATTAATTTCGCCAAAAAAGGAAAAATGTCTGCGCTCAACAGACATATTAAAAGATCAAAATCAGATGCACAAAAGCTTCATAATAATTAGCAGTTGCGTCCAGCGAGTTGGTATAATAATAATTACACTATCATTTGCATTCATGGCGTTCGATGGTGGTTGAAAAAGATACCGTAGCCGTGACGTACCGGTATACGTAATGCGTAAAGCATGTGCAGTATTTACTAGATTACAAAGTACTCACTTGGATGACAATTAAGTATGCAAACTTTACAGTATTTTTTCCGGTCAGCTACTACTTGTACAGATACAGATTTAACGCAGGTTCGTACTGTGCTGGCATTTAATTTGGTGTCACTTGGGTTGGTTGGGCGAGATTGAAATTAGTATGCATCGATTGGCGCTGACAGAGGATATGACTTGTGGTTAAAGTTAGAGCAGCGCAGTAACAGGACATTTCGAGCCGGAATATTTGCACAGATTCTCGAGTAGTCTGCCGCATTCGCTATCTGCGTTGAATTCAAGAATTAACTAAGTAAACCATTGCAGCCCTGTTTGTCTCCGTTGCTGCTTAGTAAATACTGTTTACCTGTGCAGCTTCGGGACATATTGTCAACAGGCGTAATCGTCAACGAGACCGTTTTCTTAAAACCTAGAGTGCGTACACTGCGTAATTATAACATTTCTAATTTCCCTAACCACTGTAAAGTAGGAACGACTTACAGGCCATAATTAAAGTGAGTTTAAGTGACTGTAAATTTAAATTCTGAGGCACGAATGAGGATACGTCACACTGTACCGGTAAAACTGGAATGCCGCCAACGGTTAACAATATACTTACCACAGCTTAACACCTACTCGTATGGAGTCGTACACATTGTATCTCTAATATTATTATTTTGATCATGAAAAGTGTGTGCCAAAATTCGTTGATGCAGTTTCAGAAATGTTAGTTATTATTAATTTGTCTTTTCCTGTGGTTTTTTTATTAATAGACGTATTGACCATGCTGGAGTTGCCGCAACTGCAGACGCGCATTCGTAACTGTCATTCGATGGACTCTATTTCCATTCCACTGGATACGAGTATAATTATACAGATATTCATATTCCCTGTTAATATTCAGTGGCAGATGACCCTGATCGCCATCCATCATTCTAACGGCTGCATCCATTATTGCTGCCTCTCGTCGGCACTGTTTGCTCGACGTCACTTACACTTTCAAATGCTACTACGTAGTTAGCCACGTTGTTTGCGGATGTCGCCAGTGCGATCGTGGACTCCGCCGGGCATGCGCAAACATCGCACCGATGTACATTAGAGTATGAGATTCAAATAGAATTCAGCTTCCGCGGACAGCCGGTTGCAGTGCGAGATAATTGGTTCCCTTTAAATTTTTCGCAGCGCTATGAATTAAAAATGCGATACATTTTGTTTTGTTTTGAAGCAAAAACATTTCAAGTAAATGCGATCCTGATCAGCCTATTTACAAATTCTACGAATGGTAGCTGCATAATTGCAAGTGAAGAAGCCGCGTAAATTACGCTTGCCAAAGACGCTACAGATATACTTGTACATGTACACTAAAGCGTAGGAATAATATTATTTAAATTTTTTTATGACATAGAGGTCTATATTCTGGAAATGCTTTTACTCAACAACAACAACTGCACAGAGCCATCTTTATTGAGAATTCATGTAGAGTTTGTCTGAGAAGAGAGATTCATTCCAGTTTGCCAGTGACCCGGCGCGCCCATTTAAGCGGCATGCAGCCGCAATGGAACGTCGGAGGAGCGCATTACGCGTACATTGCACACAATCCAGCTTTACATGTATACGGAGTGGAGAAAACTGTTCAACCTTGCAATTGTATGTACAGTATGCCGTTTCTGTGTAACAAAATCCGCTGGGTCAACATTCAACAAGATGCCTCGTTTTCGGCTCGGTATTATGTTGCTCTTCTGCATCCAGTCGTGGTTAGAATCATTCAACTGCAGTCCATGCCTTCAATTCCCGGCTTGCAGAAACCGGTTTGTGCCGAACGCTCGTCGCTCGTTGCGGCTAAACACACAGTGCGACTGTTGTCGCTGGGAATGAAATGCTTTCAGTTTCAGCCGGCGCTAGGCTACTTTATGCAGTTGCAGAGTGTACTGCACTGCTACCAGTTGGGTGACGTCAGCGGCTGATTCTCCGATTCGGCGGCGGAGGCGTTGCCGGCGAAGGAGACTGATTTGGAGAGGGGATAGGCTGAGGGGAAGAGCGAGCCGGGCCCGGAGCCGGCGCCGGGGGAGGCGAAGGAAGGGTAGCTGGCTGCGGAATGTGCATGTGCCGAGGAGGCCGTCGTGGTCGCTGCGGCCGCCGCCGCCGCTGCCGCCGCCGTGACGGAGTTGACGCTGACGGAAATGGCCGCAGCGGCAGCGCCGGCCATCGGCTTCCCGTCTTTGACTAGCACCGGGACGGCCACGCGCCGCGGCCCCGGATTCATTAAACTTTGCGTGGCCAGTTCGATGGTCTTGTCCTGCGACTGCCGTTTGTTCTTGTAGCGACGGTTTTGGTACCAGATCTTCACTTGCTGCGGTGTCAGCTGTAATTACAATCTTGTTAGCATTTAATGTGTCGCGGCATTCCACGGCTCTAAACGCACAGACTATCTTTCTTTTTTCTCCTCAAACAGATTTACGTAAAATTGACGTACGATTTGGCACGCTTGAATGATATTTTGATTACTTATGATTATTTGTATATATACGGCACATATATACATGTATATGTACTGTATATATAGATAGATCCGGTATATACTTTTCTACTTGTATATGCGCTGTATAATGTATATATACGTGTATATCTATACACAGTGTATATATAGTGTATGTACATTACGTGTATATATAGTACTTATTATAAACACTATATATTGAACGGTAATTGATACACTTGTGAAAAAGTTATGCGAGCAGGTGAAAGTTTTAATTGTAATTTCGCTGACCTTTAACTGCTGCGCGAGGAGGTCGCGGTCGGGCGCGGACAAGTATCTTTGGGTTTTGAAACGGCGCTCCAGCTCGTAGACTTGCGCCTGCGAGAAGAGGACGCGCGGCTTCCTTCTTTGGCGTTGCTTCAGCAGGCAGGGCTCGTTGCCGAGTCCGCCGTGGTGGTGCAGGTGCGAATGGTGCAGGTGGTGGTGAAGGCCGTCCCCGCCGGATAACTTGCCCTTCATGTCGTCTTGGTGGCTTCCTCTGGAGTCTGCAATTGCACGCCGGTTGGGACTGAGTTATTACAAGTATTTCTGCTGTCAGACTCTAAGAATCCACTTTCTGCGAAAGCTTATGACGCAATGGACTACAGCAAAAGCCCACAACTTAATTATAACATCGCCCGGAAATCCCCAAATTTGTGCTTCAGAAAGCACACCCATATCTCGCGGACAGTTAATATAATCATAACAGTTTATTCAACTGACATATATGCAGAGAGTGCCGTCAGCCATGATGACCATAATTGCCTGTTAATTATCTTTAACGACGAACACTTGTTATAATAATGAATATTGTTACGAAAAACAATTTTTCGGTAAGCCAGATTATTGTCGGAGGAGTGTGGCTGTTGTCACAATACCCGTCCTGAGTCTCGAAGTGCATAGTACAATAAAACCTCAGCATAGTTTAAATACCAAAAACAGTAAATTACCAGAACTGCAGGACATACGATACGATTAATTTTGGAGTGTGCCGATACAGACGTCTTCACTCTACAGCAACTGGTAATGGATATCAGCGTAAGTGTACAAATAATCATGCAGCTGCGTTGTAAGGTGTAATTTCTCTCGTGAACTGAAAAAGACTTGACCTTAGAAGAACCAGGGCTATTGAGCAGACTCTTTATTCACAATATTTGGAAACGAGCATCGCTCACCAAAATACGTTCAAAACTTCAAATGCAAAAATTTGCCCGGTTACGTGTTATTACTAGTAGTATTAGTTTATAAACTATTTATTTATTGTAACTTAAAAGTAGCAAAAATACGTACCTAGTGGCTAGAATTACAATATGTAGAGCAATTAAAACGTGTCACAGCACCGCGTTCTGGCGCTGGTGTAAAAGATACTATTCGCTTATGTAGAATTCATATTATGAATTCTACATAAGCGAAGTAGATCCTACAGATATAGTAACTCCGCGGAGCGTGCCGCCACCCGATGACCTTTGAGGTTATTTATCAATATATAAGTCCTGAGTGTATATGAACACTTCTCATTGGCTTTACCACCATTAGGTTTGTACAGATAAGCTATTAAAGTAGCTCAGAAGTATTCAAGGTTGCTTTGTTGTAACTTGCACATAATCGCCGACTGCTAAGTAATGGAGCCGTTAATAATTACGTATTTCCCCTTTTTGCTGCATCTATAACTGCTATTTTTATAGCACTGCTCTATGTTTTACGGTCTAGTGTCAGCTGCTACGATTAGACTGATCGTTACCCAGTAGTGAGCGAAAATGAGACTGCGAACACGATTAAAATAATTGTATTCTGCGGCTTGCAGTAATTAGTAGTATGTACATTGTGTGGCTGTTGTGTCGCATTTGAGCGCTTTGGAATTCTACCGTACACGTCGATTTAAAATAAAAAATTAATGATAAATAAAGCACTGGATTTTAAATTTTTTCAAATTATGTCTACCTAGATGTTAAGGATTATTAATAATGTACAAAGTACTCGTACGAGTGCGCGCAGGCACTATAATTGTATTAGTAGATGTTACAGCTGGCGATTGCGAACGAAGGTGCGCGAAAGTTTAAATGCCAAGAGATAGAAGGCAAATATTTACTGGCAGTGGCAGCCTATTTACAGTGGCAGAATCGCTAAGACATAGCAGGAGCTGCCTATCAAAACTAGAGCAGCAAAAAGTCCCGCTGCGTCCGTTAACGAGCTTCCGATCCGAAGACAACCCCGCGTTCAGAGCTGAGACCGGTCGGACAGAGCGGGCGGTAACAGTATAGCCAGTCAGCGCCTGCCTTCGCCATTCTCCCGTAAGAACGTGACTGCGCCGTGCAGCTATCTCTCTCCTCAATCCGGGATAAACGCCTACGAGTCTAGGACTGCAAGTGCAAGAGTGCCAGCCGCTGCTGTCGGCACACTGCACAGCGCCGCCACTAGCTGCATTGCCGGCCAACTGTAATTGATCTGGAGAGTTTCTCAAGAGGGAAATTGGATAGAGTCAAGTCGGCAGTGGCTGCATGTTTAAGTAAACAATTGGTTAATAAACTAAACAGCTTGCCATCGGCTCATGCCGCTGTTTTCTAGCCTAGAATCAATATTCCTTTTCCTGTCCAATGCGCGCATAATTACGACACCCGCTCTTCTTGCATATACAGCACGCATATAATGTGATACAGCACAGATAACCCGTGATTTATACGCATTCCATTCGGCTGTTTTGCCGGTCATCTCAGGCCGGCATTTCCATTTTGATTGCCTGAATCTGCGGCATTCAAGTGCGCTTTTTTGCCACTGTTGCTGCTTCATCCAGCTTAGCGCCGAGTTAGCGCGCTGAGACAGTCAGGCCGAGCCTGTTTTGCGTGTGGCGTTGGAGCGTTGACGAGGCGTAATTGATATTCCGGCCGGAATATGCAGTATAGTGAATATACATGGCGCGCGCCAACGTGTTTGTAGTGCGCGCATTACCATTTCTGAGTTTCGGCGTCCTCCTGGTGGAAGCGCGCGCATGAGCACAAACAACTCATAATCAATTCAAACGACTCGCGATTACTATTATCCGCTGTATCGGGCGGCGTTATTCTGTTGACACTGTAGATTACATATTCATACTGCATATTTATTTCTATCGATTTATTCAAATGCCGGGCGCATCAAAAAATCACGTTAGAACGGATAAGAAAACACACGGAAGACGCTGTTGGCGCGCGCCAGCGTAAACGGCTAACATTAATGTTACCGGTGCGTATTCAACTGCAGATAAGGCGCAGCGCTCACCGGTGTAATGTAATGCGAGCGAGGGTGCCGTGTACACTGCACACGGTAGGCAGAGTCATGTTGACATTGCAAAGTGAAATTGGCTGGGATAAGAGGATTAACTGGGTAGGATTATTAAGAGGACCGGTCATTGAACAAATTTCACCACCGCATGAATAAAACAGTCGTCTTCATTCAAGTTTATTATTTATTCTATTCTACTAACGCTACTCTTTCAATAACTGACCGACAATCAAAGAACTTGTAGTCCAACACAGCCAGACCGGTGATGCTGGCACACTGGTGTCCCCTTTCATATATGCATGATTGCGCTGTTGTTGCGTTTTGCCGGGATGGCAAGTACTCATAAAAGTGCTGTAGTGAAATATGTAGTATTTTAATATATCGAAAACATTAACACCATACAACTATAGGAAAGGCACAGAAAATAATTTTGCAGATATTGGACTTTAAATTCCATGCTGGTGAAAACTGCGCTAACTAATCTTGTGCTTTAATTGTGCAAGATTAGTTATGGTTAGTTAGTAATTATGGTTTATCTTGAAGCAAAGGTTACAGGTATAAATGTATAATGGACGATAATCTTCAAATATATTATTGACAATGCTTGACCAAGCACTACCCAGCGTGTAATGACAACCTAGGGATATTTTGAACAAATTGGCTTTATTAAACAGCGTAATATACTTTAATAAAATCTGACGTGGCAAATGTTCTAATTGGTTGTTTTCTCGTATCACCGTCTGATCACATATTCCTTTTTCCACAACTGCAAGCCGTCGTAACTTTATTAATTTGATCTCCTCGTTGAAAATTTGCACTAATTGTCATGCCTCCTTAGATAATTTCTCATTTCTTTCTCATTTCTTTGATTTCTTTGTAACTACTGTAAACTACATAACCCGGCACAGGATTTTCTGTATCAGCATGATTCAAGCGTCTCGACAAGTTTAATCATTTCAGTTAGTGTAAACTCGCGTAAGCGTATTGAGATGTTCACTACCGGAATATTGCTGAAAAAGGTGACTATGTACGACCTTTCGACGCACAGCTGCGGCAGAAGTGGCTTGTAGAATAAGCTACTCTAGATTGTAATAATTATGGCATAATATTATAGTTGCAATTTATCCTGCACACAATAGTTGAGGAAAAAACATTTATGCTGATACCGTTTAGCAACGAGCAAAAATTGGCTGTGTGACCATCGCAGCGACTGTTAACAACAAGCAGCTCGCCGTGAGTGAGAGGCAGACCGTAGCTCAACTGACAGCAACTCTTGCGTTCGAACTGGACGTCGGTAAATATGGAAAATCAGTAATCATGACCTTATCGAGCAAACTCAAGGTGAGGTCGCGGTAAACAACCGCAAGTGTGCATAACGAGACAGGCCGTTTCAGTGTGTAGATGTGGCCAGCGAGATGACATCTCCAACTGAGCGGGCCATCTTCAACTCAAGCGCTATCATGCTGCACGGTGCGCTGGCACTGGCTGTCAACAATGCGCCAGCCGCGACTTCCACACTACAGCTACACAGCCTATACTCTCATGAGCAGGCTTCGTTACGCGTCCTTAACTCTTATGTGTGCGATCAGCTTTCTTTCCTTTACTCGCGGTGCACTTCGAAACAGTTGTCGAGCTGCAGGTTCACTTTGTATTGCTGATAGTGAAGTGGCTCCGTCACGATTTTGAAACGGCGCTTTCTTTTATCTGATAAGCCTAGACTAGGTAGCGTGAATTCCTGTTATTTACTGACTAATTAATAATCAAAACAACAAAGTTGCGAACTTTCAAATAGGTAACCGTTGCCTCTAACGGATGCAGAATAACTTAATTTGTGCACTCTGCGCAGCATTCAGGAATTTGCAGCTAATAAGGCCAAAACCAGTTTTGACGGGCAAACAAGTCTGATAAACATTTGTGGCGCATAACGGTAGCTGTCGATCGCGGGCCTTAATGGAACGTTATTATGAAATGTTTGCTCAAGCAGACAATCACATCCGGCTGAAGGATTCTATCCACCGTAAGCTTGCTCGTAGTTCGTTTCATCGGCGCTGCCGTAGCTGTCTGCTGTGCATTTGCCCTCTTCCACTGTTAAAACCGATTTTAACTGATTTAAAAGCGACACAGCTAATCTGCGCAAAAATGTATTAAGCCGGTGTTGTACGTGGTGTACAGTGTACACTGTACAGGCAAGCATAATATTATCCGCGCACGCTGACTGCCGATTGCGAATTTGCGTGCAGCTCAAGCTCATTCATGGACCGGCCGGTCGCGATTGGCTGTACGCGAAGGCGATCCGCTAACACAGCGAGCGCGACTTCCGTGCGCGCAAATTCAATGGCAGCAGCGGCATTAGCAGCGGCCGTGTGACATTGTGCCTGTCCGGAAAGCTGAAATGCTGATGGATGCATTTGCCCGCACCGCACCGCAACACACAGCTTAATGCGTCGTCAATTCGACACTAATCATCTCAATCGTGTAGGTACATATCGCTTGCTACTTTGTTTGTGTGTCTAATAACTGAACGCTAAGAAGCGTAATCGCTTCATATCCCTTGAATCAGCCAGCTTTGTCCAGACAGCACATTACTGTGCATTAATATCCTATCACTTTTAAGTCCCTTTTGTCATCCGCGTTGCTTCACACAAAACCCGGCTACACGTGCCTGCGTCCCTGTGACCTGTCACAGTTTTTTCAGTCGTTAAAAAGAGTTTCAATCGTTAAACATAATTAATTTTATTAGTGTAAATACAATCCACAATAGCACTTTTCAGCTAAGGATCATAAAAAAATTAAACAAATTCAGGTTACTCGTCCGGTTCCAGTAACATAATTTAGAATGGATTACGTGTTAAATCATTTCATAAAGGATAAAGCATCGTGCTTTACTTAAACAACGAACACATTACCTTGCACAGAAAATCGAACTGCACATGCTTGTACAGATACAAACGTTCGACAAGCGTTCGACAATATTTTTCAAAATAAAGTTGACCATGGCTTGTCATCAGTGCTATCGGCATTCAACAGAAAACTGAATTTTTGAACGCAGAAAGGAAACCTTGATGCCGCATGTCTGACTGATAATTACAGTAACAACTAATCGGTCTCAGAAAACTTCCAAAAGTTAAATTAGCGCGCACAATAAGACATTGACTGATTGCTTTGCCAAATAATGCTATGACTTCCTGTAGTAAGTTTGAATAAAAAGACGAGGGAATAAATCTGCCGCTTCTTAATTTCGGACTTAGAAATTCGTTCATACTGTCAGTTAAGCTCATAACTGGACTTACGCTTCTCGTTGGCGTTGGCGTTGCCGCTGTTCTGGCTGGTGAGTTCATTGATAAGGGCCTCGGCGTTGAGGGCCGTCGTGGTGGGCGGCTTCAGATCGTAGAGCTGCTGCACGTGCGGCGACGTCAGCGGCAGATGGGCGACGGAGGAGCCGGAGGAGTGCCCGTGCCCGTGCGCGCCCATCATGCCCGAGGGATGGGCCGGCAGCCGGCCGCCCGCGCCCAGATAGGCGCCACCCGGCGGGTAGGCGCAGTTGAAGGCGCCGGCGTTGTTGTTCATGGGACTGCCGTTGACGCCGGCGTACGGGTACTGGAAGGAGGACGCCGCCGCGCCGTACTCCATGCCAGCGTAATTATGGGCCGGGCCGTGGCTGCCGGCACCCCCGGGCGGCAGTTGGCCGGGATAGACCGGGAAGTCGTAGCCGGCCGCGGCGGCGGCGGCCATCTGGTAGGCCGTCATGTTCTGGTGCTCGGCGGCCAGGATGTTCTTGACGGAGAAAGTGGAGCTGCAGTTGTTGGGGTGGTTGAGATTACTGCCGGCCGTCATGTTGAAGTCAGCTGACGATAAGTAGTCCATTGCGTCGCGCAATTGAGGCAATCATCGACTCAATAGGGATAAATGGAAATGAGCGTCACAAGTGAAGTGCCGGACATATGGATATCATTATGGCATTGTATTGGGGATAATCATCAAGTACTATACAGACATATAGATAGCCAAGCCAAACGAATAGTCACAAGTGCGCTTTGGATGGGACTGTTGAGAACTGAGACTGTTCTGCGGCGATCTGACCACTTGGCTTTGATAAGTAGTTGCGGAATTGAATATCCAAACACAAACTCCACGTAACGTTAACCAACAGCAATAATTCCACCCGTGTGCGCGTATGTACTTTCAAACTCTACTTAGGCCGGAGTAAGGTAATAATCGCTCACACTGCCACTCACCGACAGTTGCAGTTTAGTCCATGCATTGTTACTAACGTACGTATACGACACAGTCACACACATAGTAATAATATGGCCAGCATGAACAACTGTTGGCACTTTTCCCGAGGTGCACTGCACTTGAAATTCAACATTTCCACATCCAATATTGTCGTGCTCGTACGGCAGTTAAAAGAGGAGACAAGTCAGATTCGCTGCTATCTCTCTGCTGCAGCCTGCCGCTGTTGCTCCATCTAGACCGTAGAGCAGCGTATGCTTGACTGGCGTTACGACACAGCATGCCGGATTGGATTGCTAATGCAAATACTTGACGAATGGTGAGTGAGTGAGTAGCGCAGAGCCGAAATCTATTTGCAGTTGGCCCACTACGGAGTACATATTCGCACACACACTGCACAGCTGCCCTCGTGTACAGAATGATACGCTCTTCCATCGCCGCTGCAGCCGCTCCATCGTCTGAAGCGTTTGTCCAGCATATCACTCTTCTGCGCTGCGACCAATCAGCAGTGCCGGCAACTACCGCCGACCAGTTCAACTGGCTGCGCTCAACATTACACCCAGTTGGACATGCAGTGCCGCTGCAATGGTGGGCTGTTGCGTTTGCCAGCGTACGTACCATCACACAGCCCTGTAAGCGTCGTGTATATTCGGCGGATTGTATCTCGCCATAATGAATCGGTCTTACGTTTTTTGCACACTCTGGCATTGTTGGCAGTTAGTTCAACCGAGAAAGTTCGCGGTAGCACTATCTAATTATCGCAAACAGCATGCCAGTTGCTGCAACGGTTTCCAGTACGAATATTTTAATGGTCTGCGACCTTGCCGGATCCCAGAAATTACTAACTCTGTCGGAAAAAACTTTACCGGAAACGGGCGAGCCATCGCACGGTAAACAGTGACTGAGCCTAAGAAACCGCTGGTCTAAAGTTGAAATCAGAATACATATAAATATAGCTTCCGGTCGGCTTTGCGCTGTTGTCACAACACACCACTGAAGTACGAGGCGACTCGTACTTTGTCTAAGACAAAGAGTTATCACGCGTTTTAACTCAATTTTGTTTCGCAGGTTCTGAGGTTACAGTATGTATCATACGGTAAATTCGGTATTTGTGCCTCTAGTGCATGGATCGCTTCCTGTAAACGCAATTCTAACATATTTCGAAACCGCACAGCATAAACTGAGTATTGATGACATTCAAAAAATTTGATTATTAAATTTGTTGAGAACGAGACATTAACAGGGACTCTCTTACCACTACCAATCTTAAAGCGGTGCAGTAGCGCGTGCTATACACCAACTCTTGTATCTTCTATCTTGTCCTTATATCTCGCAGACACAGTGATAGATAAGGCGCTGCGGTAGACCGCACATTTATCTTTCCATCCAACAGTAAATCAAGCCGTTCGTTTTACGTAATAATTGTGAAGTACTCCTAGAGGAAAACACTTTTCTCTACAAAAGACTTTGTATTTTTGTGGTTGTATGATTGCTGTACTTGAGTAAAAACCAATAGCAATCCAGAGGTCAGCAAAGTGCTTTTTCCACTCTGAATTATTATGCAGACAAATGGGATGAACTGATAAATATGCGTCATAAACTGCCTTACGGCACTACCGATTTTTGCTGCTTTTCAGCCTTTAAAATTCGGTCATTTCAAGTAGTAGCCGAAGTGGTATCATACGCTCATTTTTGATATATTGACCCTTGTGCCCAATAAAAAAATATCACGGCATACGAAACCAGCGTCATAATACTGAGCGCAGTCGATGTTCACTTCGCTACGCCGGTTAAATAAAAGCACCTTATTTTGAGCACTTACTGTACTACTTGGTGACCTTACTGCCCCTTTCCCCTTGGCGGAGAGTCCGCAAAACATTCTGCATGCTCACCACTAATTTTGCGGAGATTCGCAATCTGTGGGCGAGGTTAGTTGGAGGGGAAGGCGATGAGGAATTCGTGATCAGTACGGAGACAGCTACCATCCAATTACAGCGGAACGATACAGAGGTATTCATTCTGGGTTGTTGCTCGCACTAAAGAACGCAAACTGGCCTTAAGTGGTGTATAATAAATACATACTCTAATTAATGTACAATATAATTATCCGCATAGTTATTATAAGGGTCACTTGGATGTCTGTACGTCTATGCATTCGCTGAGTTCCTTGGCGCATATACTGTAAAGCGCAGGGACTTTGCAGGTCTGCATATGCCTCGCGAAATTTCCGGGCGCATAGCGGACCACTTATATCTGTACGAGTATAAACTGACAGATTGGTATAATACAGTAGTATTGTGCGTACATACAGTCTGTACAGCACAGATTGTGTGTGATGTGACATAGCAACTAGCAAGGTATATTATTGTGAACAGCAGCAGCGTAATAAGCTGCCAGTATGACTGTGAAGAGCTGAGTGAATAAAATAATTAACTTTTTGAATACGTGACAGATTGTTAACGAAGATGTTGTCAAAGGGTGGGAGTAAACTACAGACAGTCATTTACTTTATACTGCATGACGCGACATTAAGGGATGGTGAATCCGCAGAATCACCCGCACTAGCTGTCGGTTCCTTTGACCCCATGCCTAGAGCGGTTGGTCCAGGGGGTTTCCGTGTCCCTTGATATCCTGTAAAGCCAGGAATATTATTCCGTGCTCTGGGCTTTGAGACGCTCGGACCCTCCGGACCGGAAGCTGCCCACACGATTACGAAATTCGGACAGAAAATACGCCAGGAAACCGGCGAGAAACGAGCTACGGAATATCTTCACCAGCAGATCAGCATCAAAATCCAACGAGGAAATGCAACATCGATCATGGGGACAGCGCCGATGGGAGCGAATTTACAGTATTACAACCAAATTTTCTCTGTGATTAAACCGCCTCTCTCGATAGATGCTTAATGAGTGACTGTTTCCAAAGCTATTCTTCATTGTCAAGTTTTTCTTATGAAATTGTATAAGAAAGAACAAAATCCTGTAAATATTGTAGCGGTTAATAGTATCAGGGCTGTGGCGCTGTGCACTTCTGTAAGCCGTTCTGTTTGTTTTTTGGTCCATGTTACGGCCACGGGACAAATGTCCCAAATCAAAGGACACTTAGAAAATTGTATAAGTTTTTCTTATTTATAAGTATAACTGTATAGGCCAAGTATTCAAAGTACACTTCCTTCCATTCATATAAGTACGTACAGTATATCTTACACTAAGGTAGTATTGTCCATTTATACCTACTAAATTTCTACTAAATTTGCGAACTCTTATCATTGATTCTTCATTTGCGGAATTCCGGTTTGAAAATGTGAAAGTTGAAATACAATTTTGGTGACCACTCCGTACACACCCTTTCACACCCTTTCACTCCGTACACAACCTTTTGCACTACCTTTCATTCCCTGCACAACCTTTTTGCGCTACCTTTCATTCCGTGCACAACCTTTTTGCGCTACCTTTCATTCCGTGCACAACCTTTTTGAGCACTACCTTTTACTCCGTCCCCAACCTTAATCTGCGTGCACTATCATTTATATTTTATTTTTTCACGTCACAGTTATTTCTGGAACTGCCGCTTTTTTGTTAGCAGCAGTTATTGCTGCATATTTCAAAGTATCATCGGCAGTTACAAAATCGAATTCCCGTGAGAAAATAATTCTAGGCGCCCTTGAGCCGTTTCCTTCGCAGAGTCTGGAGTCTGGACAGTGGTTTCCTAGCTTGACATAGTGCAATTTTCGTTTTCCGAGCTGGATATAGTGCAAAAGTATTAGAGAAAATGCTCCAGATTACCATAAGTATACATAAGAGATCAAAAAGCTTAAAAGAACTTATTGCAGTAAACGTTTGATAATACTTTTACTGATCGTGGATTGGTAGTGTACCGAGTGAATGCCTGAATGGTAGTGTCAAAGATTGTGCACGGAATGAAAGGTAGTGCAATTGGTTGTGTACGGAGTAAAAAGGTGTGTACGGAGTGGTCACCTACAATTTTTCCAACTGTGCTGATCACTGTACTGTAGATTTATCGTTTGTGTATGTATGCAATGATTGCTGTGCTCCAGTACATCCTGACTGGTGACATACAAGCGCCTGTGGAGCGATTCACACAAGGTTTTGAGGGCATCATTTTTTGATTTACATCGACAGTATCCCGCAGTACCACACTTACGCAACGCCACGCTTTTTTTGCAGCCGGTATTCCACCGAATTTTTGCAGGATCTATCATTTTCGGACGACAGACCGACTGGCCAGACACAGGACGGACATGGTCACATGGACGAGGACAAGGTGGACGAGGTCAGGAGCTGGCTGGACAAGGACATGGACAAAGGACATGGTGAGAGTGTCCAGTGGTTTGGTTTGATTCTGAGCCATACAGAGCCTCCATTGAACCATAAGCTAAAATTTAAACAGCAAACTCAAACTGGGCGACCTTTTTCGGTCGCCCAGTTTGATGGCAGATAAATTTTCCTTCATCACGAATGCAGAAGGTTGGCGTGGGCCGCGTGGCCGGCGCGGTATGTTTTAAGGTGCAGCTGTACGCCGCGTATTCCCACTCCGAAAAAGCATCAGCATTGTCCAAGGATATAGCCAATGAGGCACTTCTTCGCACATTTCCCACGATGTTAAAATCTCGTGAACAAAGAACACGTGCGGAGAGTTGCCGACTTATGTCTGACAATAAGCTGCTATGAAAATGCCTTTAAAGTGTCGACTAGCTTACAAATGCATTGCTCACATGAGTTAATCGACGGAAGCGTAGCGCAGGTCTTGTACCTAGTATGTTTAGCGATTATGGAAAATGTGGTGTCCGTCCGTCGGTCACCGTCACTAAATGCACATGCGCGTGTGTGGTATCCCGTATCCGTCCGTCGCGGTCACCGCATGCATAGGCGGAAGGGCACACATGCACTATTCGTTTATACAGTATTCACGGATTGTGGTAGCCGTAGTGAATTTTCTTTGGTACCGATGGCCTTTCTACCTATGCTCAACCATGCAGGCGTTTTGCTAGAAATACTTTCCAATGCCTTAGCCCGCTCGATGGGAACGCACTACAGGGTCTGGTACAGAAAAGGTTGTACACTGCTCGATGTGCGAGGAAATGTATGCGGCGAAGTAATGGTAACCTAAATTATGCCCATTGCCCGGCCTTTTCCTGATGGATACGGTTTTGCAGCAGTTGACGGATAGCGCATCTAAAAGCGGCACAACGAAGAATTCGGCCCATACTGCAGATGTTGCCCTCAAGGTTTTCCAATAATGCGCACCGCTTCCACTGTCCTAGCGTCAAAGAGTTAACCTTTGGCGAGAATGGTGAGGTGACAGTTCAACACGGAAATGGTGATTTCTAAATCAGTTCATGATCTTTCCGTCTGAACACCTAAACTGTCAATCAATCTATGAGCGTTAGTAGCGCTCGCGGTTTTGGTACAGCCCTGTCCTTACGAGGGAAGGCTGGTCCGTATCGTCCACCTAGCAGTTCATCGAAGCAGGAAGGCTGCCATTCATCGCCCTCACCGATGTTTTTTCTGCTCAAGGTTTCTGGAACGTGTTTAGCGTGTCTGCGCCAACGTGTTCAGAATCTCTTTGTATACGAATGGTGTTTGTTCGGTGTACTTGCACCTTGAACGCATGAAACGCGGTGGATGTTTGAGATTGATGGGTTGCTACAGCATAGCTGTTAGCGACTTGGAAGCAACCGACCGGGTTCAGTCGCGTCTCATTGACAATTTCGGATGCATGTCTCATCCGTTGGAAGGCTTCAACCGCTCCAAGCGCCTTCCGATCGCGTCGGGGAGAATTTCAATGGAAGTTACGGTTGCTTAATCGTAAGCATTGTCCTAGGAAACGGCATCCCGATAGACCTCTCTTTAACCCTCTTGCAAACTTGCAGAAGCATCCGCCGGTTGAGGTGGTGATTGTGGGGCGACTATGCGACAGGTCGTCGCAAGACATTTGGTCATTTGACAGTGCGGCAATGACAGCTTTCTGCAAGTGCGAGTGTTGTTCGTCGTGAGACATGTGGCGGAAGGGCATTGGATTTAACTATGTATGTGCGCACTATTTGTTCTGATAGTCGATAGGGACCTGTTTCCGGTCTGGACAAAGCCGCAGAGCCAAAGAACTACGCCACGCACCTCATTGCCGCCAAAGATGCCACGGAAAAAGTCCACAAAGCCCGCGAATTGTACGTATTTGTTCTTCTAGCAAAGAATTACTCTAGGACACATCGTAACCGTTCAAACAATTGCTTGTAAGGTAGACGAAAAATCATGTTTTCTAGTATGCATGCCGGGGAAAAATCTAAAAATTATTTCAGATGTCCAAAGCGGTAAGCAAGGATTCAGTTTGCTTTTAACATGCGCTGCAAAGAATTACTCCAGGACACATCGTAGCCGTTCAAACAATCACTTGGAAGGTAGAAGAAAAGGTAATGATTGAGATCAGCAACCCCGTCAATGTAGCGTACGCAGTTTGCGTACAACGTACACGAGCTCCAATATGTCTCCTCACGGCTGATCTAAATTTTTATTTCAGTAGTCGGCAATGTGTTTTTTGGCTTATACCTAGTGAGGCTATCAACGCTGCCATTCCAAATTGACATTGACAGTGTCAATAGTGTTATTGTTCCGCAGGGCTTGCAGGTTGCATGCAAAATGTGTTGGTCAGCTCCTCTTTTTTTGAAACAGCTTCGTCCTTGAAATTTGATTTGCGGCTTACCAGTACTACGCTCCATTTATCGCAACAAGTTGCTTTCCGCAGTTAGATCGGCCCTTGGTTGCTTTCCGCAGTTGGAGCCACCATCGGTCAGGCTCCTCCTGCTGATGTTACTGCAAAATTTGGTGCTCACCGTAGGCCCACAACGCAAAACATATATCATGTGTTTGTATGGTGCAGACTGCACACTGCAGAGCGGCGGGCCGCAGTATGGAGTTTAGCGAAATCCGTAAATTTGGTTTTCTCGTTTATATCCATTTATGCTCAACTTGTCAGGCTTGAACATGTGCTGTTGAAACCATAAGTATCCCGACATGCCTAAAAATAAGTATACCGGTTCTAATTTGCCCATATTCGCAGCGTTCGCAGTGTTCGCCAAGGTTGCTGTTGAGGTCAGGTTGAATAAACCTAACCATTTGTATGCCGGCTCTAATTTTTCCATATTCGCAGCGTTCGTTAAGGTTGCTCCTAAGGTTATGCCAAATAATTCTCACCATTAGCATGCGGGTTCTAATTTGCCCTGA